CGACCAAAGAGGCAACACGAACGAGTTGAGGCTGAAGCGCCTGCAACAAGGCATCCTACCCTGCCTGAGTTGATCTTGCCTAACGGACGATACTCCGCTTTGAGGCTTCGTCATCTGTTCTAGACCAAGGCACATAACCTGTACCAAGTCTTGGTTCTGTGAGCTGCTGCGTGACTGCAACCACGTTCCCTCTCCAACCTGGGTTTAAAAAATAAAGAAAATAAAAAGGGATTTAGAGGGTAGAGGGGGAAGGGTATCTGTCTGTGTTTGTGTGACTGAGTGAGACATGCGCATCTTGCATGTGGTCCCGCGGGAAGAGAGGGGGTACAGTATCTGCATGAAAGTCGGCCCAACCAGAGTAGCATCCAGCGTCAACTTCGGCTTCTACATCAACAGCTGCAGCCAAATTTCAAATTGTATTTGAATTTAATTGTGCATTCCTTGTTCTTGCCGAGGGGCAACGTGCATCGACCCAAGTTTGCAGACGGTCCCTGCAATCGCACTTGACCCTTTGATCTGCCTCGGCATAAACAACCGTCCAATCTCCTGTCGTCCAGTATCGAGATTCCCGGGGAAACGTTCATGCCTTGCTTTGAACTTCTCCCCATTTTCTCCTGTGCCCGTGGTACGCAGGATCTGAACCCTCGCTGGAAGGCTGGCAGTCTGTGACAAATGTCAGAACCTGTTGACGGAAGTTGTGGCGGATGCGAATGCGGATATGCTCAGCCGCTGCTAATTACGCCATCTTCGTCTTGTGCCCGTACCCGTGCCCATGCTCGTGCTCGGGCTAGAGCTAGGATTGGGACTGGGGTCGGTGCTGAGGGTACCTCATCACATCATCCAGCACACATAGACCAGCCATCCCAAGGCCTCAATCCGATGCCTCTGTAAACCGTCAAGGTATGATTTTATATTCACCCATATATCATCAGTCAGCTTGGCTCAGATTACGCCGATTACCACACATTGACTCTTTTTACTGGGCGTCTTGTCCTGGCCTCGTGCGAGTCGACTAGGCCAGACGCAAAGTCGACGCAGATGGCGTTGAAACAAGAGCCACAATGCAGAGAGCCACGTTCCCCATATCCTGATGACTTATTGGGCCCCTCCTCATCTTCGTCTCTTAAGTGTCGTTGCCGACATGGAATGGAGTAACATTTTGAAGGAGGGCGGTTCTGATGGCCTGGGCCGGACAGACCCAGAGAGAGCTGCGTCCGTGTCCGGAAAGGACGCGTGCACACATTACCCGCACATGTGTATAAGTCTAGATGTCTTCGAGATGTGTGGATCATACAATATATGTATTGTGCTTTGAAATGTGTGCCTACGTATAGTAGTGCGCAGACCCGAGCACGCTTCACTGTCTGCTTCAGTGCCGGGATTGGGCCAGATTGGAAATGGGCTGCAGAGACAACGATGAGAGGACAGCGCCTTCGCTTGCAACACCGCGTTGCTAGCCACGACTCTTAAACCACTAACTTTCCAGCCAAATTTTTATCATTTAGCTAAGAATCACTTTGGGCTTGCCAGCTTGTAGTTCTTGCAGATATCGTACAAAATCCTGTTTTTTTTTTTTTGGACACTTGTTTAACGTACGTGTGTGTGTTTATGTGCATGCGGAGAGAGAAAGACAAACGATTGCACCTTTGAAATATATGGAGAAATGCATTCTATCTGTAGTTCAGGAAAAGTCTCCATGTACAGGAGCTTGGCTCACCTCACGCCACCTCAACGTCAACGCTTTGATTGCTCTCGGAACTTTCCCCTCCTGCGCCAGCATCCGAAAAGAGAGAAAGAAGAAATAAAAACATTTGCAATTATGCCACTACGCCTTGCCTAATCAGGATCCACTCCATCCCGTTTCGTGCTCTTGGAGGGAACGACGGTCCAGCCAGCTGTCAAATCGTCTTCGTACCTAAACAACGCACCTACAACCTGGCCCAGGGCACTTACCATCTTCGTCCCCTGTATGTTGAGCAAGTAGACGCCAATCAGCTGTCATTCTCAGGCTTTCATGCTCTTATGTTGGGCGCCGTATCCTGTCCTGATCCTTGATGGCTGATATTTGATAAGGAAGCTGGTCCAGTTGAACTGACTTTCACCGTCTACCCATATTATTATAGGATACAATTACTTGGACAATTCGAGCACATACAGAGCAGGTCAGATTGTGCTGGCTGATCCACCAGGCACGGCATCCACTCCATTGGCTTATCATTTCCTTCTCATGACCGGCCTGGCAAGGATTAAAAAAAAAAAAAAAAAAGAGGTGCGAGAGACAATCTGTGTGATTAGGAAGAATACAAAAACGTCTGGAAAGAGCAAAAAGAGGCATGATACTCGATACATGTCTATCCACGCTGTGTAGGTGTGATAAACCCCCAGAGATTGACGACGGCTGTCACTGTCTGCGTGATTTACACATACACCCACCCCTGATCGTCGGTCGACGCCCCCTCCGGCCGGTCGCATTCCACTGGCTGCCACCCTGGCCAGCTGAACACGGTCCTTCCGGAACAATATATGCTGAATGATGCATCGCATGCGCTGTTGTTTCGTGAGGTACTGCCATCCAGCTCCAGCTGTCAGCTACTTGTCACTTCTGCTTCCGTCCCTGAACCGAACTCGACCGCAGTGGACGGCACAAAGCGGCCGTTTCCAGCAGCTTGAAATCTCAACAATTCGACATATCTCTCTAAACGTGTCCTCATCCCCTTCAGTTTTTCATGCGAGGTAAAACATAAGGTCCGAAGACGGAAGTGTCCGATGAAGGCAAGGAGAGTTTTATCATGCCTAAATCTCAAAGAAAAGAAAAAATCAATGGTTTTGCATGGTGAACAGAGAAAGAAGCACTCAACGCTTCTTTTCGCATAGCTTCGCATCCGCATCGCATCGAAGCCATGCACAACGCACGGCACGCTGCATCACTGTACTTAGGCAAGCTCACTTACCACAGACTTGTAGATTCTGCACCAGTGCGCGCCTCCGTCCATGCCTGTCGAACTTGCAATGCGAAGTCTGTGCCTTGTCCGACTTTTGTCATGAGGGGTCCTGTTTGACCGTCCTTTCAAGCCATAGTCCAAACTCAAGCCTCGGTACGTCAGTGAGATAAACGGAGTCGAGGATCTCGACTTGAACACAGGGTCTCAAAATTCACTTTGGCTTCCTAACATGGATAATTCCATCAGGTTCTTCCGTGCCCATCATGAGGATGCTTCTACATTCGGTTGCCGACAGGGGCACCATGGCCGTACATCAGTGCATCATACCCCAAGTCGACTTCAGCTTCTTCCCCCCCCCCCCCCCCCCCCCCCCCACCCCAAGCAAGACAGAGTATCAAACAACAGACCCCGAATGCGCCGGGCTGATTTCGTCAGGTCAGAGAATCTGCAAATCCAAATACGGAGCTGAAGTGCATCCGTCACCCTCTACCACTTACTCGTACTTTCCCAGAAGGACGACTGGCGAGAGGGCCTCTCACGCATTCGAGACCAGCTCCTAACTGGCTTGGCTAACCTCATCCGTCTGTCCAGCAGCGCCCGATTCCAGCAGCGGCACACATCCTAGCATCATCCTGGCATCAGATCAGAGAATCATGTCCCGCTGAGTATATTGGCGTCGGCTTGGCTTGGGTCGTGGCTTGAGCCGTGGCCGCTACAAGGGTCAAGGACAGGCCTCGTACGGATACCTGTACAAGAACAAGGATCGTAGTCAAAATCGGAATCGGGACTGGACTAGGAGGAGGGGGAAAGAGCAAGGGCAGACCAGGGTCTAGTGAAAGAAAAGAGACAAGGCCCAAGGGTGTGTCTCGAAGGAAATGGCTGTAAGTCAGTCCGTCAGTCAAAGTCTTTCTCATGGCCTGGGGCCATTTCGCCTGCCGTAGTTCGCTTTGGTTCTAGACAGGGGTACGTACTGCTCCTTACGTACCTGTGACCCTCAGAAGCAGTATGGAGTACGTACCCAACTGACCCGCACCGTACCGTACCGCGTTTGATCTCCAGCTGTTGCAGATGCTTTGCTGTGCCTGAAATGGACCAGTCCAGGGACTTGAAGGACCCAGGCCTGGGCCTCTGGGGCTCTCTATCTCTCTCCTCACAGTTGTCATCGTCTCCTCCCTCAAACTGCACCCCCCTCCTCTCTCCATAGTACCCCCTTGCAAGGAAAGGTTGGCAAAAAAAAAAAAAAAAAAAAGGACGGATACAGTTGAGCTGAGTTTGCAACACACGAACACACACACCCCTCCCCCACACCTTCAGTTCTTATTTGAACCAAGAGGCAATGATGTACTGTTTACACCCAGCATGCTGCGGAAGATACATCCGACTATTGAGTTGTACCCCTCCCCCCATGAGGAAAGGCGTCCCTCTTCTTTCACAGCTCTATCGGATCGTCCTGGGTGCTGATGCCGCTACGGCTGGTCACTCCTTCTGCTTCTGCTTCTGGTTTCTTTACTATCAGACCCTTACCTCACTGGCTCTCTGTGCTGGACTCGTCGAGGTTTACAAGAACGGCCTCCATCGCTCCACTCACCGTCACCATCTCTTCCTGCTTCCTATTTTTCTTCCACCCTCAACCCAGGTTCACTTCAAACCTTAACTTTTCTTATTCTTCCATTATCCCCGTGCCCTCTAATTTTGTCCTGGGATTCGCATAGATCTTGTTCTTTGGCACAGCCTCTTCTGCTCGTTGTCTCTCTCCCACGCTGCTTCCACCTGCTCAACCACATATATACGCAGGCAACCCACGCTCATCCAAGACCGCCTTCAGCCTCTTCACTTTCATCACTCTAAACAACAACAACAACAACAACAACAGCTACCTTGGCAGCATCTGCCCTGCCCTGTTCATGTCATTCATACATACAATCTAGTCAACACTTCCCACCTTAACATAACCGCCCCAGAACAGCTAAACTATCGCTGTGCATCCATCACGCCACACTCCCATTCCATCTTGTCCACCAGCCTTTAGTGCTCCTAAGCAAAAACATACTCGTCAACATGGCCCAAAGGAGAGGACCATGGTCGCAACAGGAGGATGCATACCTCATGCAGCTTGTCAGCGACCAAGGCCCCCTGAACTGGGTGCGCATTGCCCAGGCCCTGGGAACTCGGACACCAAAGCAGTGCAGAGAACGATTTCACCAAAACCTCAAACCTACATTGAACCATGAGCCCATTACACCCGAGGAGGGCGCCCAAATAGAGCTTCTCGTCAACGAGATTGGCAAGAGGTGGGCAGAGATTGCTCGACGCCTACATGGCCGCAGCGACAACGCCGTCAAGAACTGGTGGAACGGAAGCCAGAACCGCCGCAAGCGACACGACCGCCGAAGAGCCAATCAAGGCAGCTCCAGCTACGACGACAGGAGGTATGGTCCGTCCACCTTCCCCCGCCCGACTCTCACCCTCAACCCGCATTCATCGGGTCTGCCAGTTCCCAGGCACGCTGTGTCATCCCCCGTATCACCAACATTCTATAGCCATGGTCATGGCCTTCCGTACTACCACATTGACTCGCCTCTCCCATCACCTTGCTCTACTGCTTCCCCGGGCAGTGATGCCCTTGATGGTGAAGCTTCGACCGTATCAGACGCCGCATCCAGCTACACCACCTCCCCCCAATGTTTGTCTAGGGGCACATCACCATCTCTCCAATTGCCTCCTCTTCGCAACCTGGATGGTGGCTCTCAGCCACGCTCTTTGCCAGGGTTTGGCTCTCTGCTTCACGCACCAGGCGAGAGAAAGGAGCCCAGTCACGGCAGACTTCCCTCCATGGGATCACATCTTTTGACAGCACCAAACTCACCCGTGACAAGCACTGCCAACTCGCCTTCGACAGCAGATAAGGATGCTAGGATGGACGTTTCGGCGCTTCTTGGTTGAAGATCATCCTCCAATGAACTGCTATAGGACCTCCAGATTTTTATCACACACTGCCCCACGAAGCACAATCTCTATGTATGCTGCTACCACTGTACCAAGACTGTACAGATTTGAGGCGCAATTATATAATTGGTCGGGTTTTTTGGTTTTTCTTTTCCCCCCTCCCATTACACAGAGCCAAAAAAGGTCATTTTGATTTAGTATTTGTTTTCTGTCTCCAGTTTGAACCCCAGCGAGGGGACGGCGCACTTGGGAGACCCGATACATGAAGGTCTGGCATAGGAATGGCAATGGGCTGGCAGAAGATTCAGAAGAAAAGAATCACAGCGTGTACCTTTTAGTATTACACGCACGAAAGTTGCGATAACCATAATCAAAAATCTTCCCATGATTTGAAATGTCTACAAAGCTGCTTGTAAATGTACTTGCAGACATCGTGTTTTGCCATGTTCCTCTGTTTGCTTTCATTATTCAACCGCCTGGAGCTCTCACCTCACCATCACCTCAGGGTAGCCGAAGCGTCCATGAATGATTGAAGAGCAAAAAAAAAAAAAAAAAAAAAAAAAAAGACAAGGGGAGGGAAATCATGGCAGTTAATTCATGTTCACGGACATGTCAGCGGTGGTCGATGTAACTAGATTGTGGGTTTATGACAAGGTCAAAGGCAGGGGTCTACCCTCTTCGATAGCCCCGTTTCCACTACGAGGGAGCCGAGGTCGACATGAATGGCAGTTTGTTCTTCTGTCCCCCCTCCCTGGCCCAATTTAGGGAGTCTAGGTTGAAACCAAACAGGAGGGTAGCTGCTGCACTAGACAGGCAGCGCAAGGTCAGGGCAGTTGAGGCGGTGGCCAGAGCGTCAGAGCAGAGCCTATGCTCGCCGTTAATACGAGTTGGAGCTGTGGGTACGACACTGTCGATCATGAAGGACGATCGTGGAGGAAAAAATGCTCAGGAGATGTGAGGTGAGCTTAGTCAGGGTCCAATATGGACTTTGGAGGCAGCTAGGAGGAAAAGGCTTGGGGACAGGCCAAGAAGTTGGAATTTTGGTGCAAGAATCAGAGTCAAAATAAGGCCATTGGCAGAGTTCAGGCTCAGCGGTGTCGCCGTGCATGATTAGATCTAACAAACTTATCAGGCCCCCTTGGCTGGCATGAGGTGTAGGACGAAGGAGCTCTATGTTGTTTGTCAGCATTTTCACCCTCCTCTGTGGCTGTTTACTACGTAGTCATCGGATGGGTCATTTGCATGGGGGGTCAAGGTTCAAGGGAGCCACCACAAGTCCATCCGATATATGGATCACTTATTCCTTCATCGTTGACAATTCTTCAAACAAGCACAGCCAGCATAGGCGGCATGACAATTATTCTTCCTTTGCTTTTCATTTCTGGTTCTCGTACTTAGTGACCCGCCACACATACACACGAATCTCTTGCATTGACCTAGGTGGTCCGTATATAGACGGTCGACGGCAACACGGCGAATGCGAACAAGTTTCTGACTCTGTCGTACAAACTAACGCCGTGATCTCCGCGAGATCCCGGTCACCCATCCTCCGGATGGTCGCGTCCCGTAGGCGATCCCTGAAGGATAAGCGGATGGCAGCGGGCTGGCAGCTGGGTCTTGCTGATGGGATTGAGCAGGATCTGCGGCTAAGGGGGGCAATCCCAGTGGAATGCTCTTACTGGGACTCTGCGGCCCCCAGCCTCCAGCCCCGGAACCAGCAACAGGTATCATATGCAGAAGGAGAGGCAGCTGAAGGAAGCCGCCAACAGCAATAATGTGTGCCCATCCTCGCCTTGAGACCAACCAGCCAGCTAACACAATCAATCAACCAACCCCTGGCGACGAACCAACCTGCAAAGGGATTGTAACGCTACTTTGACCATTCGAAAGAACGATCTTGCCTGGCCATGCAGGAACAGAGCAGAAGCATTCGTCACCTGGCACGGCCCTACACTCCAGTTAATGTAATAGTAGACACTGAAGGGCGTTGTCATCCGAAGTACTGAGTCGAGCTAACTAGGACACTTTCGACCGTTTCAGAGGACTACAAGGTACTGTGGTGGCCTAGGCCTAGCCTGCCCAACCTGATTTGGCACGCACCAACCAAAACGTCAAGACAGGCCAAACTAGATCCGACCACACGGGCCGATTCCGACCACCAAAGGTTGATTGACTGACCGTTCGTGCTCGCCAAACATCAGCACCCGCACCCGCATCCGCACCTGCTGCACCTGCATCTGCACCTGCACCCGTACCACACGCCGCTGTTCTTCTCCAACTGCATAAACTTATGGTGCACAGAACGCAGAGGACCTTTGTGTGTCATGGACACCTTCACCATCATTGCCCACGGTGCATTCGTCCAAGACAACGGCTCATCTTAGATCGGCACCCCCTTTTCCGTTTCTCCCCTTCCGCCGCACCGTGGAGCATCGTCTTTCATTGTCGTTAACGTCAGCAGTTTCCAGGGCATTCAGTTCTTGCATCGCCGCCGTCATTCGCCGTCCTGTCTGAGAAAGCAGTTCTTCATTCGGCCAAAGGGTATGGAAATGAAAGGGGCAAGAACGTAAACTCAAATCCAACGCTCATCCACGGCTGCCACCAAGTACGTACGTACAGAGCCATACGGACGAAAAACCCATAGCCGACCTCCCGACGCAAGTCTCGGGATCGAAAGCCCTCCAGCAAAAAAAAAAAAAAAAAAAAACCACTACGACCAGGGTACCAAGTTATGATGCACTCCCACCTGCGTGAAGCGAACGAAGGCCGGGGGGAGGGAGCTGGGAAGGGGCCACACCCGAGTGCATTCGTCGAGGTGATTCCACATCAGCTACCTGCCCGACGATCATGAGAACCAGGGTACGGGGATGTAAACGTGGTGGGGACTTTCAGTGGAATACTCAAGGGTGGCCCTGGTCCTGGTTGGTGCTCCTGCTGATGATGATGTTAATAACATGCTGGAAAGTGCGGAATTTTGCTAACGCTGATGATCCTCCCCAAGAGGGTTAAGTGGGGTTGGATGGTTGATGGGGGAAGCGAATTGGTAGATAGGTGAGGATGGATGAATGAATGAATGAGTGGGTGGGGGAGGAAGACAAGGATGTCTACTCAACTGACATGGGGGTACAATGTTCAGAAGAAACGATGTGTGGACGGATCTCAGATGAGGGTGTGGTCAAGGCGACCATTGGGGGGGGGGATAACCTGACTAATTACCTACTTATTTTGTGATTTATGAGGCTACCCTGAGATTAGCTGACCATGGTTAGCTAGTTAGCTATGGTCAGGTTGAAATTCCTTAGCGCGGTTTGAAACCTTACCCTTAACATACTTTTTATAAGAACATACGACATTTAAACGCTTCTAAATCCGTTCCGAATCGATTTACAATAGCTCTTCAATCGATTGAAAATCTCTTCCCTCGCCTAGAAGGAATAAGTCCTCTATTAAAACCTACTAGTCTTGATATAGAAGCTAAAGAAGACTTAAATCTTTACTATCAACTACCAGCCCAGGCCCAGTCTGGCTTACTAGTAAATGAGGAGGTAGGGATATATAAGAACGACTTTGGAATTAGTTCTAAATCGATTCAGGATCAACTCGAAACCGATTCAGAAATACCTCCAACACTTGTTTCATCAGAGGCAACCCGTTCTGGGCATAATAGCCTCAGGGATGTTCATGTACTTGCTCAAAAAGTAATCTTTCTACCTACATTTATAGAATATCCAGAAACAAGTAAGAATGGAGTCCTTTATGTTATTGATATAAGGACTTTAAATGAGGAGGATATTAAATCGCCTTGGAGAATGGTAAACGAACTACTTTTGAATCGATCCGGGATCGATCCCGAACTACTTCAGAACTAATTACATCACAGATTTGAAAGGGTTACGGAGGGAAAAGGAAGAGAATCAGAATGGAATAGGGATTTAAATATTAATATGGGGTATGCACCCTAATCAGTAGTGGGACGTAATCAGTAACTGGTCCGTACACCTGACCGATTAAAAATTCCATGGTCAGGTAGACCCACTTCACCTCAATACAGCCAATCATAAAATTGGTCAGATAGACCCATAATTCATTTAAATAAGTGGGTAATTGGTCAGGTTATCCCCCCCCCCAATGGTCGCCTTGACCACACCCTCTCTCAGATCCCATTTTTTATTTGGGTGACCTGCAGGCTGCGAATCGACAGGTTGAATCGACCACGACGTGGGACATGCTTGCCCCATTCCCCGGGCCAGGGGCCAATGGACACCCGTCGATCAACGGTCGGCCAGCAGCAATGCAGCAGAACCGTAGAGATGGGAAAATGGGGCACTAACAAGGTATGACCCAGGTTTCTCAGCGGGAAGCCTCACAAGCAGGGGTGTTAGCCCTGGCGCGCGCTCTACCAAGCCGTAAGCAGAGTGCATTCGGTCATGGGGATATTTCCAATCTGCTATCCTCACAATGGTTGGGCAAGTTGGCGAAACTCCTATTTGAGGACCAGGTCCCAGGATAGACAAACGGCCTGGATCCGCAATGCAGCACCATATCGAGATTACAACGTGCCAACCAGCTGGTGAGCTACTCAGCCCTTCAGCCGTTATACGGGGTGCTTGCTGTGTCTTGCCCCTGGCTCTATGTCTGAGACATGGAGCTAGACCAGGGCCAGGCGGGTAAGATGTTTGCAACTGGGAAGTGAGGGGAGGAAGGCCTCAAGCTGTACCGGGCGTAACGCACCAGCGTAACAGCGGCAAAGTGAGCTTCGTTGGATGAAGCGCGACCTTTGCCAAACAGCCGTACGAAAACAGGTCAATCACGCAACATTTTGACAAAGAGTCACTGTTGCAGCGAGAGCCAATGCTGATATTATTGATGTTGCAACCAGAGCCTACAAAAGATCTTGAGTCGTAAAACCTGCATCACGTTAGATCGTTATATCCGTACGTCATATCCGTTCTTCACCACGCCTTACCAAGGTTGGGCAGCTGTGCGAACATACATGCTCCTCCACATTATATTCATATCCACACAGTACAACCAAGCATAATAGTTAGTGCCTAGGGAGTATTCCGTACGTCACATAATGCCCGGTCGTGTTTCCGCACCATCAGCCATGATTTCTTTTTTTGCCCCTGGGTTTTTTCTCAGTATTAAATGATTAGTAGCAGATATGCCGCAGAAACAATGGTTGGTGCCGCAGCAACTGCCTTGCTTTGCATATGATGAGGGCAGAGGTGCATGACAAGGGTGAACACAGGTGTCAATAAGTCGATGGGTAGGGCGGGCGAGATACCGCAACTACGCTCCCTTCCCTTGTCGCATGTGAGTCCTGTATAACCTCGACTTTGGGAGAACGGTAAACATATCGGCACCCAACCCAAGGCAAAGCCACCTGGCACCGCTAATTTTCTAAGCGTAACTGCAAACCCAGACCCGAGGGTTCCACAGCTGGGGTTCTAAGGCATGTCCCATCCTATCGTTGAGGGTTTGAAGCTCATGCTGATTGACGCAATAGTGAGTCGAGCCAAACAGAAAAATTCCATCACAAACATTGAAGGGTATCGCTTTAGCCCTCCTATGTTTTCGTTCTAAGCCCCAGGCTTTGCTAGGACAGACCGGGGCACCGGGGGAGACAAGATCCTGCGTGGTCTCGAACTTGGGTAACGGATATCAGTACTCACATCCGTAGCTGTGGTTCACCCCGATGTCGATCTTGGCGCCGACGAGGCGTTAGACAATGAAAACAGTCGCAACAACGGCGTCCCAAATATTGGCAGGCACTTGAGCAAGTACTCGTGGCACTGCATGGTCCACTAGATCTGCATCTCCCTCAAATACATCCGCATCCCAACCCCACTGCCCATCTTGTTACGCTCTCTCGTGCTTTTTTTCAATGGAATGGAGCAGTCTACTGATATAGAACCCACCGTTGTCCATAACATGACATCGAAAACGTTTCTCACTCCCTCAGCCTCACTTCCCGTCTCCTGGCTTGCTTCATCCACCATTATTCCGCATGTTTTCCTGTCTAGCTGTGTCTTGGTCGTCTGCACTACCTGGTCCCAATCTACCCGCCCGTGCCCCCCAAATGAGTTAATAACGGAAGAAAACCTTACGGCTATAGTTGTGGTCACTTGCCGTTACCCTTAATCCCATACAAGGCGCTGTGTCATCAGGACATCATTATACTGCCCTTTCCCACCCGTGCACGATGCAGAGGAGTATTCGTACTTGCAAATGTTTCAATCCAGCCGAATGGAGCCCCTTGCCACGGCATGCCACATCGCAATGCTGCTACCCTGCGGCAGTATCCCAGGCATCACTGTAAAAACAAAAGCACGATGAGACTGTCTTATTTTAGGGGGTAATGTTGGTAGGAAGAAGCCCGCAGAGCATGACAAATTTCCCCTTGTTTACCGTGCTCTCCAGCCAAGCTCACCCAAATAAGGTAAGACAAGCATGACAGGGCACGTCTTAGAAGGGAAATAGGGGATCTGCCAAACTGGTGGCCTGGGTGCCACCAAACGACCGAGGGACGGGCAACTCAGAACCCCATACATGCACACCCCTCCCTCCTTCCCTGGTGATGAGGATGACCGAAGTTTACAACGACGATGTCTCTATGCCTACATATCCCACAACCTGCCACCCTAACTCATGGTACTTATCGTAGAGTGGGGAGAGTTAGCTGCAACGCAATTACTGTGAAACCGCAGGATGCCACCATGCTGTACTGTATGTATGCATAATGTGATTCAGGTTGTATATTCTGCATGGAACAGGTCCAGCATGCCAACAATACGCTGTGCCAAATGTCGATTCACGGATGCCGCTCTACCTAGCTGGTAACAATCACACCTTCGTGGGAGGATGTCCTAACGAAGCCGCTCAGCCCAGCCCATGTCTGTTTTATTTGATTAGGTGTGTGCATGGTGTTTGTATCATTCCGTCTAAAAATCGGGGAACCGGTCATGTTCTTCCCACGGTATTTGGACCGTATCACCTTGTGACGGTCTTGGGGTCTGGGTTAATTGCTGCATTTCATACTCAAACTCGTCATGACAGCTCAGTTCTTTTCTTCGTTTTTTTCTCGTTCTGTGGATCCATGCCCTCACGAGCCTTGGGTATGTTGATAGATATCTACACGCAGGCAGCACGAGCCGCTGCCACGGCGTAGGCACATCCCCACGTCACTATTGCAGCTCATCCTCCTTGACTTGTCACATGATGTTGGTATCAAGCTCAAATAATCAGCCAGGTACCCAAGCTGGCAGCTTGCCAGTTTCCTCGTCTCGTTTGCGGCTAGTATCCTGGTAGCATAATGTCTGTGGGTTTGAACACCCTCGTCCGGCGACGCGGTGAACTTGACCGAGGCACACATTGGCCTGAGTGGTTGCCTCTCTCAACCTGTGATACCCCATGTTTGCACCTAGTGGCTAACAGGACTACGTCAATTCGTACCAAGGATGTCTCCGCTCCGAGGTTGCCCTCTGTGCACCGAACGCGGTCGTTATACTTCATGCACCAATCGCACCAGACAAAAACACTGGGCCTCGTACCGATCAAAAGCCACGCGAGGCCTGATAACTTGGGGTCTCCCATGATGCGCCACACAGCCACCAACATGACATGCCACGTCTCGGGTTTGCCGAAGCTTCAGTCAAGTGGCGTTGAGATCCAGAAGGTGGTGGAGGCGGCGTTTTCGAGGCCTACCTGCGCCACCTGAAAGGATATCGATTGTGCATGCCTGTCGCACACATTTGCAACGAAAGAGAAAGGAGTCGATTGGGGGGATGGAATGATGGAATGATTTGCGGAACTTATCATGGAGCGTAATCAGAGAGGGGTGTACAATAGATGGTTTGTCCCCAAGTTAGCCCAACGAACAAATGCGTTGTGATTACCAACCCTCTGACTTCACTTTGCAGCATTGCTAAATGCGGAATCGAGCGGTCATGGGTCAGTGTGATATAGGGAAGAACATCAACTATTAACACAGCGGCCAGTTCTGAAAAGTTCTCACTTAGGAGAGATGTTGATGACGGATACACATGCTGTGAAGCTAGGGTATGTTTCTGTCTCTGTTATTCCTCCATCGACTGGTAACCTAAGGTAGCTGGTGCTCCTTCCTCTGGTTAGAATGCTAGGTTATGGGATGTGGGATTGCCAATGGTACCATTGCTAATGGCATTTGCCTTTGAGTTTTTTTCGCTATGGGAGTAAGCGCATGCAACCTGGGAACGCGACTAATATTCGGGCGAGATGGCCTCTTACTGGCCCGTGTGATTTCTCATCGACCAGATTTTGAGAGAGGAAAGAGTGAACAGAAGAAAGGACTGGCATCTGTTCAACGCCTGGATGCCCAATGACCCAGATAGTTGAAACTCTCTAGTCAGGGTAGTGTAAAACTGCTTAATGTCTACCATCCTACCCACTTCTTCCTTCTTTCTCCTCACTTGCGTCAGTCAGCATCTGGCGAACATCGCTCAAGGTAGATCAGCTAACCGGTTTGGTTGGTTACCAGGTCTAGCCAGATCTTGTTCTGATATTCAGAGGCAGCAGCCACATGCATCCTGCGTAGCGTGTCTGCCTATGGATGGTTGGCTTTTCCAGGGCATTTGGTATCTATGTTGCCTTGCCATTGGGGTTTTTCTCCGTCTCTTCAGCCACTGGAATAAGACTTCTGGTCCTGATGAGTTTAGTGAAGTACTTACTGCTCAAGAAGCCACAATGCGGTCGATGGAATGGACCTGAAGGACTCGCGGACGGTTCATGATAGTCTAGACTTTCAACGCCGTTACATCAGATGATTGTTCACTATCGTGCATCGTCCGGGTATCCCCTTATTGGCTCATCCAAGTGGCCAGGGACTCAATAGTGCCGGCCACATTTAGGCGCTACGGCGCTGCTTGTCTCATGGGTCATTTCAATTGCTAGTTGAGGAGCGTGATTCTCAAACAAGGTGGTCTTTGGCTGCGGCTTCGCGTGGAAGCTACATCGCGAGTACTCAGGAGGTGAACCAGCAACTTAACGACAATGCAATTAAACGCAGAGGGTCATACACAATCAGTATAAGATAAAGAGTATAGTTTGATCCATCGCACCATTATATCACGCTTGCAACAGCTTGGATAGTCAGTCTGATTAAACTACAAGTATAGAAGAGCATTTTGTGAGCGAACATCTTGTTACCCAATACTGGGTCTATCTTGTTCTTGCCTGTCTTCTATAATGCCTTCATTTCTCTATAGGAACTGACTTTTCGCCGCCCCTGGTTAGTCTCTCTGCTAATCTATATTTGGAATCGGTTGTTGATTTTGCTGAAATGCCGGCACGGTAAACTGCTAGCCCAGAAATCACAGTTCCTCGGTCGTGATGCTAACACCTTGCATGTCGTCCCAGGTTATCACAGTAAGTGACTCCGGATTAAGAGGCTATTGCTTCGGGCTGACTGCTGTTACGCCTCCCTATGCGCCAAATCCAATCCCCTGATGTTTGATACTGTTGCTTCTCCGACTCCCTGCTGTAGTTTGAGTCAGCGCCGCACGTCTTGGCTGGTAGGAAGTAGCCACTGCCGTGGACGCATCTTGTTTAGTTTCCAGAGTCTGCCGTGAATTGAGACTCAGTCGTAGGCATCGAAGGAATATCGTCTTCTCCCGGATCAAAAGAAAAGCCTCTTTTGTGGCGGTAGACTTCAGCGTATCTGCACCCAGGTCGACTAGTGTCTGTTCCGTATGTCGCCGCCAAAACATCCGGGTTGTTGTGGGAAGACCGATAGCTGACAGACCCTTCTGCGATGACTGTTCCATGCGAACCTTCATTGATGCCAATCGTCCGCCGAAATAGCGTCCCAGGCCGCCCGTGCTTGTTGACACACAAGTCTTTTATCCCGCTGGCTGGACCCGTACTTGGATCCATTGCATCTACGGGTATGCTGTTCTGTGCGACAGCCACCTGTTGCGCATGCTCATGTACCGAGGACTTGGGGGCCAAGTCTACCAAATTCAGGGCTTCTTTTGGCTGATAGTACGCTGGGCTTGTCGCCGCATCGACTTTCCCGAGACTCATGTGCGGGTTATACTTCGTTGCCCAGCATCGTCTCCACCGGGCGTCTCTCATCTGTTCGCTCAGCTTGACATCCGCGTTTCCGTCCAGGTTCGGCCGCATGGACACTGCCTCATCAGCTTGCATATACTAAGCCATAAACGAATAGAGAAAACCTACACAATGTGGTGTGCGTACGACGCGGACTCTTTGGCGCAGCAGTTGTCGAGGGGTCCATCAATGTGTTTGACCGGTTGGTATCTGGGCCTTTCACATGTGTTCGTTATCATTGGCATGTTCGCTGACCACGCTCGAATTGGGGTCAGTACCAACCTTTCTTGGGGTTCATTTGATGAATCTTCTCAACTTTGCCTTGCAAGAGCTTGGAGGTTCTGCTGCCTCTGTCCAGGACGCTTCCTGACCGTGCCAGTACGACTGCACCCACCCCGTCAGGAGCTACACTAGCAAGAACCAACTCGATTCGCTTGATCTCGGCGAGGAAATCTGCCTCTTTATTATCCCATTCGGATGTCATCCTGCTAAATTCTTTAAGGATGCGCTCATTGGTCTTCTTTTCCGCTGCCAAGGCCTGGTTTGTCTTTTTAAGTTGTTCTTGAAGGTTCCAGTACCCCTCGAGCAAGTGAAGGATACAAGAGTTGTGTTCGATAGGCACGGGAGCAAGAGTAGGTTTGGTCATCATGATGTTGTGCAAGGTATTGACCATGTGATTCAGACGTGCTGGGTGGTCAGTCTGATTTCGCTCCTGGAAGAAGAGTCCGTCGCCTTGGGCGACCGAAGGGGGCGAAAGCTGATACGAAGATTCTAGTGATCCTTTTGACTTAATTCTGGGACAGTCGGCCCCATCTGACTTAGCAGAGGCGAGGAAATCCAAGCTGGCGATGCGTGGGATGGATGTCCACTGGCGTGGCCGGTCACCGAGAAGAGGGCGCCTAGTCGAAGCATCGTCATCCGGAGATTGTTTTAAGACCATGTCAGATCTTATCCGCCGGAGAAGAGGCCTTAAGCGTTCACTATCCGCCATATCACCATGTGATATAAGTCACTGGGATGCGGTTCTGTCCCCTGTGCGGTTTTGAGAGCTGACCAGGAGTTCGACCCTCGAAGTGACTTGGGCAGTGGCTTAGACTGGTAGCGCCGTGAAGATGGACAGGAAGATGGAAGGAGTGATAGAAAGAAATCGCAGCAGAGCAGCACTCTGAATTCTTCAATGCTAAAGCTACACTGTTGTAGTGCCTTAGGTTGAGAAGTAACTAGGAGTGGAAAACTTACTCGAAGTGAATAGAATGGGAGCTGTGACTGGCAAGACCCGGCGAACGAGCGAAAAAGAACTGTGCGACTCTTTCCTACCTCAATATTAAGACGTGAAGAGACGATGCCCCCTGCTTCAACCGGAAGCTGAGATGAAAAATAGGGAGCAGCAGCTATAGCCAATGTGCCTGCCTAACTGGATTCTTGCCGTCCAACTATCTGCCTTTTTCCACGGAAGGCAAATTGTACGTAACATTCAAGATCGAATAGGCGGAAAATCTTCACTGGTAAGAGACTCGGTGGTGCCAAACACCAGTACCAATCATCAAGCCCGGCTTCATTGCATCCCTGGCTACCAAGCGTAGCACGCATAAATCAATAGCACTGTTAAGAAACATCAAATAATTTAGACTCGCTGTTTTTCGACCAACTAGCTATTCAGCAGAGCATGACCGTGCTAAAATGTCCCATTTCTATGGTATCTATGTGCCTCGAGTGAAGCCCGGCATTTTCTCCAAAGTCATCCAGACACCTTTTCCCATCCGTAAGCAAGAAGAGAACGAAAGTTTTCTTGCTTGTACTAAGAGAACAAGTCTTCAGCCTTCTGCCGCCTCTTCCCACGGCCCTCCAACTTGTCGGCAAAGAGTTCCTTTCCCGTATTGCCACCAAACCGGCTCGGGAAAAGCTCCTTGACATTTGCACTCGCCGCACCCTTGATAGCAAAGCCTGTGTTGGAACTTCGCTGTTCAGCCTTGCCTCGAATACCTAAAAGCTCGCCCTTCTCGCGTTCGGTATCACTGACAGACATGCCGTTTTGCATAAGCCGAGTAGCTTCATCTGCGCCATTCATTACACGATCCATATGCGACTTGCCAACCGAAGAACCCTTGGTTGGAAAAAGCTCCTTGGGCCGGTTATTTTGCGCCAGGCGGCCTCGAAGCCCGGAAGCCCTTTCGCGGTTGCTTGCCGTGCCGGCACGATTTGTTTCCGTGTCCATTCCAGCATCGTTATCGATATCTCGCATGGGCGACGCTGAGCGCTTACGCTGGCTTCTACTTGCTTCCAACCGGTGACTTGGAAAGAGCTCCTTCTCCTGGTTTCGTCGCGCAAACGATCGCTCGCGCGAGCCCGAATCCCTTGACCATGATCTACTCCGACGCCGCGATGATTTAGCCTCGCGGTCCGCCAGTGCTAACTCGTCATCGTCATACATGCCAGCATCGAAAATTTCCACGCTTCGGTCACGCTGACACCTTCCTCGATCGTCGCGACGATGTCGGTTTTCTTCCTCGCGATCACGATACCTATTCCTTGTCTCGCTGCGCCGCCTTCGCTCCTCTGGATCAAACTCAGGGTGGAAAAGATAAAACCGGCTTCTTTGAGCAGCCCCCGGAGCCTTCCTGTCGGAAAGCACGGCGAACCGAATCTGTAGGTTGATATCAGGGTTTGACGCCATTGGCTTGGCTGGAATGTCCTCCAAAAGAGGGAGTTGGGATGGGTCGGCAACCTCGACAGCACTCAGAGCCTTGAGCGCCTCTTGCGCCACGGAATCGGACCCGAAAACGAGGTTTGCGGACTCGTCGTCAATCCACTCGATCCTATCTACAGAGCCGTAGTGGTCTCTCACGTAGGCCTTGATGTTATCTGTCGTCAGAGTATCCAGTCCCCGAATGTGCACCTTGTTGGCCACCAAGGTTGTGCTTTCCACATCGTTCTCAACATTATTGGGAGGTACTGAGGTAGCCGCTGCTGGCTTCTGCTGCCACGAACAGTTAGCAAGCTGGAGTTCTACAGAGTTGAACCAAAGCCACACATACCGGATTGTCGGTCATCGACGCAGTCGGAGGGGCAAAGCCCTCAGCCACATCATCCATATCCATATCCCAGTCCATGATGGCCTTAATTGGATGGTTGATTGTAATGATGTCAGAATGTCAGAAGATGAGAGGTTGAAGAAAGCTAAGGAGTCCTGGGCGGTTGAGAAAAGGGCCTGATGGTGGTACAGACAGGATATGGCGTGTTGCTGCGATGGAACCCCACAAATGTCTTCCAGGTCAATCGCAGGTGCTTCGAGGAAATCAAGAACGACGTCGTGGTATGTAAAACGAGCCAAGGTGGACAATTGGTATTAAGAGGTCTACGACATCGGCCTTCCAACGCGGTGTGGAGACAAGGCTGACCGCTGCTGGATTGCACTTGCCTTTTTAAAGGTGGGTGAGGTAGCTGCTACCTTAAAGTTGGCTGGCTGTTTCGAGTCTCCAATTGGCTCTTCATGGGTGTGGCACCTGAGTGGCCCTTTGGGATGATGGTAGCTGCAATAGCTGGTGGGGTACGGCAAGTCTGGACAGCTAGGCTGTACATCATGACTGCCTGTATTTCAACTTTGGCTCAATGGTTGAATCGTGACATGGAGTACGTTTCTCACTTGATATCTATCTTTCTCAACCAGTCCCGTAGGACACCTTCTTTGACATATTAGGAAAAAAAAAGCAAATGAGGGGGATTGTATAAGTAACCTCCAATCAACCATACCAGCCAAGGTCCTGACGATTTTGCCCCACATTGCCAACGACGAAGCTCGAGGCCTCATCGCGTACCCTATGAACTGGGCATCTACACTATATATCTGCTGCTATGTCTCCGATAGGAACTAACAATACCCTTTTCAAACGCCAAATCCGAGTCTATGAATTTGCCAAACAAGTCATGGTGCATCAAGGACACCGCCAACGAATTACACGGTCTCTAATCGTCTACAGGACTCCACAACTGTGGGGAGACAGGCTGTTCTAGGAGCTTTGGACCGTGAAACACCACTTTCGCCTGTTGCCGCCCCAGCAGTCGAATTACTTGCCCTCGATATTTCCGATGCGGCTCTTTTGAGCGAGGGGAGACTTGGAACAATGTCCCCGGCTGATGGACGATCATTTTCATCTATATTGTCGTCTTCCACTGGATCATTTGGATCTAGAAAATGATCATATGCCCAGCAGTTTTCAAGGCCATCTATAAACTTGGGCGAGTTGCGTAAAAAGTGCCAAGAAAGCTTGTGTTCACGCATGGCAATGTAAAGCGACTCAATCTTACCACTGGGTTCACTTACGCCACAGTGCTCTCGCAAGAAATCGATATCATAGTCGCTGTGCACATGCTTTGGCCCAAGTGGTCGCAGCATTGGGAGACCCTGCAGTCTTTCGGCATCGCAGAGTTTCGCTTGAAGAGGCATCCAAAGCCGTCCCTTTAGAAGACCCTCGAAAGCTTTAGTAACAGCGTCGACGAATGAATCATTGTCAAACCCCCCAATCACCACGGTCCGATGAAGACCACGTGAGAGGCAGCGCTTGTACGCGTTGGTATCTCTTTCAAATGGGAAGGGTTGCGATGACGTCGGGAGTAAAGAGACATGAACAGTCCATGCACCACAGTTACTTGAGTTGCCAGCAAAGATAGTCGCACCCGGCGATGAACAAGCGCGAGACTGGTGTTGCAGGTGCTCCAAACCGCCTTGAGCCCTGTCCTTGGGTTGCTCAGTCGATTTAGGGGTTGGCGATGCATGGAAATTGGGGCCCTGGCTGACTAGAGGCGTCGTTCCCGTACCACCCCCCAGCTGTTTGCCTCGTGCTGCCAGTATGTCCTGGTCCATTTCCAACTGTTCCAGTCTCTCTTCCATACTCTCATCGGCGTCAAAGAGTTCCATTTGGCGGTTGCTGATGTTTTGTAATTCCTTGTTAACGTTTTCCAAGTGCTCTGTATGGGAGTCCACATTCCGCTGTAGCTGAAAAGTTTGCTGTTCCAAAAGTTCGACGGATTGCCACACCCTCGTGATATTGCGGTATGATTCTTTAATCTCCTGGCTAATATCCTCACGGCTCTTGTCGACCAGCTCTTCTAACCCGCTCATCCTGGTGATGACGCTCGCGAGGCCGCCCTGCCGTTCACAATCTAGTTGATCCTCCAAGGCCTGCAGACGCTGCTTCAACAGCTCAATTTCATGTCTGGCCGAAGATGGCTCTGGAGCTTTGACATGATAGCAGGCCATGTGGCCACAGTCGCAACTGGCACCAGGAGTAGACCGATTCAAAGAGAAGTGCACGCAAGCACAGCGTTGGCCTTTGATACCTGGAACAAGAAGGATATAGCGACATTGGCCTTGAGGGAGGTTCCCCTCATCTACATGGCCACTGATGCCTTGCAGCGGTGATGGTGTTGAAGTCGCCGACATCGAAGTAAGTGAGTTTGGTAGGCAAGCACTGTGTGTGAATGATGAGAAGCGGCCGCTTATATGTGTGACAAGCCTGACTTCAGCATTCCAAGAGGAGTGCTATTGCAGACAAAAACGGGTGCTGTTCAGATGAAGTCGAGCGCAAGACGAGTGATCGGCTGCGATGCAGAGTAGTTGTCGGTCCATGGAACGGTTGATAGTATGGGCGTGGACTTTGTACTGCCAGCAATGAGGTTGATTTGAGTAGCGTTACTTTGTGGGCGGAGAAGGGTGTGAAATGCACTCGTAGAATCCAACCCGGAAAGGCAGCAGTAGGTGAAGAGAAAGAGGTCTGATTTTGGGCAGATAGACGGGGATGGTGGTTCTGTAAAAGGTATCTGTGACATAAAAGGAGCACAGATGGTCGGCCGGGAATTTGTCGGGGCCGGTAAGCGTGGGTCTGAGCGAAGTGGACTCGGGTGTATGGGCCGAAATGAGGGAGCCGGGCAAAGACGTGAAATATCTTAATATCTAAGGCAAGGTACGGTGTTGTCACGCGGAGAGAGCCGTGGAACGGGGTGATGGGGTCTGAGGGGTAGTGGTGGGGGTTGCAGGTACTTCGTAGTCGAGTCTGGTGTATGTATGTTTTGCAGACTGCTCCTGAGGATATGGATGGGTCGAAGTGGAATCTTTAGTGGGTTTAGGGATGAGATAGGGTCGGCAGAGTCCTGGTATCGTCAATCGGGCGATTGTTATACATGGGAGGCGATGATACAGGAGGGCTAAAGCTGGAGTTGCAGCAGAAAGTGAGGGCAAGAGAGATCCCTGGTTTGTGAGACAAATGGGGGAAGACGTTGGCTGAGTGGGAAGAGGACTGTGGCATTGGACAGAGATAAAAGAGGCGTGCCGTGTCAAGCAGCAAGGAGGAGGGGAAGGGTGAAGGGGGGGAAACCTAGAAGGTGAGCAGTTTATCAAGTTTCCCAATTTGAGCCGGGGGGATGTCAAGGTAATCTACGAGGGTGTGAGAGTGAATGGCGGGATGACAGAGACTGGACAGGAGAGCTTGAGAAAAGGATGGATGGGTGATGGATGATAGGGAGGGCTGGATTCGCAAGGGCCAGCAAAAATGAGGGAATTGTGTTGACAGGGGATCCGTAAGGCGCGACAGAGCTGCATACCATGCACCGTCGAAAGGCGATGGATGCAGTGTGTACCATACAAATCCAGGGTATATTGATCCATAATGGTATCTGTGTTCTAGATGAGCACCTTGGCAAGAAATTAACTCTCTGCAGTACTTGATCGAGAGCCACAAAGTGAAGTCTCAGACGAGGTGGATGGCGATGATATGGGGAACGGGGAAGCGGAAAGCGGCAGCCAGGAAGGTGGGTTCCGCGCGGGATTGTGTGATAGGGGATGGGGTGTTCTTTTGCAGGGAATGAGATATTGAAGCAAAATGGAGGTCTCACACTGTGGTATTGCCTTGTCCCCTTGTAGCTGCTGTGGTGACTCCGCCGGAAAGACACAGGAAAAATGTACACTGTACGGGACATCCCGCAAGCAGGCGCGGCATGTCGCGCCGTTTTACATCACAGTTATCAATCAGCCCAACAAACCAGTGAAGTCCGGTGCTATTGCAACCCACGCCAGCGCCCGCCAGGTGCTTAGTGGGCGCCTTGTGACTGGTGGGTGTGGGGGGGACCAACTGATAAGCTAGTCGTTGAGTCCCTGCCGAAGTGCCTCCCTCCCTTGGTTTCCATGACCGCGTGGTTGCTCGGGGCCCTTATATTTTCTTTTCCTTTTCCTGGGGGGTTTCTTCTCTTATTTTATTTCTTTGGCCTGTTCCCAATTTGACCATCTATCTCAGAGAGAGAGTTGGTGCGCGGGCTTTAATCGGCAGGGATCAGAGCTTAAACAGGATTTAAGCCATTCATAAAGCGCGACATCAATTTCAAGTCTATCCAAAGTGTATAGTTCTTTCATGCGAAGCCAGTGAAGATTGAAGGAGTTGTATTCTGGTAACGTACTAAGAACCAGAGCCCCAGCAACGAGGAAAAGCAAGTAATATGCACCCTCAGTCACGCTATCACTGTGCGGTTTGCCTTGCCGTACATCATGTGAGGTAACGAAGAGAAGAGAAGGCCACGAAGGCCTACCTAGAGAGAGTTCCCTCTCTTCCTCTCCGATGGTCAACGCCACCAGGCTTTTGGTCCATGTACACGCACTATTGGTTAGTTTTCCCTGCGCCCGTCCAAAATCTCCCTGGCACAGCGTCCATAAGATAATTGGATCGGACTTTCAGTCGTGGCTAGTTAGTTACTTTTGCTATTTGTAACGGCCCCCCACCCTTGGCTGGCAACATGGACAAGAAGACGGAACGCGGCCACAACAGCCCAAAGATAGCGCTACTCACCGTTTTTTGCTCAGAAACGGGCGGTGAGGTGTCCTAGAGCCGCGTGTGTGTCCTGAAAGATCTCGTTCTGCCACAATAGCCCCACTTATCAACCTTCGAGTTTGCCTATCCGTCAAATGAAGCCCATTACTTTATCTTACGTACAAGTACAGGAAAAGCCCAGGTCACGTAGGCCGCAGCCAGAGAATTGCTCGAGTATTCAAGCCACTTCATGACAATGAGGAACTCTGCTCAGTTGGCCAACCACGCGCACTTGCACAATGAAGCAATGAGACACGTTTATTGCGATATTGCGTCATATTCAACCCGCCCGCTTCTGAATAGGGTACTCCGCTTGCAACATATGCCATTTTTGCTTTGACAATGAACAAATCTCCGATCAACCCATGGTTGAGCCTCGGCGAAAGCCAGACAGTTACGCGGGAATCGGTAAGCCTTCCCGAGCACCGTGTTGGGCCAGCGCAAAGAAGAAGAAAAAGAGAGAAAGATTGTGACTGCTTTTCTTGCGGAAATTTCATCCGTCCCAGAGCACTTCGTTTTCGGCCTGTGTATGGTGCGCGTGTTGTGGACTTCTGTCGGCTTGACTATCCTCGGACCTTCACAAACGGTTTAGTCTTCGCATCCTGTTCTGCTACGGTGCTCAGCTTCGACATATGTAACCTTATCGACTACTACAAAAGTTGACAACTATATATTGTTAGGCTGACTGACTACCGATCAAGGCCATAACGATGTGTTTGAAAAAGACTGAAACCCGCAGATCCTATCACCATTGATGTCGATGCACATGCTAACTGGTTTACACATGCTCTTCGCAAAACAGATTGCGACACTGCGACGCTACATGCCGACTTGTGCTGTGCCATCTTGGGACGGTCTGGCGCACTCATCCTGGCGTTTGGAGATGCATCCGCATCGCTTGGTTCTAGCGGGCTCGCGTTCAGCTATGCAAGGCCTGCTTATTCTGTGCTCTTGTAGAGTCAAGATGTTTAGCTTTATCTTTTCTCATAGTGGAACATGTCAGCTATAACGTCGCACAGTACCTAGCGCTCGCTTGGGCTAGAGTTAGGCAAGGTGCAGGACGACTTTACTGCCCAGCCTTTCGGTCCGATTTACTACCGCTCAATACACAGCGCCCGTTGATTCCGTTATCATTCCATAGTACAATACCACCTCGAAAAAGTCATAACCGTGTGTTCCGTCGACTGTGGCTTTTACCCGAGCTGTGCGCCGGGTTGGAGCATGGCGGCTATGCGGCCAACCAAATAGGGTTGTTGCAATCGTCGCCATCCAGCCAGCCTGGTGATTGGAGGGGCGCCGCTAAGCCGGCCTGAGGGGGAAGATGAGGTTTGCAAGTCCCATGCTCTGGCGTATCCCCATTTCCTAGCAGAGAGCTTTGAGCTGTGCATCAACGTCTACACCTGGAGACTCCACCACACCGGAGACTGCTTCGTTTGATAATTATCAATGGGTAGGTTCGACGAAACCGTCGATTCACTATTAGAGACATACTCTAAGTGCCTGTCACTGTTGAAAGACCTAGGTGGCACGTGTAGTGAGAGCCAGCCGCGCCAACTTCGAAAATGTATTCGTTCCGACCGATCAAAAGTACGAAGGGTGTACTCCTCGCAGCTGTCGCTTAAAGGCAGTCAACTCGAAACAGGCGATGGTAAGTCCCCCAGCATTGTAGAGTTCCCAGGCTCAACTCACATCACAGCCACGGCGCGCTCTTCGCTGAGAAGAGTTATCAAACGCCTCACCTCGGCGATGACGCGACTTCTGCGGGCCATGACGGAAACCCAGAATCCCACCATTGACTACCAGTCGTTGAGGTCGCTATCTAGCTCGTTGTCTCTGGATGCTGTTAAGACCATCAATGGACTCTCACGGCGGCTCAGCAGCTCATCTTTCAAGTCCAATTCTGCTTCGAGCAAGAAGAGCAAAAGCAAAAAGCGAACTAAGACCCCTGGAAAGTCGCCAACGGTGAAGCACAAGAAACTTGTTAGCGATGAGGCTGAGCGATTTGAAGAAAGACAGCAAACCCCGCCTCCTGCCTCAACCGCAGGCCGCGATAGTGTTTCTCAATCTGATCCAAAGAAACGCGTCTCCATGGCCACAGTATCGTCGGGAAGCACGCAACTGGGCGAGGTTGGCTTCCACAAAGTCTGCCGGCGCCAGTCATGCTACTCGGCAGCGTCGGGCGATTTCAGCATGCAGCCAATATATCCTCTCAGACCTTACCAATCAAAGCCCAAACGCAGGAACTTCTGGCGCTGGTTTGGGTAAGAATGATATGGTGGCGCGATTGGCTGATATGCGAAGCCGTGTTTTGTATACCGCAATGTCTGGGCTAGGATGATCTTGCGTTGCTAGCCAAACTGGTTGTTGTTGAACCTTGATGGAAGGAAAGAGGTATGGATGGACAAGATTTGAGACCATGATAGAACCTAACGCCAGACTTTCAACAACTATTATACAGTCGGTGCTTTACCAAGTTCGCAGAAACTTCGAACACGAATATGGGTCAGTCCTGTGTTTTTAAAGATAGCTCAGCTTGCGACCTTGTTATAGCCCCTTCCTCCAGGTTGGCGCAGGTATGCTGCTTTGAATGCGGCAGGTCACGCACTGGCGGACATGCCTAGGTGCCCTTGATCGAGCTTCTCCAATGCGAAGCCGTTCCGTGTAGGCACTCTCAAGTGCTCGAGTGTTTTACAGAATGTCAAGCTGATGATGGAGGAAAATTTGGTTAAATTGTTACCAAAAAGGCGAAGAGCAACTTAGGTAGCAAGGCGGTAAAGTAGAGGAAATTCGCAAGTTGGCCATCGAGAGGGTGATTGAGGACCTCAACTCAGATCTGAGTGCACTGTCAACTACTTCCAAATGCACTCGTAGAAGTGAACAAGGGCTGGCTCGACCTGGACTCAGTCTAAAGCGGCGACTTTTCAGGATGCACACTCAAAATCCCTCTGGGGTATCTGTGAAAGCGGTAGGTTATTGGGCCTATTGCGGGCATCGCAAGACAAAAGTACTGGCGGGGTACCTCTACGCCTATCTAGTGAGGAAAGCTACATGCAGTACAAGTCTTACGACTTCGCTGGACGTCACTCACCCTGCCCCACCATCCACATCTCCATTCTAAGCTAGGCCGCAGCGTGTCTTTACGATCACCATGTTCGCGAGACGACACCCAACGGCACCTGCAAAATCAGCATAACGGCAGCGATAGCAACGTGAACCTGCCACGCCCGTTGCCAATATCTTTCGCACACAGGGCATTCATCCTTCCTCCCTCTGGCTACCCTCCAACGATCGAACATGCTGCATCGCTACCATTAAAGCAAAACCACACACACATTGCACCCCTCACAATGCCTCCTTCAGATCCCGCCACCAATCTTAGCGCCCTGTTGCGCGCGGCTTCTATAGAGGACCATGAAGAGGTTTTGAAGGCAGCCAATGCCTCGCTCAAAGCCTCGAAATACGACATTACGGCCCAACGCACTCGAGTCGTTGCCCTTCTCAAGCTGGACCGCTTCGATGATGCTCTCCGCGCCATAGCCGATGCTGGTGATAAGTTGGAAGATGTCTGTCTTCTGGAGAAGGCCTACGCGCTATACAAGACGGGAAAGCTTGAGGAAGCTCGAGAGGTCGCCAACTCGAAACCTCAGCGCAGCTTCCGCCACATTGCTGCACAAGTCGCCTATAGAGCTGAAGACTTTGAGGACGCACTCGAAGTGTACAAGGGGTTGTTGGAAGACCCTGAAGGCGAGGAGGGCGACCTCAACATCAATTTACTAGCTTCTGCCGCTCAGCTGGAGTGGAAGTGTATCGATTTTAACGGCAACAAGTCGCATACTCTGACTGATGCGGATGCGGACACCTTCGAACTTGCGTACAATGTTGCATGCGGCTGCATTGCCCGAGGCGAGCTCTCCAAAGCATCCCATCTTCTCCAGCGCTCTCTTCGCCTCTGTGATGAGTCCGAAGATCTTACCGAGGACGATAAACAGGCTGAGATGATTCCCATCATGGTCCAGCAGGTCTACGTCTACGCTAAGTTAGGCAAGGCTGATGAAGCCCTCGAAGTCCAAAGGCGTCTGTCCGTGTCTGAGTAAGTTCTCACCCGAATCGTTTTATGGATGGCCATGGCTAAAGCTCTCGTTCAGCAATTGGGATGCGGAGTCTAAGCTGACAGCTTTGAACAACACCTTGGCTCTTGCGACTGAAGCCAAGAACCCTTACCTGGCCCAGCGTGAAATTGAATCAGCATTAGCCCTAAGCAAACAGGCCAAGTTGTTCAAGTACCAGGAGAGCCAGTTGAAGCGAAATCAATACATTCTCAGCCTTCAGGCACAGAAGTTTGCCGGCGTCTACCGAAGTACATCTCGAGCGCTGGCCGAAGCCCCGCCCACTGTATCTGTCGATACAAACGGCCTGTCTGCCATTAATGCCACAGCTCGCGCGCTGCGTACTTCCAAGACCGTAGATGTCAAAGCAGTCATTCCTCTCCTCGAGAAGCGTCCCGCCGATGTGGGATTGCTTCTGGCAATTATTCAGCTGTATCTTGCTGCTGATAACCCTGGGGCTGCGTTGTCTGTACTCGAGCTTTTCTTGCAGAACCTGGAGAAGCAGGATGAATCAGGCGTTCGTTTCTCGCCGGGTCTGGTCGCGTTGACTGTCTCCCTCTACAGACAACAAGGACGGCACGGCAGTATACGGTCGGAACTAGCAAGAGCCTCGTCATTCTGGGAGAAGCGGGATGGACGCCACGTCGATTCTCTCCTCCGCGGCGCTGGATCCGAGTTGCTCAAATCGTCTAACCCTGCTGACCTCGCCGCCGCTGGCGCAGCCTTTGAGAAGCTCTGTCAGAAGCCCAATGCGGATCAATTTGCTGCAACAGGCCTCGTAGCATCCTTTGCCACCGCAGACCGAACCAAGGTCAAGCCGTACCTGAAAGACCTCCCTTCTATTGACAGCCTCATCGGGGGTATCAACCTTGACCAGCTTGTTGGGGAAGGTGTTGCTACTTTCGCGACGCCTGCAAGCCAAACCAAAAAGCGAGGGCTGGAGACGCAACCGACTGAGTCGACAAACAAAAAGAAACGGAGGAGAAAATTGCCCAAGAACTACGAAGAAGGAAAAAAGATGGATCCTGAGCGATGGCTGCCGCTCCGTGACCGCTCTTCCTACCGGCCCAAAGGTAAAAAGGGCAAGAAGAAGGCGAACGAGTCCACGCAGGGCGGCTTTGTCAAGGACGAGGAAACGCTTGAGCTCGCGGGCGGCGCAGGATCTGTCAAGGTCGAAAAGGCGCCAGCTTCTTCGTCCAACAAGAAGAAGAAGAAGGGCAAGAAATGAAGAGGAGTTGAGGTTTTGGACCCTAGGCCGCAAGGCTCGACCGACCATAATATAAGCCCATCTTCGCCAGAATATTATGATAACATTAAAAGAAAATATACTCGCTGTGCAGCAAGTCTTCCTGAGAATTTGTCGACCGTGGTGCGCTCTAATTTACACAAATGCCATGTTCATGCTAGCCACCTTTTTTGTTGACCCTAATCGCCATCACAATGCTATGCCCAAAGTCCAAAGTCCTGTCCCGCTCAGCCATGAACCCATACATATGTATACATCTGCCATTAGATCAACTGCATCTCTCTATACTATCGAGAGAAGGTAAGTGAACGACGAGGAAAGAGCGCCCCCGCCCGTGCAAACTTAAGGTACCCTTTCTATGCCTCCGACGAATGAACCAGCTGAAGTTTCGTCATCGATCGCATGTCACCTTGTGTATACGACCCATCTTGTCCCTCCCGGGCCCCAAGCCCCTTGCGTCCTTTATCTATACCGCTTGCGTAACACCCCTCAAGCCTGCACAGCGGGCTCTATGTAGCTTCGTACTCAAACATGGTGCAAACTGGGTGCCTAAGCCTTAACTGCTTGAAGAGGAGGACTCGGCAGCCGTTGCATCTCGCCATCCTTTTCTTCTCCCTCGTCGTTTTTTGATGGCGCCACCGGCTCGAATGGAGGTGCTAACGCAGCAGATATGGGCTGCGGGCTGGCCATAACATGGCTCTCCTCCTCATCGCCAGATTCATTCTCAATCGGAGGCAGTGGTGTCCGACGTCCTTCTGAAAAGCTGACTGCATCGCTCTCACCATCAGAAGGCACTGAGAGTCTCCCGGCGAAAGCCGGGGATTTAGAGGCGTGAGCGGAAGAAAATTTGCGATGAAGCTCGCGGAAGCTTCTCGCCGTTGCAGTGCTGGCGCTTGCGGCCGACTCTCTGCGTTCCCGAGGGATTAAAGAGTTGTTTAAAGCGTCGTGGAAATCCTCTTCCATGCTAGTGGGGGAGGCTGGCTCTTCGCGCTGGCCCTGCTTCCGCTGCCTCAGACGCTCCTCCTGAGTCAATTGTTGCAGCTCGGAACCGAAGTTGATGACAGATGCCTTCTTGCCGTGTACCACAAAGCTACCAGAGCCCCTGGTGAGTACATCTTCACGACCGGGGTCTTCTAACACCCCACCCGTGATAGCGTCTTTTCCTCTCCTGCTGCGGTGATGTGAAAGATGACCGGCACTTTCTCTCAGTGTACGTTGCAGGCTTCGTCGAATCTTAGCCTTGTCTTGTTTATCAATAGCATTCGGCGTGTCACGAGATTCTGACGCATCTCCAGTTTCAGACATTGAGCCTGTACGCTTTCTTTCCGGTGTCCTGCCCTGAGACTCTGATCTCAACAAACCTGCCTGCTCAAGAAGCACGCGCTCGTTCGCATCAACATCATCTTGATGGTTCTCGTTTGCGTGTGGTTCAACGCTCTTGCCCTTCTTAGGCGTCGAATGCTGTTGCGGGCTGTAGAACGTAGGCTCGCCTGATGATTGACTAGACCTTGAACTGGGCCGTTTCCGGTGGTTGAGTTCTTCTGACGTCGATGTCTTTGAATCCCATGAGTTCTGGTGCTTGTGGGGAAAGGTAGCGCTCGTAGGTGGTGTTTGGTAAGCCTCAGTTACCGGAGACTCAGGCTCCGTCGGAGCTGTTTTCGTCGATCCTTGTACCACGGAGATGGCCGCAGAGGACCGTCGTCTCCGTCGCGGTACACTCGAGTTCGAACCCACTTCAAGAACGGAAGGCCTTTCTTGAGAAGGTGACGCCTCGCGAACCTCGTGACCATTTTGTGTCTTGGCAGGTACCAGACCTTGGAGTCGCTGTTCCTCAGCCAAATCCTTTAGCAAGACGTCTCGATGACACCGTGACTTCCACATATCCATGCGAATCCATTTGATCTTGACATCCATATGAGCTGCAGCAGTGAGAACTTGGTCCCTAGTCTTGGCTTGAATCGGGGAGAGGATTTGGAGATGGCGAGCATTTCTCAAGTGAATCTCCAGCTCTTGCTCCTTCATCGCAATTTCTTCATCAGCCTTTGCAACAGCATCCATCATGGTCTGCCGTCGTTGCGCCTGAATGGATTCGGCTTCCTTGTGATCTATCTGGCCACGGACAATACTAACATTGCCAGTTGGAGTTTGGATGATCTGTTCAGATGCTGAACTGCCGAGTCTTCTGATGCCCCGTCGACTCTGACCCTCGTAGTTACCACCTACGACGCCCCGCATACGGACACCGGATGTAGTAAACGCGGCAGCGTAGTTTAATTTGGCAAGCCAGTCGTTCATCTCCTCTTCGTTATCGGCAAGCAATACCTCTTCAACAAAAGCTCCTGGTCGAGAGTATTTGAAGGCATTCTTGTGCTTCTTATAGGTCGAGTCAACGAGTGCAACAGCTTCTTTTGTCGGAAGGTATCCGTCTGGTTTGAATTCTGGTAGCGGTGGCTTAAATGTGATCGGCTCGCCATAGTAGCCTTGCTTAATATGAGACTCGTACTGGTGCATGAGGTTCTTAATCCACGTTGTGTTGCGGAAAAAGTAGAGCTGGGCGCCTGTGAGGATCGCTCCCCACTCCTGCCATGGCGACCTAGTTTTCTTTTTCTTAACATCTTTCCTCCATAGGAGGCCAACTTTAGTAATTTTTATATCGACAACGCCCTGTGCCGCCTCGGCGGGATTGATAGCGCTCTTCTCATCCCGAAACGCGTCCGGCCGTGACCTAGCCGACACGATCTGCAATACGCCGGTTCTAAAAAAAGTTCTTTGGAGCTCTTTGACATTGAGGTCTTTTGCTGTCCCTAGGTAGTCGTAGTGGTCCTCAAGCTCCATTACGTCTTTGAGACTGGGCCGCAGAACATCCAGTTTCCCATCTATGATAAGTGTATATGGGTCAAGGGGCTCGCGATTGGTCCGCTTGACAGTGGTATCAGGTGTGCCCCCGGGAAACAGCGTCTTCCGCTTGGCTCTATTCGACATGAGCCGATCACTGTTGAGATCCAAGTCATCCTCGACGTGAATGAAGGGAGTATATGTAATGTTGTCGTAAAAGCATCTCAATATAGGGTCCGAGACACCCTCCCCTTGAGTATTCTTCAGATAGTCAGGCTGCTGCATCTTGTGCTTGTTGTTCTTGTTAAACACGTCGGTATGCAGAATGAGAAGGGAAAATGCCACAAAGTAGGCCTGGTCGGGTGAGGCGTAGATACCAGGATTGCATTCGTGATAACGATTTGCAAAGGCTTGTAAACACCTGTCTATCTGTTGTGTCTCTTTCGGCAGCTCGGCTTCCATGAGCAGTTTACGGATGGCCATATCCATTGGATCACCGAAGAAGCTGAATCGACGCATATAGCTGCGCAAGACGGCTGCCGAGAACGCATCACTCCCTTTGGATAAAACGCTGGCGATGACTCCGCGGCTGAGTATCTCCTCTATGCGAGACAGGTATTTTGCAGGCGTCTCGTCCTCTAACTTCTCCGGCAAAGCAATGGGCTCTCGCGCAATTTGTAGAGAATTATTCTTTGATGTATTGGAGCCTGGTGTCACAGGTGTGAGTGTTCCCTGTCTGCTTTGACTTAGGTCGGAATTCTGGCGCAATCGATTGAGACCAAAAAGATCGCCAAAGCTTTTACGCCCAATGGAAGTAGATGCTCGACTCATTCCTGGATCAAGATGCCCGTCCATTGATTCTCTGCCCATAGAACTCATAGTTGATGATCGTCCCCGGCGCTGCAAACGAGTGCGAGTTGGCGATGACTGGCCTGAGTGGGTTGAGCCGGGTCGGAAGAGAGCTGTAGCAGGCGACACGTTTGGTCTGTTTGGTTGGTCGAGAATGGAGGAAGTCACTGAATCGGCGTGCGTACTATAGCTCGATGGCGGCCGCGAGCCATGGTGAGGACGCGGGGTGCTCTCTCTGGACGTGGACACTGCGACTGGCTGAGATGTGCCCAGTGACGAAGATGACATGGCAAGGTTGCCTGTTCCATTGGGGTGTTTTCCTTTTTGAGGTAGATGTGACAAATCGAACATTGGCGCCGGGGCTTTCGGTTTCCTTCGAGGTAGGCGGAAAAAGCTGGTGCTCGTTGGTACCTGAGATGAATTGCCAGCAGTGGTGGAGGGATATGTGTGTTCTCCCGAGCTCGCATCTGAGCGTGATGACTCCGAGGCTCGAGTTGCCGGGAGTAATAGAGCCGTACCGTCGGGATTATCACCATCTGCAGGCGCTCTTGACGAAGACGGACGATTAGGCTCTTCAAAGGTAACCAGAGTAGGCCGGCTCTTCGAGGCAAGATCTTCTAGGCCTGTTTTTCTCCTGGTCGATTTCCACGTCACGGCACGATTGCCTCCATCCTCGCTATTTCTTGGGAGTTCACCGGATCTTCGGAATCGGTCGGCGAGTCGCATTCGGGATTGTTTCTTTTGGGGTACCTGAAAGTCGACGGTTGGTGCAGTGGTGATGATTTCAGGAGCTAGCGCAGCTAGTTAGTACCATCAACTCAGCAAGGCGCGCCATACTGCCAAGAAAAGAGAGGGAGGGGAACGCACGACGAGGAACAGGAGGCGGTTTCTCAGCCTGCTGCTTCGCCCTTAAGGACAGCTGCGAGTCGGAGGCATTGCGGAACCTTAATATGGAGAAACGGCGGTGCTTTGGCGTCTCGTCTTGAATGGGGGGAGTATCCGGTCGGGCATAGGGGTCGTCGGGATCAAAGCCAGAGTCGGATTGCGCAGGCACGGCCAGAGACATCGAAGGAGTCTCGTCAATTGAGGGAGACACAGAGACTCTAGGGATATCCTGCTGCTGCTGCTGCTGCTCAGGTAGGGGTAGGGGTTGCGATTGGGGTTTCGGTTGCTCCTGCTCTAGCTGCTGATGTTGCGGCTGCGGCTGCGGCTGCGGTTGCGGTTGCGGTTGCTGGGGAGGAAAGTGTTGCGGGAGCGGCGGTAGCTGGGGCGCGGAGTCGGTATCAAGAATGGTGTGGCGTCTCATATCGGTCTCGCTGACCATGTTGCCGCGACGGCGTAGAAACGGCATGACGGCGATGGGTCATGGTTTGCGAGGGATACAGCGTCGAAGTCAGAGTATGACGGCCGTAGCCAAGCGAGATACGAAGCCGTCGGATCCGGGAATTAGGCCATCAGCAAAGCGGGAGGTCAAGTAGGGAGATAGGTAAGATTGAAGAAGATCGGAAAAGGATAAATGGCACAAGAGGAGGAGTGGAGGAGGGAGAAGGAATGATTCCTTCTTTCAGTCAGATGGGTGAGGTTAGGTCCAGGTAAGGTAAGGTAAGGTGGGCAGGGTATGGAAGCGTAATGTTATGCTAGCCGCAGTGCAAGGCAAAAGACAGGACAACCAGGCATCCTATGACGGGGCAAAGCGACGCAGAGCAGTTGCAGGGGACCAAATAAGGGAGGGAGACGGGAAGGATAGGAAGGTGGGGAGAAATATGAGGTAAGGCAAGGTAGAAGAGGAGGTAGGTGTTGAGAAAGTGTAGAAGTGAGGTAAGAATGGTTGGTGATGGGAAGGCTAGGCACGAAAGGAGGTGGAGAGGATGAACTGAAAGCGATAATGAGTGTTAGGGACGAACGAAACTGGACACGGCAACGTCAGCGACGAAGGACAAGAAAAACATTCCAAGTAGCAATGGCGTCGTGTTGTCGCAGCGTTCTGTCTTGTCTCGACAGAGGGAAAGGAAAAGAAAAAGCGCTGGGCTGGTGTTGGCCTAGGCCAAATTGCACTGAAGCGATCAAGCCTTTGGGTCTGGAAGTACCTAGCCACCCTCCGTCCTCTTTGGCACTGGACGCATTTGGGTGAGCAGCTCGATGGGCCGTCTAGGCTGAGGTGGCCTGCAGTAGCGCTACTGGGGCTGCTTTGGGTGCTGATGTTAGAGGGCAGCCCGACAACTGGGCATGGTCAGACCTCTTGTGATGCTCCTTAGACAGCCCCGCCCGCTCTTATCCCCGTTAATGTTTGGTGCAGTGCTGACAGGGCCAGAAAGAACGGTGATTGATAGGGAGTCTGGTCTAGCCTTGCTCAGCCCAGCTGGCCAGCCCACCCCATTCGACAGCGCCTTGCTATTCAAAATACGATACCTGGCAAGGTCGTCTCCCCATCCAATTCTCCAGGGGTTTGGTTGGTTATATATATGCCCCATCAATAAATGTAAGTTACATGGAGTTAAGATCATGGCAGGTGGATTCGCCATGTCACCAGTCACAGTGCGCCGCACAGTTTTTGACACCCAAATTTGCGCCTTTCCTTTGACCAGAAATGGTCACAGTTCGTCTTGTTCCCTACGGATCTACAGTGCTAGTTGACGGTGGTTATATCGTTTTAAGATGAGGCACCCGGCCAGTAATAGTACAAGCTTCTTGTCAGTTCCCCCTCCTGATTGTAGAGCATCAACCCAAAGGCATCTTATTGAAGGAAAGTGAAGAAATCGAAATTTATGAAAAGAAAGCGCCCTTACACAAGGCAAGAAGGGGATCATTAAATCAGAGCCTCCGGACTTCTGCATGTAAAAACATGAGATAATCGAAAAGAGAAAATTGGGAAATAGCAAGGATTATAATGCACAGGTGCACCAGCAAGATAATAGGTCAGCGGCTGAGTGCAAGGTTGCTTCCCTGTCATCAGCCCCAAGGAACGAGTCTTATTGCTGCAGAAACCCTCGCCGTTTCCATCAATTCCATTCCCTTGCCATCCCCCACCACTATCGACTGCCTCTGCAGTTCGTCACAACCTACTTCACGACGACAACGACACGCCCAAGATGCGTCCTCAATTAGTGCTCTCGCTCGTCAACATTGCCCTTTTCGCACCGTCCGCTGACGCCGCCCGCATCGATCCGTATCTCAATAGTAACACTCCAACATCTAGCCTCTTCCCCTTCTTGACGTGGCTTCGCGATGGCGCCATCGAGTTCGTTTTCGGACCCGCGCCGGCCAAAACGACCACTCGTCCTACGTCGCACCCAAAAGCTAGCCTTCGAAACAAATACAACGATCAAGTCGTCCTGCGTTTTAACCTGACTACTCCAGAAGAAGAGACCGCCTTCTCCGAGTCTGCGGCTCGCCTTTTCCTTGATGTCTGGGCATTCAACCACAATTACGTTGACGTCCGCCTGCGCAACGATGACATTGCCTCCCTCCTTGGCCTCTTGCCCGAGTCTTTGAGGTCTGCGTATTCAACTTTGATTCCAGACCTGGCTGCCTCGGTATACGATACATATCCGACAATCGCCGCGCCCACCCAGATCCAGCGTCTCGAGGATCGCAGAGCATCTATTCAACTGTCACGCAGAGATAACGACAATGTTTTCTTCCAAGAATATCAACCACTTTCTGTAGGTGCATCTCGGCACAGCCAATCAATACCACAACTAACTCAGCCCAGGTCATTGTTCCCTGGATGCGTCTGATGGAAGCCATGTTCCCATCCATCACTGAATTGATCAGCATCGGCAAATCCTATGAGGGTCGAGATATTCCGGCCCTTAAGATCGGCGTTAAAACACCCGGGAAGGTCGTAAAGAAGAGAAAAACCGTGGTGGTAACAGGAGGCATGCACGCTCGCGAATGGATATCTACGACGACAACAAACTACGTTGCATGGTCCTTCATTACCTCCTTCGGCAAGGAGCCTATGATCACTAAGCTGCTAGAGCACTTTGACTTTGTCTTCATTCCTGTTGTAAACCCCGACGGCGTTGAATATACTTGGCAGGTAGACCGTCTCTGGCGCAAGTCTCGACAACAAACAGGTATGCAGTGGTGTCGCGGTTTCGACCTTGACCACGCCTTTGGCTTTGAATGGAGTGGTCTGGATTCCGAGAATGACCCTTGCTCCGAAAGCTACGGCGGCACTGAGCCATGGGAAGCAACCGAGGCCATTGCACTTGCAAAATGGGCGAAGAACCAGGCCGAGGAGAAGGCGGAGTTCATGGGCCTAATTGACCTGCACTCTTATTCTCAACAGGTTCTTTTCCCATTTGCCTACTCCTGCGACGTGGACCCACCCAATGTTGAGAACCTTGAAGAACTGGCAGTTGGACTTGCCAAAGCCATTCGCCTGTCCAATGGGGAACAGTACTCGGTAACATCGGCTTGCGAGGGTGCGGTCGTTGCGCGACATGGCAAGAGCAGCGCACGACGCATCGAGACCGGTGGTGGTTCAGCCATCGACTGGTTTTACCATGAGCTACACGCGCACTACAGCTACCAAATCAAGCTTCGAGATACCGGCAGTTACGGGTTCTTACTTCCCAAGGATAACATTATTCCGGTTGGTGAAGAAATTTTCAATGCCATGAAGTATTTTGGAGATTATCTCCTAGGGAACAATGGCATTGAGAAGTCAATTGAAGCATCTTCCCTGGAGGAATCGGCAGTAGACGATTCGGACCGTGGCAACGAGCTCAAGCGGATGAGACGGAGAAGATAAACTTTGGTGCTAGGTGGTATATGTGTGTATGATTGGCGTTACGGCATAGGCGGATTGATATTAGAGGACATGATGTTCATGTTAAGCACGCAGCGACCGGCAGGTAATTGGTACGGTTACTGGGAGGACTTGTATGTATGTTAAGGTATTTGGGGAAGTAGCTACCCTCGACATTATTTTTTTGCGGCATCTATGAGTACATGAGGGTTGTGTCTGTTGTGAATCACAACCTTGAGCAGATTTACCAGTCCATGACCATGGAAACAGAGGTGTAGACGGCGGTGAACTTGAGGAGCGTGTCGAATATGAAGGACCCAACGGAACCACTGGTGACCTGTTAGTCGAAATATAATGCACAGGCCTATACGAAAAGGCACTCACCGGAGCCGGCCTGCGGGGCCAGAGCTCGTGTAACCAAAAGCGTAGATGAGTCGGGAGACAGCCCAGCCGGCGCCGAGGGCAGCACTGGCAAGGGGGAATCGGAGACCGGAAATGAGCAAGGCGCCTAGAAACGAGGGCTGGTTCTCGGTAAAGTTGGCGTGGGCACGTTGTGCTGGAAAACGTTGTCAGTATGTCGGGTTATGCTTGAGGATTCCGGCGGGCGGGTACGAACCGCAGTTGAACAAGTAGGCCTTGGTATCCTTCTCAGCAACCTCATTGGAGGCGTACGGCACTGGGTAAAGAAGGCCGCTGGCCTTGCGGGCTTTGCTCGTCAGGATGGCGTGAGTGGTGTTGATGAAGAACGTGGAGGCGGCCACGAGGAGGACGTATCTATCGATGATCGGGTCTGATTAGTTATTGTCTAGGTGCTATATCCCGAAGCAAGCAAACTTTCTAGGTGAAGGGAGCGGCGGCTGCGTACCCGTACTCGTTAGGAACTTGTAGTGTGATGGCCATGGTGGCGGGCTTGTGTACAGAAGTTGACGTTGGTGATGTGTTTAAAGTTAATTCAGTGCAAGAGTAGATCTCCCTAGGGCCGATAGGTTAGTGGGATAGGGTAGGGAATGTTGGTGGTTTTTTTGTATTTATATAGGTAGATTTAACAATTACCTAGTTACACTATAGTTCGTCTTCTCCACGGCCTGTCGGTTCGAGACACCAGGTGTCTGGGCTATCTCCGTCCGATTCTCCGCTCGCTAAGAGCAGCTTAATTTAAGTGCCCTCGGCCGCTGCGTTCCATGGCCAGATAGGCTAGTTCCCGCCCACTGTAAATGCGACGGCACGTCTGCTTGCAAGGACCGACGGGGTGGAAACGGCAACACTGAAGACCCGAGTGCCGATGTTGTTTGAATCACCGACCAATTGGCTGTGCTGAATGTCAAAGACGCAAGGGATCTGTCAAGGTATGTTCGTCATGGCTTCCACGGTCTTCGGTCCGCGGAATTTGGGCGGAGTTTGAAGCAGACGAATTGATGCCAAGCTGCCATAAAACGGGTGAAATCAGTCCTTACTTTAGAGTCACATCGTTGATGAGGCTGTTCAAAGGCATATCTCAGCCCTGTGCGTCTCCTACGCATCAACGGCTCCTCCCTTCAGATAAAGTATTAACGAAGTCAGCACGCCATTTTAACTCCCGACTCATCATCGACGCTTTACTGGGCCGTACCGTCAAATCGGATGCTCTTCTTCTTATTGGTACATTCTCTATTTCTTGGCTCAGATACCTCATGCACCTCAATCTGCCCATATTTAATCAAACTGTCAACGGGAACTTCACTTATCAGTGCAGTGTAATCGCAATCTAAGTTTATCCTGTACACCTATCTTCTGGGGGAATCCAGTCTAACCCAAGACCCTCAAAAACTCTCTTCTCCGCTGTCAGCATATCCGAAGCCTTTCCATTACCCTCAAAGTCTACCCAGCAACCATCAAGCCGATTACGGATGCCGCTACTATCAAATTTCAAATTTTTCTGTTTCTTGCAATAGCGGCGAAGGTCTCGTTGGAAAGTGGTGTCTCCGCTCCAACCCAGTAAAGCACAGCCAACTGTCTTCCAAGGGCTCAGGATAATATCTACTCGTCGATGCGGTCTTTGACTAGCCTGAACAGTTGACTTTGATCCGGTAGACTCGCATTGATCACTTGTGCCCGGTTGCTGCCACACGACAAGTGCCTTATCCAAAGTGTCGAAACCACTGCCCTTTGAATCATTGCCCTTCCAACTGACAGGTTGCTGGCCGCGCTCACTGTTATGGTTGCTCAAAGTGAGCGTGTGAGTAATGTATTTACTCTTTTCCAGGCTTAGTATGAGCTTTCCAACGAAGTTGAGCGTCGCAGATTCATCCGGATGGCTGATGATGACGTCTACGTCTCCGCTACCCTTTTTGCCGCGCCGATAACCACCGGCAATGACCATTTGGAAGTCAGGACTGAACCGCTGCGCGTGACTAAGGATAATATTGGCGATGGACTCAACCTCGTGTCGTGGAATTTTGAGCTTGAAATCGTCATAGAACTTAACGCCAATCTGCTGCACTCGCGTTAAACTGTCCCAACCATACTCAACCACATCGTCTAAATCTCGCCATCCTACAGGCTGGTTATTATATAAGATGAAAAATGTGACTTGATTGCAAAACCTACCCTTCTGATAGAAATGCCGGGCTGTTGCGTCGCCAACTCCCCATACGCCATAGAAAAGGTGCATTACAGAGAGCTTAGGGTCTGCTAGACTATCGTCCGCTTCATGTAGCGTGCCGATCTCTTTCCATTCATGCCACAGCTCGGCAATCTTACCACCACAGCCTGGTAACCTGGCAACCTCTGGCAGACATATGGTAAGTAAAATTGCCCCACACCATGTTCTTGATTTAGAGGAGGCTGCCCACCTTGCGGATTGGTTATGACATGAGGATACGCTGAAATCGTCGCAATCGATGTCGAGTATGCTCTTACCCCTATTTGGTCCCCTGTGAGTTTTCGCACGGTTCGTATCTTCTTCAACTCTTCGACAAACGCGGCATTCAGAGGGTCGGCGGGTGTGGCTCGTTGGCAGGCATAGGTTGTTCTGAGATAAGACGGTATAAGCGGGAGTTCCAAAGCCGACTCATGCTCTGATGTTGTTTGTCTGGTCAGTGAAGGTACCGTCCGATAAGCATTCACGGAGGATATGGCCATTCGAGGCCTTGGTTCGGTGGATTGCTGAGCCTGTATCGATGCGTCGACTGCGGCACGAGTTAGAATATCACTGCCCTTAATAACAGTCGGCTTTTGATGGGTATCTTTCTTCCGGCCTTCGTATATAAGGTAGTGGTGCAAAGGCAGGATTTCACCCGCTTCAAGAGACTCAATGAGCCAGGCGAGGTTGACGACTTTAATAATATGGGGGTCGTTGGGTTTACTGGGCCCAGACAACAGTCGTGGGCTTCTCAACCGGCTTGGTTCCTTCCTGTCACCATCCTGTGTGTACACGCTTGAGTCACTATCGCTCATGAGCGTACTCCACTGGGTTTTCTGAGATATTGGAACCTGTGATTCTGTATTCGTTGTGCCAACCGGTTCTGTGTGCACTTTCATGTGCCTTAGCTCAAACAGGGCCCTCTCCTTCTTGAAAATGTTGCCGAGTATGATTACAGCCTCATGAATGTCGAAGGTCAAATTCGGTATCTTCTCCTCCAGTTCATGAAGACGATCTGGGCTCAGATGTGTTGGTAATAGGAACATTGGCGGAAAATCAAGACCTGTTGCCATGGCCCCTAACAAGCCTTGCGTTCCCCGTAACGAGAGTCCCGAACTTTATGTATCTAAGCCGAGCTTGTTAGCCGGTATCTATAGTCACAGTGGCCTGGTTATGCCCTTGAATGAACTCTAAGGCGAGCCGTGCTCAACTGGGAAATCCGTGAGTATTGTTTATGGGACTTGGACATCGAAAGTCAACGTTATTAGTCAACGTTATTGTGTAAACCAGGCAGCATGTCGCAGTTGCAACACGCCTTCATTGAGCCTTACTCACATTGAAAGAAGTCAAGATTTAGGCGGCAAACTCGCCCGATGGATGGCAAAAATAGTGCATGATCCGTCATTTCTATTGGCTAATTTGCGACACATTTTCCTTCGCAGCTTTAAGCACTGACATCATCGTTTCGACAAGGCCTCAATTCCAAGTTGAAGAGACACCACACATATACCTAGACAAAAGTCTATTTCGGTGAATGGGCATAATGCTTTTATTGGTTCAGTACATAGTGTCCTTTTAGTAGTAAAACGAGATAAATTGCGGTTTAAATGACACCATCAAACGTCCTCAAACTCGACGTCTTCATCGCTTTCACCATCGTCTGGCATCTCTACCTTTACCCTCTTGGCAGGTAGCTCCTCCATATCGACAGATGCTTCAATCTTGGGAACTGGCGTGGTATTGCCCACTGGTGTTACGTCCTCAAAAGCATCGTCTTCCTCTTCTTCATCATCGTCATCGTCTGATCCCTCTTCCTCAAGAGCTCTAGCTGCTTCTGCTGCCTGTTCAGCTTTAAGCCGAGCAAAATAATCATCCAGCTCAGCATGTTCCTGGTTGTCTGCTGAATTGGTTACGGTGTCCTTCTCGTCCACTTCTTCAACCTTGGTCGCAGGTATTGGGCCGGCCTGTGCAGAAAATGATTCACCTGTAACCGTACTGTTGGACATCCAAGAGGGAAGTGCGTTCTGTTGCGCAATCTTTTCTTTGCGCGCCTTCTCAGCCGCCTTTTCGGCCTCGGACGGGCCATCTGTCGTCGATATGCTGACCGACATTGATTTGGGGCCAACATTATCGAGACCTTTCACTGCTGTCGGTTGCAAGGACGAAACCGGGATGGTTGTAACCGTTTGATAGCTTGCATCACGTACAACTGGCAGAGCCTTGCTGATGGCAATGTCGAACGTGTTGTCCGGAACCACCATTTCGTCGATGCGTGGTAGCAGTTCGGTAATGAACTTAAATTGGTTGTTCAGCCGTGTCGACTGCTCGTGGCCAGTTGAATTGCGTTCAAGATCGTGCGTGAGAGGCGAGCCGCATCGATGGCAGACGAAACCCTCAGGGCCAACATTATCCAACACCTCCATCTGTGTCCATTCCGCTTTGCATCGCCCGCAGAAGTATTCTTTGCGTTCGCTTGCAGGAACAGTTGTCCCCTGGATCTGCTTATCGACGGTGTAGACACGCCACTTGATGGCATCAATGGTCTGGCGGTAGTCGATATAGTAGTAGGTTCGGTTCACAGGGCGCGGTTTCGCTTCGGGGTTTTTTGGGTCCTCGCGATATTCTAACCTCGTGTACCTGAAGTGCGCCGGGCGTCAGCTTCAAGCAGAGGCCACGAGAGGAAGATGGCGAGCATACACAGCGAGGAATCGGTCCTCTCTTAGCTTTCCACATGCTTTGTGAAGGTCTTTTGTGTTCGTAGCCATAAGGTAGGCCAGATCATCATCTCGAAGACTGTCGCATCCTGTCAGCCATGTTGACATAAGAAAGCAGATTGAAGACGCAAGTACGCTGAGTGAATGATTAACGCGTCGATAATCAATATGTGCCGCGTCTCGTAGAAGGCGCGCATGACCGACTTGACGAGAGTCTTTGCAAGGTCCAGTGGTTGGGCCATTGTTGGGGATGTTGCAGAGATATTGCAGGTAGGAAGAGCAGGGCGAAGTGAAGGCCGGAGGTAAGAAAAGTAGCAATAATTCCAGGTTGAATCGAAAGAGTTGCTACAGGTACGTATCGGGTGGGGGTGGGGCCGCTAAAACGCTGGTGACAATGAATAATGGTAGACCTACACAAACCTCTGGGTTAGAGGTGTCTGTGATACTAGTAGAACTGCAACTATAGGAAACATCTATCAAACTGCAGAGTAGCAGAATTGCAAGGGAACAAAATGATACCTGAGCCTCTACGACTTTAGCCGTATTTATATCTGTAAAATCAAAGTAATCACAAGCCCAGTCTGATCGTTTGGGGGCGAAACAATGCTGGAAGATTTCCTGAATTGGAAACAAACGAGAGATACATGATGGGCGCGGCGAAGATGGGGTTGTTTGTCTGGACAGGAAACATCATCAATAACATAAATGTAAGTAATTCACCGGCCATATTACAGTCCAAAACTCCATCTCAGGTTCGCCGAACGATGGCATAGCTGCAACACCACCTCGGGTATTGTCTTGGGTGGAAATCACCTACTCCGTCCAAAACCCCATCTGCCACCAAAAAGAAAAAGAAGAAGAAAAGCGAAGCTTGCAAAGCTGATATCGTGACTCGTCTTTGCCTCCCTCATCCTTGAGCGGGGGCATGAGCGGGGGAGTTTGTGAATGAAGCCCGAATATTCACCCATAGCATGGGCTCCCATTATTTTACGTCCCTTCATCTACTCAGCCACTCATTTCTAAGCATACTTTCGAAGCTATGTAATCGTAAGTAGATATCCAAACGGAACAAGAGCAATTCACAATTATTAAACTTACATCAAGAGTAAGCGTTCTTGAGCTGTTGACTTCTTGGTCTCGGTAAACGCCAACTAGACTTTCGCTGTCTTGGAACAAACCAGTCTTGAGACTGATGACGATGAATTGCATGCCAGGTCCAGCATGCTCCCGGATGTACTTCTTGATCTTGTCTACGTTGGCGTTATCCAGCGCAGCATCCACCTCATCAAGGACAAAGAACGGACTCGGCTGATAGCTATGGATCGCAAAAAGTAGGGCCAAGGCTGCCATGGTCTTTTCACCTCCAGATAGATGCTCCATATCTCTAAAGCGCTTAAGTGGTGGCATCGCGTGATACTTGATTCCAGACAAATAGGGAGTGTCCGTGTCTTCCTCAATATCCAGATAAGCTTGACCTCCGAGAGGATAAGCTTCTGATCGAGTAAGGTCCTTGTAGACATGCGAAATCTGCTCCTGAATATGTGTGAAGGCCTTGTTGAAGAGTTCATACCGCTGAGCCTTGACGTGGTTAAAGGCATCGCGGGCTGCCTTTAGTGCCGCTCTAGAATCTTCAAACTCTTTTTCGGTGTTTTTCAATCTAGATTCAACACTCTCTAACCTCTCAATAGCTCTCATATTGGGGTTGAGCTTCTCGAGTTCCGAAGCAATGGACGCGATCTTATCCTGTAACCTATCCTCGACACTGGGATCATTCGACTGCGGGAATTGTTAGCAAAGCACTTCTCCCTGTCACATACAACTAGCTGGATGCTTACGCTTTTTAGCTCTTCGTCCAGACCATCGTAATCAACTTCAATACCGTGGTTTTCCAGTGCAGCGGTCATCATCTCCTCGTCATCCTCATCATCGACATCCATGGCATCGGCATCTTGCCGGAGGAGGTTGTCTTCATTTGGCAGATTGTCTAGCGAGCCCTGCTGCAAAGGGATCTGAAGCTGCTCGAGTTTGCATCGTCTGAGTAGCGCGAACTTGCCGGCACTGTTTTTCTGTACCACTGTTTCTAAGGCGTTGATTTCCTTCTGTCTGGCGTCGATCTCCTTTGTTCGCTTGTAAACTTCGGCCTTGGCCTGAGAAACCTTCTGGTTTTTCTCCTCCAATGCGATACAGTACTCCTCGAGTGTCTCGCGCAGCGCATCGAGCTCGTTTGACACCTCGTGACTGGCATCCTCGATATCTGACTTTTCCTGCTGATACATCTGAAGGTCGCGCTCCGAAGCTTTTAAAGCTTCTTGCAATTTTTTTAGTCGCTTTTCAAAGTTGCTGTGCATATCACGTGCCCAATTGAGCTGACTTTGATACTTGGATTTTTGAACTTCAAACTTGGCCCGCTCTTCATCGGCCTCTCTTTGCAGGTCTCTGTGCTCCGATTCGTAAGCGCGGATGTCGGTGAAGCCCAGCCTCCTGCAAAAGTCGGAGAAGACTTCATCCTCCACACGAGCAATTGCGTCTGAGAATTCCTTGACAGTGCGCTTGGTTGCGTCAAGCTCCGCCTTTTTCTCCTCGTATTTGGGCTTGAGCTCGTCAAGCTGTCTGCTCTCGTTGTCCCTTTCTCTCTTCTTGCTGTTGTAGTTTTTCTCCAGGTGCGTGAGCTCCGCTTTGGCAGCAGCGAGGCGTGGCTCGAGACTGTGAATTTCAATTTGTAAAGATTCTTCGGCAGGGCTACGTCGACCAGGCTTGGGAAGCTTTTCGATTTCTTCCTTGTATTTGGCCGCCATCTTCTTGAGGCTCTCAAGATCAGTGCTTTCGAAACGTCGCTTTCCGCCCTTCTGCTCCGGTCCACGGCCACCAGTCATCATTCCCGTTTTGTGGATAACTAAGCCATCCAGGGTAACCGTCTTGACGGGGATTCGCTTCTCATATGAGATGAGCTTTGCGATCTTCTCGCTGTCGCACACAACCGAGCTTCCACAAGCGTACGCCATGGCACGTTCATAAGCAGGTTCAAAATCAATAGTGTCGATAGTCAGCCGTGCTCCTGGGATGCCCTTGATAGCCGAGTTCACCGCATTAACCTTGATATTGTCTAGTGGAATAAAGGTCATGGGGGGGAAGCGCTGATCTTTGAGGTATTGAACACAGTCATGACCTGTCCTCTCAGTGTCGACAATAACTGATTCGTAGTCTCGGCCCAGCGCAATACTAACGGCCTCGTCGTACTTCTTTTGCTTGGGTTTGCATAGATCGCCAATTCTGCCCTTGACACCGGGGTACAGTCGCTTCAGGTTGTTGACCATCTCCTTCATCCTGGTTTCACGGTCATTTTGCCGCCGACCGTCGTCGGCTTCTCGAAGTTGCTTAGCAACAGTTTCAAGCTTTTCCTCTAGCTCGGTGCGCCTTTGGCTGGTTCTGACACGCTCTGATTGAATCTGATGGTATTGTTTTTTCTTGTTATCGATCTCCTGAGACAGAGCTTTTATATTGGCCTCAGTCGCTGATTTGCGTTCACCAATCGTCTCGAGCTCTCCCTCATACTTTTCCAAGGCGGCTGAAATAGTGTCCACCTTACCCTTAAGAGTGTTTACTGTAACCTCGTCCGTCTTTTGCTGGCGAATCAAATTGTCGAGCTTCGCTTGGTTGCTGGCACATCTCGTAATGACTTGAGAACGTAGGTTGTTGTACTCTTTGCGGTCTGTGTCGCTCAACTCCTTGCCCTGCTTCTTCATACGTTCGCGATGCTGCTTTTCAAAGTGCTGCTGGGCCTTCTCGAGCGTCTTTAACCGGTTCTCATCTTCCTTGATTAGCTCAGCCTGCTTGTCGCGGTCCTTGCGGACTGGTTCTATGCGCAAACGACACTGTTCGATATTTCGAGTTCTCTCTTCAATCTTTGCGTCGATTGGAATCAACTGATGCTCCAACTCGTCGAAAGCACGTTTTTTCGCGTTGATGGACTTCTCAACCCCATGAACTTCCTTTGCAGCAGCGGCCTGCTCTCTCTGAGCCGTTTCAAGTTTTCGTCTGAAAGACTCAACATTGCGTTGGAACTCTTGTAGGTCCTGCTGGTGCTCGTGGATCTTCTCCGTAGACTCATCCATGCCCCGCTGGAAGTGGTAAAGCTTCCACAGGGCATGCTTGACAATAGCCTCATCCCTTTCTTCTGTCTTCTTCTGGAAATTGTCGGCTTCTTTCTTTTGTTCCTGGTACTGTTTGATCTCAGAATTTATGCCACGCCTCCGGTGAAGTTGGAAACTCTGGTTCTCAGCGGCTTGCTCAGCCTCAGCCTGCAGTCGCTCATACTCGGTCTTATACTCCAAGCTTCCGGAAATTTGCTCAATCAACCTAGTCAAGTCCTGTGGCGATTGCGCAGCAATAGCTTCAACGTCTCCCTGGAAAACCAGAAAGTTTCTAGCCTTGATAAGAATGTTCTCAGTCTCGAGGGCCTCGTTATACTGTTGAGCCGTGACAACGCGGTCGTTAATGCGATATTCACTAGAACCTTGGTTGGTGATGGAGCGCTTCCATTTCTGTTCATCGCCGGCATCGTCCTCGTAGACAGCCATGACCCACGCGGTCTTAGGGTCACTTCGAGAGGCCTTCTGCGACAATTCGTCTCCATCTCCATTGGCGTAACCATTTGTTTGTCCGTTCGTGTCGGCAGAGCCGTCATCATTGATTTTGGAAGTTTTGAGGACGCGACCTCGGTAGACAAGGTCTTTCAGATGAGCTGATCGAAGATGTGAAGATTTGATACCTAAAACGAAGGATATCGCGTCCATGCTAGGAGATGCGGCACGTTAGTCGGTTGCTAAGTGTGCAACTGCTACAACCAAACAACTTACGAGTTAGACTTGCCGGATCCATTGGGTCCGATGATAGAGGTGAAGTAAGAGTCACCAAAAAGCAGAATATGGTGACCCTTGTAGGACTTGAAGTCTGGCGATTTAGTGTCAGCGCGAGCGAAGTGGAAGAAAGTAGGAAGATGCCCCAGGCATACTAAAGAGCTCAAGGCGAATAAGCTTCCCCATCTTGTCAGGAAAGGTGTCGCGGGAAATGCGACGACAAGTAATGCGCGATGTAGTCTTGAGGGGTTTGTGGGAGCCGATCGCAAACACACGATGTTGGCGCGCGAGGAGAAAAGGGTTGACGAAGAGGTCAAGTGGCCAAGAGTGGCTTGGCTGAAAGACAATTACAGGCACAAGTCGACAACGAGTTAATCGAATAAGCGAAACTTCGAGTTGGCCTGGCGCATCGCGAAGGGCACTCAAAAGGAGTTTGGCGTCTGTTGCGTCTGGTGACGAAGGTTGCTCGACCTGAGTTTCCCCACGCGCGTCTAGGTGTGCTGGACGCGACAGACAATTGCGGGCCACAATTGAGGATTGCCAAATGCGCGTGCAGGAAGGAGCTCGAGCCACTTTGAACATCGGCAAGCTAGCGAATCCCGTATTATCACGTGATCATAAATGCAAAACAAGGCGACAAGACACATGGGAGAACAATGATGGCCACTTTCCTTAAGAAGACTCAAACCAATATGTGCTTCCGTTCATTCGTCCCATTCTTTTCATCGTAATAATGCCTTTTGCTTTTTCTTCTTCTTTTTTTTTTCTAAATTTAATTTGATTTGCAAAGCGAGAGAAGAAGGGGTCTGTAATACGCCAATCCAGCTGCTCAGGTGCGCACCTGCTATGCCCCCCGCCGTGATTAAGGGAAGCTTCCAGTTCGAGTATACTTGTTGAATGGCGACTTTCCTGTACAAAGCCTCAACTTCTTATCAATTGCTCCCTGAGCAAGCATGGTTCAGTAGTGTACCCAATTACCGGAGTAATGGTTACACCATCGCTAAAACTAAAGGTTAACCAACCAGAGCAGTAGTCTCTAGCACCTGCAAAAACTACGGGCCAACTGCCAAAGCGCGGTGGGGAAATCCCCAAGCCCGCAAGCAGGAAGATGTACTCTGTACCTTTCACTGTTTCTCACATCTTCTCCCCTGCTAGACCGCTATGGTCAGCTGCATTCAAGGTTCAAAAAGCATACCTTGAGTTTAGGACCAAGAAACAAATACTAAATTTTCACCCACAATGTTTCTTTTCCCTTTATCCTCCTTTCCCTTTTTCGTTCAAAAACAGAGTAAACTGAACGAGCTGCAGGAAGAGTATGCGCGATGCTTATCAACTGTGGATCTGCGATAAGCTTTGGATAAGGCGCGGTGCCCTGCGAAGCTCGTACCCTGTGACGTATCCCAGTGTGACCCCCTGTTCTAGAAGTCCTCCCAGCTGTGCAGGAAAGTACCTGTCTCTCAACCTCTGTAGCGGTCAACTACCAACACGTGCAAATCATTGCCTCTTGTCAACGTGTTCTAGACTTCCACCCGCGTCTCTGACTACATCACAAGCGTCCTTCCCTTGTCACTTGCTTCCCCCCGCCCGCCCTCGGGGCTAGTCACGTTGTCGTCTAGTCCACGGTGTAGACCAACAACACGATCCAACTTGCTACCATCCCATATCACCATCACCTGCCTTCTTACACCAAGCCCAGTCAAGACACTGCGTCGATCATTCCAGGCGAATAGACTCGGTCGCCTTTCCGTACTCTGTTGCTGCTCTTGCTTCTCCAAAGCCAAAGTCTTCTTCAAGATCCCCAGACAAATCCGTAATCAACAACAACGACAACGACAACACCGTTGGTTGTTGAGAGGGTCGCTTTCGGTACGATAGATGCCTCAACATCGAAAAGCTTGTGTCCATCTCGCGCTGCGCCACGCTTTTCCCTTCGTTATTTGTCCCATATATCCCGCGCCTTCTTCTATGGTCGATGACCGTGACTAACGCATTCTCTTCGATATCGCAGTTATTCCCAAAAGAAAAGAAACCATTGCTGTCCCCGACCAACTCAGGCTCCGTTCCGCCTTAAACGAAGCTAAAGATGGCTGAACCAAAACCAGTAGATGTTCCCAACACAAAGGGCGAAGATATTCATACCGATAGCGAGACTGCCTTCACTCCTGATCCAACCGATGCGCAATCATCTGTAGGCTCTTCTCCAGTAGACCACGATGGAATTCACACGCCCACTCTGGGCCCTACCATTCCGGGGAGCCCCAGACTCTCAAGGAATCCTTCCTTCTCGGGTAGTAGCTCCTACCACGAAGACTGGGACCCCTTTCCACCGCTTGACCGACTTACCGTTCTCGATCTTCTGGACAACTTTGCACTCCCTCAGCAGCTAGAGAAGCTGCAAAAAGGGATATCTGCTCAGACGCAGAAGGTTCGGAAATCGAGAGATGCCTTCAAGAATAAGAGCCAGCACGCACGAGAGCGCATGGTCGAGGAGTGGAGACGCCGTGTTCCTACTGCCGAAGAGCAGCTGGAGAGGTACAGAAAACGCATGCGTGTCAGTGTTGACAAACTCGGCAAGCAGTGGAACGACACCAGGGTGGTGACGTTACGTGAAAAGGTATCCTTCATCTGTGGCGTCATGAACATCTTCGCTAGCGGGTTCCTTATTGGAGGATACCCCGAGTATTTCCACCTTTGGTACACCGTTCAGGTTCTATACTTCATGCCCATTCGTTATTTTACCTACCATCGCCGCGGTTATCACTATTTCTTAGCCGATCTTTGCTACTTCGTCAACTTCCTCCTCATGCTCAGTATCTGGGTCTTCCCTAGCTCAAAGCGACTCTTCCTAGCTGTTTACTGCTTGGCTTTCGGCAACAACGCAGTTGCCATCATCATGTGGAGGAACTCGCTCGTCTTTCACAGCTTTGACAAGGTCACGTCTCTCTTCATACATATCATGCCTTGCGCGACGCTTCATTGCATGGTCCACCTGTGGTCTGAAGAGATGCAGGCGAGCCGTTTCCCCGCTGTATGGACGATCAAACATTCTCCGGCTGGCTCATCAACCGCGTACGGCAACGTCTTGTCCATGTTAGCATGGAGCTCTATTCCATACGCAGTTTGGCAGCTGTCGTACTACTTTTTTATTACCGTTCGGCGCCGAGAGAAGATTGCGGCGGGCAGGCCCACCTCTTTTACCTGGCTGCGTAAATCGTACTCAAAGAGTTGGATTGGCAAGCTGGTGCTCTCACTCCCAGATCCCTTGCAAGAAGCAGCCTTCATGTTCATACAGTATTCGTATGCAGTGCTGACAATGCTTCCATGTCCGATCTGGTTTACAAGCAGATACGCTTCAGCAGGATTCTTAATGGTGGTATTTACATGGAGCGTCTACAACGGGGCCACTTACTATATTGATGTTTTTGGAACACGCTTCCAGAAAGAGCTCGAGTCACTCAGGGCCGAGGTCAAACAGTGGCAAAATACACCTGAAATGGCAGGCCATTCGCCTTTGATGACACCAAACCCCGATGGTCTGGCACCGAGCGAGCTTCACTTGTCACCCGCCAATGGCTCCGTGGAAGATGGCAAGCTCGACCACGCTCTTAAGGACGAGAACTCTGTGATACGGGAGACTGTAGAGGCTGGCGGGCCCGCAGTAGACAATATCCCACTTCTGAGTGTGGAGCTTTCAGCCCAAGCAGCGGCCAGTGGTGTGGATGGAGGCGCCAGAGATGTTGCCAGAGAGAGGAAAGCAGTGCCGTCAGAGTGACGAGGGCTTCGTGTTGCCACCTGGTTTGGCTACTGTATGATAAAGGGGGGGCCATGAGTTGGTTTACAGCGGTACAATTGAACAATTATTTTCGTTGCTTGTTTCCCTGAAATGGTTTCTTACTATAAAGTATGGAACCTGTTTGTTGATTGTGTGTGTGTGTGTGTGTGTGTGTGTGTGTGTGTGTGTGTACATTGGATATCATTAACTCGTTGGAAGAGGCTTAGTAGAGCAACATCGATCCCGACTCTGTTGGTTACCTTGCGAATTCGAGCTATTTTGTAGCATGCTTCTCACAGTTCTCGAACCAAAAGACTGGGCTGGACTAACATCGTTAATTCTGCGCTCTGGTAAGAGTTGTAACAAGCCACATATCCTTTTAGGCGCTATGGCGATTTGACGATAGATACTATATGCGCTTGAGCGTGCAATGATCGCTCCTATACTCGCCGTCCTTTCCCATCGCTAGGCCTTTAGCAATCGACTCATTTTCCCTCCCGGAAACCCGCTAAGCCATCAAAGATGGTAAGTCCCACTCCAACCAAACCCAACCCAACCCAAAAAAAGCTGATAAAACAAAATAGAAAAGGAGGGGAATTATAAACTTTCCCCCCTTCATCCTGACGCCGTTCCCATGCGCATAAAGTAGCCGGTAGCAGGGTATTTCGTCCTCCCGTCATCATCCCATAACAAAGTCTGGCGTCTTCGCTCTGTTTCGTAGCGATTCTACCCGGGTCGTATTAGCCTCCCAAACCAGATGAAAGAGAGAAAACATAATTTTTTTCCTGCCGAAATGTGCCGGCCGCTGAGCGAGTGCGAAACACTGATACTGATATCTCTACCGTATGATGCCCCAGTCTGCAAGTCGCCCTCCGTCGCTATCCTCTCGAGCTCCTGGTCGTCGACCAAAGACATTCCAGAACCTCAGTGTCTCGTCGCCGGCACCCGTCACGACAACTCGGCCGTCTGGGCTCATGGCAAGATACAGGACACGGTATGTGTGGCCGGTGAGACTAACAACTTGCGTCATCGACGGGTACTTCCAGACCACAATCTGGTTCTGGCTATAGCCATGAGTTGACACGATCTCGTTTGAGTTCTTAGACCACGCAATATTGCATACTTGGCTTCCCGTGTCGACTTCGTTGATAACCGACCCGCGGACAGTATCGTGAAAGATGATTCTGCGGTCAGCCGTTCCTCCCCCAGACGCCAGGAGTCCCCTTTGATGCGGTGACCATGCAATGGCCTTCACGGCAGCAGTGTGGTCTGAAAACTTCCACAGAGGTGTATCCGAAAGCTTGTCCCATACCATGAGTTTGTTGTCATTCCCACCGCTGGCCAGCTGGCCATCTTCGCAGTTCCACTTGAGACCGCACACTTCCTGTTTATGGCCCACGAGTTTCCGCAGCCATTGGTCAGGAGCGCGGACGTCTCGGTGGTAGATGAGGCGGTCGCGAGAGCCTGATGTCAAGATGTGGGTGTTCCATGCCAGCGAGCCTACTCTGGCCGTGTGGCCTGTCATCGTTCTCAGCCGTCGCGTCTTCTCCGCATCCCAAATCTGAACCAAGCCTTTCCCTGTACCAATAGCGATGTGCGTTCCTTTTTGAATCCATGACACGCTAGTGACGGTATCATCCTCAAGCGTGCACAACTTGTTTACTCTGCTTGTCTGAGCATTCCACATGTAGACGCTGGATCCGAGACCAACTCCGAGTACATTGGCGCTGCCCCAGTCAACGAGGTTCAGGTAAAAGTCGTCTGCCAAGTCCGGAGCATCTAGCACTTTGTAAGGCACTTTGCTCACTGCCCGAGGCTGTCGACGCGGGCTAAGCAGCATCTGTTGGCTGTTGAAGCGGACGGGAGAGAGACTGTAAATCTCAGAGCGGGTGTCTAGGTTCGGACCGTGTCGGCTCTGTGGCGTCCTTGATGGTGTAAGATGGCCTGCGTTGCTGAGTTGCCGTGGGGACATGTAAGAGAACAGGTTTTTATGGGGAGTTGAAGGAGTCAACGTGGATGGAAGGGAGGCGGCGGAACCGTTGTTCGGCGGTGTGCGTGACCTTGTACCATCATGTAGATTGACCGAATGTGAAGCTGTAGAGAGAGAATGCTCTGGAGAGAGCGTTGGCGGAGTTGCCTGTGGTACTGAGCCCTCAAACAGCTCGGCGCGAAGCAGTGTTGAAAACGTGCGATTCGCTTCTTCCGCTAGGAGAAGTTAGCTTGATTTCTGGCGTCCGTCAGACTACACCCGACTTACTCTTTTGGAAATGAAGCTCTCCGTGGGGGGTGCGCTTCTTCTGTTTTGACGGCGTGGCTGGAGAGCCATCTTCATGCAGTAGACTGAAACTGGCCTGAAGATCTTGACCAGAACGCGTGGGAATGAACCTAGGGATTCGCACTTTAGCAACACCTCATAAGATGACCTATCTGGCTGCATACGCACCTGTCACCATTTATCCTCTGGCGCTTTCTATGTGGGCTGGCACCAGGAGTACCTTCCCGCTGTGAACGGTGGTGAATTTCCCGCAACAGGGCATGGTCAACGGCGTCGGGGTCAAAAGCACCAGGGCGCGTCGGTTCGCTGGGTCGTCTCGTAGTTTGCACCTTCCGCTGATTCGCGTTTTCTAAATGCTGGCGACTTTCGAGGTGACCCCGATCTGAAGGGGGAGGTGGTGTTGCAAAACGGACGGGACTTGCGGTCGCGGAATCGGTCGTGTCGGTTACTGATCTCTTTGCCGAAGCAGAGGTTGCTACGGCTGCTAATGAATCGCTCGAGGGTGGCATGGTGAATTATAGAAATGAGTTGGTGACGGGAGTAGGGGCAATAGCGGGCCAACAGGTCGAGGTCAGATTGGTGACTGGCGAGGCGGGCGGGAACGAGCTTCGTTGGAGATGGCGGGGCCGAGCAAGCACCTGTGCGGGCAGAAGGTGTCGCGAGCACAAATCATCCAGCGCAACTCACTGAAGAGTTGTTAAACAATGCTATCACAATTCTGGACGCAAAAAAATGATGTGTTTTGGCTGGTTGGCAGTTGTTCGGGTGGTCGGCGCTGGCAAACGAATCACCACCTTATCCCTGACGGTGGCGCTCAGCTGGTATCAACCGCATGCTTTTCCCGCTGTATTGTCGCAAGAGCTTGGAGGACGTCGGCGGGGCTGATACGAATCGTAAAAGTGTCGGAAGAAGGATTCGAAGACTGAGCGGAAGGAGAAGAGTATCGTTGTGTAAGGGGTGGCTGCGGAGATCGCTTGTACGGATGCAAAATGTCTAAGGGGTGATATCGTAGGAGGCGGCAGCGTCGCTCACAGCAGAACGAAGAGAAAGATTTAGACGATGATGAGGACAATGGTGACGGGGCGGCGAGATGGGCCCAAAGTCCAGTGCAGCGTCCGCTGGTGTCGGGGCGGGTAACGGGGGAGGTTGAACCGGGAGGGTCGCGGCTAGGGATGACGCTAGCCCAACTAGGGTGCTAGCGTTGACGGCAGAGCAACAACACAAGAGCAGTGGCAGCCCTCCCTCTTTGGCCGGCCGCTGAAAGATGCCATGGATTGGGCTGTTCCTTCTGTTGGCCTCTCCAGACGCGACCGGACTTTTGTGGTGGCAGGGCACCACACCCGTCCTGGAACAATAACAATAGGGAGCAACAACAACAAACAACCCGTCACCCTAAACCCGTCTACAAACAACGCGATTGTTGAATTGCTTATTTTAGGTTTCAAATAGCCCGCAACAGCACCACTGCGCTTACACACAAACACATATACTCACATTTGTCTTCGATTGCTATAGCTACGTTAAAATTGAGGGCTCTGGGTTACCCTAGCTGAGCAGCTCTTCGCCGGCTCCATGATACTCAACCCAAGGTGGTTTGCTGTTTTTAGTTGCCAGGGAACATGGTACTTTTCCATGCCAACCATGTATTACGTTCTTAAATAGGTACCGCTTACTACGTATATGATGTGGGCATTTCGCCTTGCCCTGAGCATGTTGAAGCGAATGAGAGGTACGAGGAGGACCCGTTATCTCATTATTGGTTCGACTCACCTTCATTGCAGCCACTCTTCTCGCTCCATGATATTTTGTCGCACCAAAAATTCGAGCCAATCTAGACGTGCATCGTCATCTACGATAGCAGGTGCTAGCTGGTTGTTCATTTTTCATTTATCAGTGACCCCTCTCGCTTTCTACAATTAAACAGAGCAGCAACTGTGTCTCTTCTCGCATTGATTGCTAACACGCAAGGCGTGAATGAGCTGTTATGGTAATTGGTAATAAAGGCAGTCCCGAACATAAATGCCTGTTTACCCCCAACAAGAATGTTTATGGATTGTTTCGCGGTCAAGGGGCAAAGGGTTCCACGGTCGCGCTTCTTAGGCGAACGTGTCTCGTGAAGCCGCGCCGAATTCCAGTTTAGTCGCCCCTCCATGGCGTAGATTTTGAAGTTGTGGGAGGCTGGAGACAGTGTTTATTTCTATTTTTAATGTCATTGTTTATTCCCTCCTTTTTATTTTTATTTTTTTACACCATTTCTTTAACTGACAGCTACTCAAGCGCCTTAGGCCTCAACCGTCCAGGTGCCAGTTCAGACACGGTTGAGAAAACAACCCCATGCCAATCACTGACAGGCACCACAGGGGCGGAAGAGGCGCTGTAGCCCGTCCCCTGAGCTGGTCCACACGTGCTCCGTAGCGTGAACCCCCCCCCCCCCCCTTTAGCGGAAATGGACCCCTAATCCATTCTTTGTCATAAGATTGCTGGGGGGAGGGGAGGCGGGCAGCCGCGTGTCTTTACAGGCAGGTGCTGATGGCTACACGGGTTTACAAAGCTTTGCGCTGAGAAGCTTTTCGTTGTTCTACTTGAATGGCTACGCTAGTTACTCTGTAGACCACGCCATTCCTTTTATTTTCAAGGTCACGAAAGAAAGAGACAGGAATCTTCGGCACTCATGAAACCTCTCAATACTAAAACAATTGCAGCATAGCCCAAATTCCGATTTATGTACTGTATGCAGTTCCCCAAGATACGTCATTCAACCTCCGGAAGAGATTAAAGACGGCTGGGGGTGCCAAAGACGCGACGCGACAGACGCGTAAAGTTCCCAACACGATGAGCGATTCCAGCGTGCTTTTGGCGCGAAATTAAGCCCCATACAGTGTTTGCGGCACGCATCAGAAAAATGCACAGTACAGCCTTCTCTATTAACTACCGAGCAAGCTGCTCGCAATTAGTACTGCACGTACCAAGCTTCTGAAAGCCGCCAAATTGATTGGCTCCCTTACCGCTCCACTGAACCTCAGTAGATTCCTCATTGGCAAGCTCATGGCCAATGGAATCTCCATCAACAACAAAATCTACATAAACCGCATGGCTAATACGGGCACAGAATCAATCTATGCTTGTCCATGCTTAGCCGACACGCAAGGTACGGCTGCTGTGCATCGATAAACAAACCCGGAATTAGTTATTAGTCTCGACTTGGAAAAGGCGGGAGCCATGCTGCGCTTAACCACATACATCTCCCAGCTCCTTCTTGCTGGGTGGTAAATAACTCCACTGAAATCTTGTCAAGTGGGTGTTTGAACGACCAAACATGCGGGGCTACCTATAACCCCTTTTCGGGAAGTCATTGGAGCAGCCAGTGATTTCCAGGAACGGTTCCCCCTCTTTCACGAGCTCAAGTCTTACGACACAGCATAACCAAGGTTGAGGCTATCGACAGCCTCGTCATGGGCTGGTTCTCTCGCATTCCCTTCCAGCACTTCAGACCTGTGGCCTCAACTCGATCTACCAATGTTAGTGGCAAGCAACGGCATCCCTAAGCTATCACCCCACTCAGCGATGATGAGCAGAGCGTACCAAAAGATATACGCCACGAATGTCGGGTGCTAGCCTCTCGATGTGGCGGTGACTGTGCCACTGCTGCGAATTTTCAACGAGACAAAAAAGGAGGGAATCAAGAGAAGCAGGGTTGGTTGCCTATTTGCCTGCCACGGTGTCACTAGACACAAGCCACCCTCTGAAGTGTGACACGCGTGACAGTCTCGCTTATTCTGACTTGCCGAAAATGCCTATTTAGCCAACTTGGTGATGCGTGAATCTAGATCATGACATAGGAATGCCACGGTTAAAGTCGGTTCTTACATGCCAAAAAGAAAATAAAGGGTGTGAGGAGGAGCCCCAAAAGGTCCTACCATTAATTCCTCGACCAGCAACGTTCAAGACTAGCCCACAAGGAAGTACAGTTGAATAAACCCCCTACTTTGTGACCAATGAGATATCAATAATAGGCATTGCGGTTCAGTTACAGGCCTACATTATCCTCAGCGACTGATTTACATCAATTTATTCACGAACCATTCCTTTCATCTTTCGAACGAAACGGTGTCCGTCTGACCGCCGATTTGGGCTTTCCATCGCATACCCGGGGATCGAAGCACGGACTTCAAGTTGTACTTTTGCTCGTTGGCTGGGCCTGGCTCATGGCTTCGACGAAAAACTTTGGCGAAAGAGATGACGCGTAGGTCCATTTGGAAATAGTTCCAAGCTTAGCCTTGTCTGTCAAATGCCACACTTCAGGTCGGAGGTGCCGCCCTTTGTCTCGATTAGGATTCAACATGTGGTCCGGGTGTCGGCCTCTGTGGGGCCGGTGCCGAATCCGGATCGCGTTGGACCCCCACAACATTTGACGCTTTTGCAGTCCATAAGCAAGGGCACTGGCTGAAGAATCATAAGGGGCAGGTAAACCGGTAATGGTATGGCATGGGTGGCGCTACTCTTCTTTCCCTGCGATTACGGGTGCAAGCCAGACTGGCATGTCTTCCAGCTCTGCTGGGTCCATGCCAAAGACTGGCTTGCCAAGAGGTTTTATCGCTAACGATATCACTGTATAGTCATCGCCCCTGGTATTGTAGAACTTCATGGCTTCCGTAACATACTACCACCTGTTACATACGCCCCTCAGTTGGCTCATTATCATACAAAATCGGCAGTTGATAATGACCCGGGAGCACGGCCGCAGAGCATACATCCTTGCTCGCGCTGCCACCTTGCTGCCTAGTCCACTGCTTTACGACGATGGCCACTATCAGAAATCCTTGTTGCGCTTCCCCGCCGAGCCCGCCTGTCTCCCAGTTGTATGTTGCAACACTTCAGTTGCACTTCAGCAAAGCTAGCTGCCTGCCAGATTCCGAGCTTCTTGACATTCTCACCAACGGAATAAAATGCGACAGTAAGTTTGCCTTCCGACAAAAGGCACGCCTACCCATCGGCATCTCACTAGGATACTTAAAATTTTGGTATTGCGATCGAACCGTTGGTGACCAGATAACGAATGGCGGTTTGGCCCACCTAGAGCTGATTCACATAAGCTTCGTTATGTTCATGGGCCACTAGGGAAACCTTTCAAGCCAGCCCCAGCCCGTTACGGACATCTGAATGTGCTAGCACTGGGACAAAGACTAGTTCAAAATCGGATGTTGCCCCCTTTCTCGCCATCGGCACCTCATAGCCCATAGCGATGCCCAAGGGGGTTAGTAGGTGATCGACGTGCGCTCCCGAAATCCAAATCGTGACGTCCATCCACTCCCCAGCGGCATTCGAGTATCCATCGCCGCGCAAAAAATTGGATTTCATATTTTCTTTGCCGCCAATGTCGAAAACGCTTGAGTTCTTTAGGCCGAAAGAGCACGGTCATACTGGTACCTGGCACCGCGTTCGCCCAGAGGAGTTTTTGCCTGCAGTACCTACCGCTTGCTCATTTCCGCCTCGCCCGTCAATAGTTTCGTTCTGCTGTTGTCGATCTTTGGGCGCTTGCCTGCTCAGACTTATCTGCAACTCTGCAGAGCTGATCTCTTTGACCATCACTCCGCGATCAAGATGGCAGTGCCCCACGCTAGGCAGGAAGATGTCACGAAAGCCAATGGTTTAAGTGCCACAGCTTTATTTCCTTTACACTCGATGCTCTCGTCCTGTTCTTATCCAAACAACAAACAGCGACCCCCCACCCCCCATATAAGTATCGTGCAATCCCAACTGAACAACGATATTTCACTTGTCTGTCTCTTCCTTGGCTCGTGATTCCGGTCCCCATCCAGCGCTTGCACAATTTCGGAGAAAGAAACATATGGCTCAAGTATCTGCCAGCCCTAACCACCGACGACATCGACACGGTGAACTCACCCAACCCCAATCAGGCAGTCCGTATACCACCCTAAGTGTAACGTCCCTTGGTAGCCAACAGCCAGGCATAGACTTGGACGAGGGTGGTGCAGACATTCCCGATATCCCTTTCAAGAGGCCTGTCAAGTATTTACCGCAAGCCATGGCATGCAACCCATCTCGATTCCAGGAGACCTGGGATGAAGAGGATGAGAACTGGAATTATCACGGCCCGGTCAACCCGAATACTCTGAATTCGAGGAAAGACAGAAGGTACGGACCATTTTTCTGTTGGTTTCCGAAATTGGCTAATCCGCCTTCAAAGCGTCACCCAGCCTTTCGACGATCACTCCAGAGGAAGAGCAATGTCTCCTCAGCTCATTCAATTCCATGGCAGACACGCTTCTTCTAGCCCCCCGAGGAGTCCACGCACGAGGTCTTCGGGGTCAAGGGCTGGGTCCATTGCATCATCGTACCAGACGAACGCTACCTCTTTGCCAGCTTTGCAAACCAAAGGCGCCGGTGATGACGAGATTCTGGAGCCCCTGGCTGAAGAAGAGGTTGAGCCAGGCTCGTTTGATCTTGTAGTACCGTTTCATGGAGATAACGGGCACTACTCTCTGGAAACTCGATCCGAGCTACTCTTCTCCAAGGATCACCTCGGGGCCATCTTTGATGACCACGTCCTTTTTCGGCGTTTTACAGACTTCCTGCACTCTGCCCGACCAAGCTCTCTGCCTCTTCTGACATACTACTTAGACTGTCTAAAAGCGTTGCGGGCTATCGCGTATGTAAATGCCATCGCGAGTGGGCTAGACGCATTGCCGGGACACCAGTTCTCTGTCGAGAATACTGACAGCACGACAAACAGTTCCCTGGAGAAAAAGGCCGAGGCTGCCTTTGATGTTCTGGTACAACAAGATCTCCCTGCATACATCACGCACTTGTGGATTCAGACCGTAAGTGTATCGATCAAAAGGCGAATCACGGGAACTCTTCCTGTCCAGCTAAGGGAGATGTCTGAAGGGTTGGCAGAAGTGTTCTGCTTGACAGATCCCTCAAGGCATGACAACCCCATTGTCTTTGCTTCCGAAGGTATGTGCTACTCGCTTTTTGTCCAAACAGCCAGGAATATTTCGCTGAAAACCTATAGAATTTCATAGGACGACGCAATATGGCATGAACTATGTCATCGGACGCAATTGTCGATTTCTTCAGGGCCCTAAGACCAATCCATTCAGCGTGAAACGGATTCGTGATAAGATATTAGCCGGCAAAGAGCATTATGAAACATTTCTTAACTACCGCCGAGATGGTTCGCCTTTTATGAACCTTCTCATGGTGGCACCCTTATACGACAGCCGTGGCACGGTTCGTTATTTCATTGGCGCTCAAGTAGATGTTTCGGGCCTTGCCAAGGAAAGCTCTGGACTTGATGCCCTCCAGAACCTTGTCGTCAAGAAAGATTCAGCAGCCTCTACCAGTCACCGAAATCAGGAAGGCGAGGAAGAAAAAGATGAGTTCCAGGATCTCACTGAGATGTTCAACCCGATAGAACTCGAAACTGTTCGAAGACGAGGCGGCAACATGCATCGCGCCCCTCAAGACGAGGCACAGACAACTACGTCAACCAATTGGCACAAGCCTCGGATTCTGATCCAAGATGAAACATCGTCTATTCAACAACTTAGTCCAGTAACGTCCCTCAATAGTGGAAAGCTCACGGGAGTCTACGAGCATTACTTGCTTGTTCGACCGCACCCCAGTCTGCGGATTTTATTTGCGTCGCCGTCTTTGAGGCTGCCTGGTATCTTACAATCTAACTTCATGGACAAGATCGGTGGATCAAACCGAGTTCGTGATGGTCTCAGCCAAGCCTTCGCGGATGGTCATGGTGTCACCGCCAAGGTTCGATGGATGAACAAGTCTGGGGGCGAAGGACGGTTGCGGTGGATTCATTGCACACCTCTACTCGGCAGCAACAGTGCCGTGGGTGTCTGGATGGTTGTGCTTGTTGACGACGAGTCTGAATTCGGAGTAAGGAAAGGCAAAGAAGCGCCTCCTGTTGATGGACGTCTGCGCAAAACCGGTGTCCTGCAACAGCCTCGTCTATCTAGAGACGACAACGTCAGTTTGTCAGGGTTTGCTGCCATAAACAAGGCACGTGATGAAGCCGAAGCATCTGTCGACCTTGATGTCGATACCGATCGCCCCATGAGCCGTGCGAGCCGATCAAGTCGGCTGAGCCGAGGTCACGGTGGATTGCGGCAACCCAGGACCCCGGCATTTGATGATAATGATGAGCCACCCCGGCCCGCCTTTACGGTACGGCTAGAGGAAGATTGATCCCCGATACTGGCTGTTCGTTCCCGTCGCTGGGGCCACCTACATTCATCCTTCTTTGCCAGATTTGGTGAATCGGTTCTGATAAAGAAATACAATTGGGGTGGGTGGGATATTGGCTGCTGACCAGATACGCCACTTCAATTGACATGTATCATTGACTATGCACATACTATGAATTGACGCTGAAAATCACCCAACACGAGCGAGATGTGACATAACACCATGACTAGCACAAGTTTCCATATGACGGATTCGACCTTCCTGATGATGCGACTCGTTGTGCTCCCCGCCTTATTATGGTACTTATCCGTTCCACCGAGGCGAGTTTATGTGACTAAGAACGTGTTAGTCACTTGTAAGAATTTTCATTAAGCCTAGGCAGACGTCGATACTGAATTTATAGAGCCACGCGAATTGCAACCAAACGAAACACTTAATAGAGCGTTCCGGGACAGCCATCGTCATTGTTGCTGTTGCTGTTGTACTCATCAAATCGTGAAATTCATTTAGTCTAGCAGTGCGAGTGCTGTGATTGCATGTTCCCATACCCAAGTCTAATCCAAAGCGCCGGTGATTCTATCCCATGGGAGGCCCTGCATTACCCAACCTCAATGCATGAATAGGTCGCTCCAAGCTGCTTTCTTCCGGAGTAAGACGATAAGAACGCCTCGCTAATAGGCTACATCAGTCTCTGCGTCGCCTTGGCTTCTCAGGCTGGGGCAGAACCGGCTTGCTCTAGTAGCCGGGCGCGCCAACCGTTGCAGACTTCCTCAAAGCCACTCACGACATCACCACACACTCCTGCACATTCACGTTTCCGCAGTCTTTCGCTCCAGTTGCCACGAGTCAGCCACCGCTCGCCTTCTTCGCTGAGCTCTTCCTCTCTTCTGATCTCGGCGACCAGCTCCTTGGCGCTTCTCAGCCGGCGCGTGGCCGTTGTGGTTGTCTGTCTTGACATATGCAGAGTGTCTGAGAGGTAGTTGAGGCTCTGTACGAGGTCGGAAGTCAGTGTGTGGAGGGCTGTGAGGGAATCGTAAGCCTTCGTTGTTGGCCGTGGCATCGATTCGGACAACTCTATGAGTAGGGGCAATAAATCGTCAACAGTCTCCGAGTCTGGTGGTGCAACAAGGGGAGAGAGCAGAGGAAACGTCAAATTATGTAGCTGACGAGTCTGGTGCGTAAGGTGAGTCGTGAGGGCCGAGTGAGCGGTGATAAGCCTGGTGATGTTAGAACACAAGTCATTCAATGGCCCAAGTTGTCGCAATATACCTTGTTGCGCTGCCCTCAACGCCGGCCTGAGATCCAAGGTCTCTCAAGCTCTCGGTCACACGGTTGAACACACCATCAGTGGGACCGCCATTGCTTTCTGTTCCTCTCCTCGCAAGTGACTCAACAGCATCGATCTTGGCAACTAAACTGGGCAGCATGCCGGGGGAGTCAAGGTCAGACTCGGATCCATATTCGCTTCCATCGTATTCGCTCCCGTTCCTTCGGTGGCCGCGCCGGGGAGGCGATGGGGGACCTAAGTTTAACTTGCTGGCCTTGTTGCCGGCTTCACCGTGGTTCGAGACATCGACACCGCTGTCCCGTGTACCTTCGGCGCCAGCTCGCCCCTCGGCCTCTTCGACACTGATGTTTGGTGTCCCATTATCGTCCTCATAATATTCTCCCTCGTCCCCGGAGTCGGAAAATGCGTCAGCCAGCTCATCCGCGAGATTGCCCAGGCCATTACCCGTCCCAACCACCCCACCGGCATAAGAGATGTCTAGACCATCTTGGTTGTTAAAGCTGCTACGCAACGGTGTTGTGGAATCATGTGTAGAGGATCTTGACGGTCTTCGGTTCTGAGGCGACGAGTTGACGCTGCTGTACTGATATGAGGCGTCAACGCTCGAGGGATGACGCGAGTGTCCTGGAGTCTGCGGAGAGGAAGGCATCGTGGCAGTTGATCAGAGCGAGTGAAGGTAGCAGTCAGTCGGAGGCGAAAGGAGGTTTGGACCGTAGAACCCGTCCGAACAGGACTTATATGCGGAAAAGTCGAATCGATGACGTTCCACGACGTGCGTGAGTTGGCAATCAACAAATCCGAGTAGGTGATTGTTGTTGCTTTGGCTGTCCTGGGATTGCTGGTGCAGTAACAAACAACAAGGGCTTCCGCATCAAATATGGGACAAGGAACAACCAGGTAGAGGACACTCAGGAGTAGCGAAGGTGGGTTGACAATGGAGGGTTGTAGTCGCGCAAAACCAACTTTGAGCGGAGCAGAGGTTAGTTTAGTTTTCCATGCATGTCAAGGTCGGACCGTGGAAAGACGTGTCTGGTGGGTGATGGAGAAGGTATGCTTAGGTTTGTTACTTCTCTTAATAATTAGGAGCGGGCTGATATAGGACGAGCGGCACCAACGGCCAATTAATGCAATCCGAGCGGGCACCACGAACGCTGCTTTGTTGTTGATTATTATCGGCAGATGGACACTGTAAATTAAGTCAGACCAGGCTAAGGGTAGAGGGCCGTTCTTCCTTTGCGCCTGTGCGTCGTCCCCTCGGCTTTCTCGATCAGTGTTGAGTGGCTAGGTACGTGGACGTCCGAAAAATAGCCACGGGTAATCTTGGATGAAGAAGAAAGTCAAGATGCTGCTTGTTGGTTTGCCGCTTCGATGCGAGACATTGGCCGCTGTCCTGCTGCGTAGCTGGTGCGGCGTCTCAGTTCCATAGACCGCTGTGTCTGCAGCACGCACCTAGCCAGAAGGGGTGTTTTTTTTTTTTTTTGGTGTGTGCTTTTGGGGGGCACCTGTCACTTGAACTAGTCCCTGCATTCTACCTGGCGTCCAACGTACCTGATCTCCCATCTATTAGGTCAGCAAAACTAAAACCAAGCTCCATTCCTTTAATGCGGCATCGCTGTTATCGCCTCTTATCGACACCGCCCAAACAGAAATCATCTTCGTCGCCAGTGCATGGTAAAGCCCCATTGCTTCTCATCTGTCCCAGACACTTGGTCACCGACCCCGACCACCATCCCCCTCTGGCAGAGGATTGTCATCTCCCGGCACAATACCCTCGACTATCTGCTCTAAACCTTCGCAATCTCTCTCCGAGGCTTTTTCTTACCGCTTGAGCCATGGCTACTTTCCGCCGCTTTCGCCCTGAGGATGTTAACAAGTTCTCTAAGTGCAACCTAGACCCTCTCACGGAGACATATGAGCTGGCGTTCTACTTGCAATACTATGCCAGATGGCCCTCCATGTTCCAGGTCTGTGAGGATATGAATGGAAACATAATTGGCTACAGTACGTCTTGTTACGCATTATCTTGTTCGGTTGACCTGTCTGACGTGATCCTGTAGTTATGGGCAAACTTGAATCGTCGCCCGATGTTTACAAATACTCCGAACATTACCTCCCCTGGCACGCCCACGTCACTGCGCTGACCGTTGCGCCTGAAGCGAGGAGGCTGGGCATCGGCAAGATCTTAACCGAATTGCTGGAGGCTCCAGCCAACGCCAACGACGCCTGGTTTGTCGACTTGTTTGTCCGAACGAGTAATCATAAGGCGATCGCCTTCTATAAGAGCTTGGGGTACAGCGTCTTTCGCGTGGTCAAGGACTACTACGGCGACCACGCCACGGACCCGACCCGAGACAGCGAGGACGCCTATGACATGAGGAAGCCTATGAAGAGGGACACAAAGCTCCAGCACATTAGAGATGACGGCGAGAAGCATGAAGTTGATCCATCCGATGTATGGTGAAGAGTTACCAACACGTTATTTCCAGCACGACCCGCCTGCCGCCCATGAGCGTCAAGAGGCCGCTGATGGCTTAAAGCCACGCTCCATCGACAGAGTAAACGCTCCCGCTGACGAAAGAACTTTCTGGGCCTAGCAGGAATGCGATGACGTTTCCACACTCCTCAGCAGTGCCCTGGCGTTGAAACGCTGTTGGCTCGTCGAAGGCGGCATCTGATGGGCGATTGTGAAACTTCCAGGCCTTCTCCATCAGTGGCGTGTAGATGGCACCGGGGGCTACGGCGTTGACCCGAATTTCGCGGGCTCCGTTTTCTTTGGCTGCCGCACGTGTAAGGCCAATAACACCATGTTTGCTGGCATCGTATGCGCCGTGCTTGGCGAAGCCTGATCACTCGGTCAGACGAGTCTCTTCCGATGGGCTTTAAGGAGGGGTGTACCTTTGATGCCATGAATCGAAGCCACGTTGACAATTGAACCACCATCCACAATACTCCCAAGCTCCGCCCTGAGACAATACATGCAGCCCGTCAAGTTGACGGCGATGATTTTGTGCCATTCCTCGTCCTCAAGGTCTGCAACGCCCCGAATGCCATGGTGCTTGCCAATAATGCCAGCTACGTTGGCAGCCCCGTCCAGACGACCGAACTGCTTGACGATACCGCCTATCCAGCTCTCAACCTCGTCTTTTTTGGAGACATCAACTCTTGTGACCGAGAATGGCGTCTTTTGCTCTGCGAAATAGGCCTCGGCCTCCCTCATGGCGTCGGGGTCGATGTCTGCCATGCAAACGGTAGCACCCCGCTTTGCGATGATCTTGGCTGTCGCTAAACCGATGCCGCTGGCGCCGCCAGTGAAGGCGTAGACCTTACCTTCAAGTGACGACATTGTAACGATAACCTCTGAGTGTTAATTGGTATGACTTGATGAAGTTCTGGCTTGATTTTGTTGAGGATTTATAGGAGTTTTGCCTACAAGGAGTGACATGATCCGCCTCGACAACGCATCGCAAGAGAAAGAACACTGGGTGTAGCCGGTGTCCCGCGTTTCCCGACTTAACTCCAGCGCCAATCATATAACGTTGATGTCAAGAGGGTTACCGTCTTCGCAACTACTTAACCCGGCCCGATGCAGGCAGGGTATTTTAAGTAGTCCTTAGACGCTAAACCTGATGGTTCGGTCCTAAGCCCCGAAAGAACAAAACATCTAGTTTAAAGGTTTCCCCCGCTATCTAGTACGTTATAACTCACTGAACAACCCAGCTATTCGCACATTCATCGGCCAGTCAGCTTTTTTGGGTTTTATTTGTCGGAGATGTACTTTGTTCGTAGGCAGCCGATACGGAGACATCGCTAAGTTTGCCGATCATCTGTTCCAATATGAAGCTGAATACTAGACCAGTGATAGTTGAGTTGACAGCACAATGGATGAACGTTATTTTTCAAGCTGAGTTTCCATAGACGGGTTGACAGAGCCAAACACACAGACCCGAACGTACGAAACGCACCACTACTACTGCTACTACTACGGATGCTTGCTTATGATCAATGTTGACGACCCGACCCCGCACAAAGCAACCCCGCTGTCCCCGCAGCACAGGGGCTCATGCTGCGGGCGGTTCATGTTTGTTTGGTTGGTGTCCATTGTGTCGAATTTAGCGTTCTCATTGGACACACGGTTCCTTGGCGGATGTGACCTGGAGCTCAGTCTTGGTTTCCTCCCCCACCTGACCCGCCGTGTCAGTCAACCTGACGTACGTGTGCACAGCTTTGCGTCCGTTTTGCATCTCCAAGCTCCTCTACCCGTGACAAGGAGGTAGCTTCGACCCCAGATTTCCCCAATTGTCCCCGTGCCACCTCGAAGACCAGGCTACTGAGCGCAGACCGTTCATTCCTCTTACCTGCTAGGAGCCGATGTAAAACAAGGCCGAGTGAGGGATCTTGTCCCATTCATTTGTCTACTTCTCCCTTTTACAACCCAACCAGCCCAACCATCTTCTCTCTCCTGACTACTCTGTGCAATCCTGGACGTTTGTTTCTGACCGACTCCCATCGCATATCACAAGTAGACGACAATAGCGTTCTTCCTTCAGCCAGCCTCGCATTTCACCTGCCCAACCCCGTGATCGCCTGTTCGCGACTGCCTGGCAAGCAGGTGCCTCACTATATCTTCAGCTGGCCTTAAGGCGCTCTCCTCGCCATGCATTTCTTATCGCTGTTAACTGCTGCTGTGACGGCCAGCGCTTCCTCGTTGACGCCTCCTGTTCTTCCTTTGATCGTTCGGAACCCGTATCTCAGTACTTGGCTGGGAAATGCTCGCGATGCACCATGGGAACATTGGCCGACCTTCTGGACCGGAAGCAGTGTATGGTCTTGCACTCATCGACTCATACTTTAGTTAACATGACGTTTTCCAGGTTGGCTTCTCGGTTATGGCCTCCGTGCCAGATTCTAACACGGTTTATCCGCTGCTCGGACGGCCGCAGGACTCTTTGTCTTCCTCTTCCAAGTATGTCGTGCATTAACCTTTGCTGGAAGGTATTTTAATCATCTAACACCCTTCTTGAAATTACAACGTAGCTTTCCCAACCTATTTGGGCGCCGTTTTTGATGCCTCAACCACCAACCTTTCATATTCGATTCCTCCCCCTAAGGGAAACTCCGCACCCGTTACAGTCATTCTCTCGTTCCTATCCCCCATTACGCCCACCTCAACCTTTCGTCAGTCAATTCCTGCTGCGTATCTGACTGTCCACGTCGAGGGATCGTTTGACATTAACGTCTACACGGACTTGAACGGCGAGTGGGTCAGTGGCAACAGAGACAACAAAATTATTTGGAGGTTGAGTAACGCGAAAGCCTCACAAGGCCACAGCGCCGCACTAAAGACATGGCAGGTGTCACGGCACACGCAACAGCTTCTCACCGAGTTTGCTGATCACGCGGAGTGGGGAACCCTGCATTTCACAGGCCCGGCGAATGTTTATCACCAGGCGGGAACGTCTGCCATACTGCGGCAACACTTTGCAAAAGATGGTTCACTGAAGAATGAGGTTGACAACTCCTTCCGGAAGATTATGGACGAGGAGCCGGTGTTCGCCTTTTCCAAGTCATTCCGCCTCAGCAATAAGACTGGGGCTGGTTTGGCATCTGCAGACAGCGTGTTGTTTACACTGGCACTGGTCCAAGACCCGGTTGTTCAATTTGCAGCCGCCAGGGGATTGACGATGATGAGGCCTTTGTGGTCATCTTACTTTGCAGCCTCTACCGATCTTATCCAATACCACTACGATGACTTTGCGGCAGCCAACCTACTAGCCAGAAACTATTCTGGGCAACTGGCCATTGACGCCTTTGCTTCGGGCTCTCAAGACTATCAAGATATTGCCGCACTGTCTGCTCGTCAAGTCCTCGGCGCAACGCAGTTCTCCGGAACCCCTGACAACCCCATATTGTTTCTCAAGGAGATTTCTTCAAACGGAAACTTCCAGACCGTTGACGTGATCTTCCCCGCTTTCCCATTTTTCTTATACACCAACCCTCGTTGGCTAGCGTATCTGTTAGAGCCTCTTCTAGAGCACCAATTGAGCGGCCAGTATCCCAACGACTATAGCATGCATGACCTTGGAGCACATTTCCCCAATGCAACTGGACATCCTGACGGCAGGGATGAGTACATGCCCGTGGAGGAGTGTGGAAACATGCTTATCATGGGCTTAGCGCTTGTGAATGCCTTCAAATACGACACTCAGCCAGCATTTCTCCAATCCGTGGGTGGCTATGCGAGATCGCTTGAATCACTGAGCACGGATATCTCCGGTGTACGGCCTTGGGCGTTGTCCTCCGATGGTTACGGCATTGACCGCCCCTCAGCTGCTACTACAATGAGGGGATCCAAGGAGGCTGAGAAATGGGTGTCAAGGTCATACGAGCTCTGGACCAAGTGGACGGGCTATCTGGTCCGTGAATCCCTCATCCCAGCTAACCAGCTCTGCACTGATGACTTTGCCGGATGGCTTGCCAACCAGACAAACTTGGCTCTAAAGGGCATTATCGGCATCAAAGCAATGGCTGAGATCGCCGACGTACTGGGCAAGGCAGATGACACCAAGTACTACACAAATATCGCGAACGAGTACATTGATAAGTGGCAAGACTTCGGGATTTCGAGGGACGGGTCTCACGCCAAGTTGGCATATACTTGGTATGGCTCCTGGACGACAATCTACAACCTGTATGCGGACTCGCTCCTCTGCTTCCACTTACCAGGACAAAGAGACTCATCACTGGGTGGGCGAATTTCGGGGTGGCTGCAGAGGGTTTTTGGCATGGGATCAAGAACGACCTTCATCCCCGACAAGATTTATACCATGCAAAGTAACTGGTACCATTCGGTTCTGCAGCACTACGGCCTGCCGCTCGACAGCCGACATCTTTACACAAAGAGTGACTGGCAGTTCTTTGCTGCGGCTGTAACAAGCAGGAAGACTCGGACAGAAATTCTCCAAAGCATTGCAACTTGGGTGAATGAGACCACTACAGGTAAAGCTGTGAGAATTAAGATGTGCGACTTCAACATGCTAACTTGGCTCTTAGATCGACCTCTCACCGACCTGTACGAAACGGAGGGCACGGGTGGGTGGCCTGGTCCTCACTTCATGGCCAGACCAGTAGTTGGGGGCCACTTTGCCTTCCTTGCGTTGGAAAGAGCATGTGGAGGTAAGGCAGTTGATGCATTGAGCTTTCTAGAAGAGCCAGAGGCATTTGTAGAAGTAGACGTTCGGAAGGCTCTTGAGGTCGATATCTTTGGAGGACCGGAGGTAAAGTATCCGGAGGTGATACAGGACTTGTAATGCCCGGAAACTGCGGGAGCGGAAGGAACGGGGAGGTAGAGCCAAACTAGCTGATGTATCTACATGCAAAACTGTTTTCTGAAGTATCAAGGATGACACTCAAGGGTAAAGATTCGTCAACGAGACATTAATAACGGTTAGAGGTGCTCTACTATATGCCAGCGGTTCCATAGCAGACAGAGCGTTATTGGAAAGACGTGGCGGATCGAACAGAAGAGGTCATGGGGATTCAGCAGCACAACAACAGTCTGGCTAGGCGGCGGTCCTACTGACATAGCGGCAGGCGGGATGTAGCGAACAGTCAGTAGCGCCAGTTGAATGTTTAATTACTGTGAATTTGTTCGGGTATCCTGAAAACTCCCGAACTCATGTTAAAACTTCATAGTTTGAGGCGCAAACTTTTTTCCTCTGAACGTTGGATTCGAGCCGCAACAAGAACAACAACCCATTCCCTGGTGTCGTTCCAGACTGAAGGCAGCAGTCGTTAATTTAGTGGGGAGCGACTTTCTGCAGTGAAAGATGTCTACTAGTATAGTAGAAGGAAGAATAAGAACCTGCAAACCCAATGGCTCGTGCGCTGTATGGGCCTACCAAGCGCTTTCCGGAATGGTCTTACGCTAAATCTCGCAAAATCATCGTGGGGCATAAGCTACAAGGTAGGCACACACGCAGGGGATGCATCGTGGCATCGTGGCATTATGTGTTTTCACTGGTTGGCGGAAACAGGGAGAGGAGGCAGAAACGCCAAGTTCATTCACGCATTGCTAAAGCGTTCCCTATTCAACCTGTCCCCATCCCTGGCCGCTCAATCCAATCAATCAATCAATCAATCACAGGACCTTACCTTTTTTTTTTTTTTTTTTTTTTTCTCCTCTTCTCTCCCTCACACTTACTACTAGGTACGCTCTCTTCTGTGGTGGCCGCCGCCTCCTTCCTCTCTTCCCTAACATTCCCTGCCCGCCCTGTCTTTTTTCTTGCCGTAGCAGCACCAACAAATCTTCTTTCTGCCTGCATCGCTCACCTGCATGCCCCAGGCTGCCTGTCGCCTGCGCTTTCACTACCTGCCAGCAGTTGGTAGCAGGCAGGTATCTTCCTAATACCACCTGCAGCTTTACATTACACCTGCACTAGCAGAAACCAGGTAAGGTGGTACCTACGCGCACGCGTGCACACACCCACACACACCCACCCTTTCCCATGCCTCGCACTTTCTAGCGCCCCTTCCCCCCTTCACAATCCGCTGCCCCATCCATCTGTCTGTCTCCCTTCCTCCTTCCTTCCCTCCTTCCATCCATCCTTCCTTCACCTGGCATCTCAAAGCTGTCTCTCTTCCTTCAATTGATGCAATTCGCCATCTGCATCTACTTCCTTCACGGCGAGTTTAATTTTCCATCACTTCATTGTTCTCCGTTACCTTCTCCTATTCATTGAGGCTCCAGCCTAGGCCAGGCTCGCTTTCAATCTCTCCAGTCTGACCAATCTCCGTCATAACAGAAGAATCTGCGTCACCGACAATCGCGTCGTTGGCACATTTTCTCAATTCATCCAACCTCAACACGTAGAGGATCTAACTGTCGGTTACGCTTCACTGCAAGATGGCTACCACGTCCATGGATTACGAGGCCGCCAACGGCGACCGCTATGATGGTTCGTTTTACCTGGACACTGCTTGTCGCCCTAAAGACGAATCGGCACTGACAAAAAGATAACTTGTAGACGAGGCTCCTCGTTATGAGCGCGATAACCGCAGCGCCTCTCCCCGCCCTCTGCGCGATGACGGCGACTCCGGACGCCGCCGCTCCGCTTCGCCCTCTGGCAATGGCGACCGGTAAGCAAGATCCATCTAAACCCATTATCTTTTGATATGTCATTGCTAAAGCACGTTCTGTCGCCCTGCAGTGGCAACAAAGATGAGACCGGATCCAAGGGCGGCGACGATGACGGCGCCGTAAACCCTGGCTCCAACCTATTTGTCACTGGCATTCACCCACGCCTGACCGAGTCCGAGGTCACTCGCCTGTTCGAGAAGTATGGTGAGGTCGAGAAATGCCAGATCATGCGCGACCCTCATACCAAGGAGTCTCGCGGCTTCGGCTTCGTAAAGATGGTTACATCTGAGCAGGCTGATGCTGCTAAGGAGGGCCTGCAGGGCGAGCAGATTGAGGGCCGCACTTTGAGCATTGAGAAGGCTCGCCGTGCTCGTCCTCGCACCCCTACTCCTGGCAAGTACTTCGGCCCCCCCAAGCGTGGTAAGTTTCAGAGCCTTTCACAATTTGAAAATAAATTTGTACTCACATGATGTCAATAGAGGGCCGTGGTGGCGGTGGTGGCCGCTTTAACGACCGCTACGATGACCGACGTCGTGGAGGTTATGGCGGTGGCTATGGAGGCGGCGGCGGTGGTAGTGGCGGTTACGGCCGCGATGACCCTTACCGCTACCGTGGCTATGATAGACGCGGCTACGATGACCGTGGTGGCTACGAACGCGGATACCGTGAGGACCGTGGCTACGACCGCAGCTACCGCGAGGATCGTGGTGGTTACGAAAGACGCGACCGCGGCGGCGATGAGGCCTACGCTGGCGGCCGGGTCGACCGCTATGGCGGCGGTGGACGCGAGGAGCGTGGCGACCGCTACGCGCGTGGTGGCCCCGATGAGCGTCGTAACCCTGGCTACGAACGCGAACGTGGCTATGATAGACCCGCTGAGCGTGAAGGTCCTCGCTCCCGCGACGCGCCTGCTGCAAGTGCTGGCTATAGCGATGCGCCTGCTCGCTCCGAGACCCGGGAGAACTACGGAGGTTGGAATCTTTAATTGCCCTCCCTCATTTGGTATTTATCGTGGCTAATGCGTCTAGGCTCTCGCTGATTCTTATACTATTTCATCACACGCTGTTCACTCGTTTCATTCATGACGAACAGCGTATCCTTCCTTCCCTTTCCGTCTTTCATAGTGCGGTCGATCTCGGCGGATATCCCCAAAAATTGCGTCTCATGGAGTTCTTGTGCACTACAACTAGTCAGTGATGGAAACATAAAATGGGTTTTTCGGCTTGTTGTGGTTGGCCATTTCTAAACCACGATCTTTCGCTGGCAAGGTCTCTGCGCGAGAGACAGGCACCTCATTTGCTGGCGACTGTTTCTCAAATCGGGCCCTTTCTGACGAAAAGTTTCTGGCGGTTTGTTGGTAGCTTTGGCAAACAATCAACACGGCAAAACGGCAGGCGTCGACAGGCTTTGGCCAGAATGACAGTCACTTTCCCCCTTGTGGATCAGCACTTTCGTTACACCACGTTGTGGGCCGGCGGTGGTCCACGATTGTTTCCCTCACGCAAACCTCTTTCCACCTTGTACCATTATCTATCACGTCCCGCTTCGGGTCGAGTCGAGTTTGAGACGGCTTCACAAATCCGGCATGGCTTTTTTCGGTGCAAATTTCAGCAAGATAAAGATGTTGACCAGCAATGCAACATGAATGACAACCGCGTCCCTAAACACCTAAACCGTAACTGTGCCGCCTGAACGCCAAACTTTCAACTTTTCCAGTCGTAAATGAAACGCCCTTCGCACCCACTGCTTCGTCTTTAGTCACCCCTGACATTACTAGCGACTCGGGATATAACGAAGTCGTGGCCCCTGTTGCTTTGCCTTGAGCTGACTGCCACAGATCAGGCTGTGTGGTCTCTGTTGAGCGGGATCCTGCTTAAAGGTATCTTCCCCCGTTGTAGCTGTATCGAAACTAACTATACTGCCACCAATAGCGGTTTTCGGCTTGCGGCTTGTCCCCGGTCCCTTAAGACATGCCTTCAACCGCAAACTGCGCCTTTACTCTAGATGTTTCATCCACTTGAGCGTAATTGTCAAGTTCCAAATTAACCCTGTGGCAATGACACCTAAACCACTTGAGCTTACATGTGCTGTATCGCCTACGCTTTACACAATTTTAACCTTGGGCAAACTATTTAAACAAGGCAGTCCTTGATTTAATGGCAAGTCAAAATGGCTAGACCACTCGTTCGTAAAGTGTCTTGGTACGCCTCAAGCAGTCACAGCTACGAAATAAACGCGGCTTTATATTGCGGTTATCCGATGCAACCTTGCGTTCTACTACATCACTTGGCTGAGAGTAAACTACATATGGCGCCGAAGTTGTCAGTAACCCTAAACACTATTGAATGAGGGGGGATAATATCTAGGTTCAGAATCATTTGCTAAGTGGCACATAAAACCTGCCCTTCTCAGGTTCTTCGGGGTAATTGGCATTTACAATACAAAATTTGGGATTTAGACTAATAGCAGCCCGTTTCGATAAAGTTGAAGTAAAAACAAAAAGTAAAAAAAATCAAATGTCTCCGTGCTATAGACATTTATAGTTGCAGACGGCATTTCCCAATGATGTAGTGCACCCTCCCCTCAATTGCAGCTGAGTATCACACTTGGATTCACAAAAAACTATGGTTGATAAAAATGTCTTCGTTCATCATGTAGTCATGCCGGAATCTCTATTGGTATATTAGTCCTCTCTGGCCCCCCGATTATCAGTGGGTGCTGCTGGTGCTCCAATAAGCCAACCCACACCCGACGTCAAAGTACCCATAGCAGCTTCACGAATCTGGTCACGCTTCCTTGCCCTACGGTGATCGTCACTTGCGTCTGCAGTTCTGCTTCCGGCTGCTTCTGCGGGATCCGGAGCCTTGCCGCCGGTGGACTGTTGTAGCGTCGAAAGCGCAGCGAAGTTGCGTGATGCTGCACGGGCAGTGGCACGAGAGAGGTCAAAGAGTGACATAGGTGCATCATCGCCTCCCTTGGCCACTGCCGTCGAGCGAGACTGGCTACTGTGTAGTCGTTGAGAGCGGGCTGCCACGGAAGTTGCATCGAATCCACCAGGCATGCCATGCGAGCTAGAATCGGCGGCAGCATCTAGGTCAGCTTCACGAATAGCCTCTTCCCTGAGTGCTGAGTCAAGCTGTTCTTCGCAGCGTCGGAATGACTTGAGGATTTCCTGGAGTTGTGAGGGCGGGGCAATACGGAGAGCAGTAGCAAGACAGTCAATACGCTGTTCCAGGTGACGGATTTCCGGGTTGCCACTGGCATTGCCTAGGTGCGTCGGGCGAACTGTCCTTGCCGTTCTGATATACTGCCCTGCCTGTAGTGCGGCTCTCCACGAAAAGTCGTCGTCAGCTAGCATTATCGTGCTGGCCGACTTCGAGCCATAAGCTGCACCACTTAGCCTGTTGACAATGTATGAGTACGCAGTTTCAAAGTCATGCTCTGCCAAGGCCGCCTCGATGCACATGGCAATAGTACGCTTTTCTGTAGCATCTATTTGTGCTTGACCATCTTCTTGAGACTGGGCGGCAGTCTTGCTGTTTCGGTGTACAAGACCAGCCCGAACCATATTGGAGCCCACTTCTGCAAGATCCTGGACACGCGTGTAGCTCTTCGGGTTCTGCTCCAAGACTTTACCAATGATAGAGACCGGGTCTGTGTGTACGCGCAGCACAACAGGGCTGAATGGCTCGCCCTGCCTCAAAACCAAGCGATATTCACTAAGAGCATGCGTCGCCTTGAGCAAAGCATCGATGCGGCATCTCTCAGGACAAGATTTATGAATGGTTCGTGGGAAAGCGTTAATGCTGCATTTGTCAGCACGTTCTATCGAACCAGTGAATGTTGCTTACATCTCGTCACACTTCTTGAGTCCTCCCCTGTTTCGGTTGGGGTTCGAAGCGTTGTCATATGCGTTGAGAGCTGCCGCAATAATTGTGTCTCGAAGAATTTCATCCGGCAGAAGCTTGTCGATCTCATCCTCATACATTGACCTGGCCAACGCGTATCCTACACATCTTAGCCAGTAAACTAGCATTGCAGTTAGGGGAGCTCACTCTCTGTAGACAAGAGGGACTTTAAAATCTCAGTTTCAATGACTGCTGGCTTAACCTTTGCAAAAACCCCCATAACTGTGCCATCTGGAGAGGTGGTGATGCCCCAATTCCGCAACCAAAGGAGTTCGTTGCGTGCCTTGATCCAAAAGCTTTCGTCACGTCCTGTCGCTTGTTCGGCAATGACATGCACTAGTTTGATTGCTTCGGCTTTCTGATCTCGTTCGTCCTGGATGAAAGCAAGATCGCCCGCCCGCTTGATAGTGCACGGCTGCCCGAGCCGTGTCAGGATAAACGCACTAACTATGATGGCATGTAGCAAATGCGTTGCCTTTTTAGATGGTGTCGTAAGAGGGTTTGAGTGTTTCAGGAGATCGTCCCGCATGAAGCCTGTGTTCTTATGGCTGAGAACGCTGTCGCCTTCTAAGTGGGATACAGCAGAAAGAGAGTCCGCTGCTGAAGGCAGGGGTAGAATCTCATCTTCGCCGAGAAGATCCATAACCTTTCTGAGCATTTGATGAGCACCCTGGAGCGCTTCGACAGTCGCTTCAGGAACAACATAAGCGCAGGCTAGGACAGCTCGAGCGTACCGACGATCGAGATACTGTTGCTGCTGCTCGTTGAGCCATAGGGTGTCATAGTCGCCTAAGTCGACATCCACAGCGCCTCCCCATTGCTCGATGGCCGCCGCGGCAACTCTCCAAGAATTAGAACTCTGCGACAAGAGCCATTCAATCGCTCGTTCCCAGCCTGGGCTGTAGAGATCCTCGCCCGAGGAATCGTCTGCATCGTCCCCTTCAGCTCGTTTCCAGCGAAAATTATTATGTAGCCATGGAACAAGGAGCCCTCTCAAATCCCGACCGACGAAGACATAATCCTCGGACCGAACGCCTGTCTGAGACAGAAGGGCATCAACTGCAACGCCATCGGGAAGGCTATAAAATTCGGCAAGCGAGTATGGAATACTATTCGTGGGATAGTATTCATAGTTTCTTCTCAGTAATGGAAGCAAAGTTGAGGCCATCCAAACACGAATATCTGGGGCGTACTGGAGAAATGGCCCAAGTAGCTCTGGTAATTGGGTGAGCAAGCCAGCCTCCTCATCGATACGCTGGGCTCTCCGAAGCAGAAAAACGGTAACCGGGTCATCATCAGTGCAAAAAGGCGTGTCTTTCCAAGTCAGGGGTAGCAAATGCAATTTGCGAACCTTCCTTGCCGCCTGCTCGTCCGTCAGATCCTCTACGATATTGTAATCGATGTCGCTCGCTTCACGGTCCGCAAAATCGCCGGATGAGATTTCTTCAAGAAAAGGGACATAGTCGATAGATCTAACAGTCTCGGGAAGGTAGGTTAGAAGTATTCGTAAAATGAGCTCCTTGCGCAAGACGGTGGTGTATCGAGAGGTCAGAAAGGCCAAGCTGTCAATGTTGGCGTTGATGGCTAGGTGCACAGCCAGAAGCACCAGCTTCGGGGGAGACAGAACGTGACCCATCATGCGTTGTATTGGGACATTTCCATTCGTGGTATATTTCGAGTAACGTGAAATTGCGGAAGGTTCCTGAGCGGTTGCAAGAGACAAGTATTTGAGCGTTGAACAAGTCAGTATTCCTGGTATCCAGCTCTAGGCGTGTTCAATTGGGGAACGTGCGGCAGGTACTTTAGCTTCGTCATAATTAAGTGGATACTTCAGGGGTTGTGCATGAAGGCTTAGGCGCGCGCTAGCCGAATGAACCCACCGTGGCGCCGAATTCACTATTGGAATCAAGTACCATCTGATAGGACGATATTTCCTGACAGCCGCGGGCTCTTCCGTTAGACACCATTCCAGACTTCGACTTCGTGATCAAGAAACCACGACGGTCGACGACATCTGAGCTTCAACCACCATCCAATTGGCGTCTGTACATCCATAATGGCCTCTGGATACGGTCTTCACGGAGGTAAACTTGCATTTTCTCTTCCATTGGTACTGTACTGACCTAGAAACGCCGTGCAGGCCCCTCGCGGTGCTTCCCCTTCTGGCAGGAGCTCCTCGGCTGCTACGTCGTCAACACCACTGGAGAAGACCACTCCGGTAAAAAGAAGTGCGGCCTAGCGCTGGAAGACTACTACGAGTGCCTGCACCACAAGAAGGAGGTTAGTTTCTTCGCTGCCTGATGCAATTGAAATGGACGGTAACTTATCAGTATTTGTATTATTCTAGGCTGCGAGAACGAGGGCACTTCAGGCGGCCTACCGAAAGGCTGAATCAGCTAGCGCACGAGACAATGCCCCAAGCGCTGGGCAAATACGTAACTTGGGCCTCCTTGGCAAAGAAGACGATACAAAGGTTGTGACTGGGAGTTGAGTAAGATAAGTTGGGCTTGCAAGGGCGATAGACATATATATGGCACAAATTGGACAAGTGGAAGTCACAAGCAGTAAATGGCAAGCCACCGTTTTCTTTCTAGTCACTAGTGATTTCCCCTGTCTTGTCCACAAGCTTAAGAGGCCTGAATCATGTTGTACTGATGGTTGATAATCAGCCAAGAAGGGGAGGGTTCGTTAGACTGAGAGGACCAGGCTTGTTAAATGCCTTGAACTAAGTCACAGTACTCAGGATTCACTGGAAACGATCATGCCAACAACTTTCCTCGAGGAATGCATGATGGGGAAAGCCACGTTTGCGTTCAGTGCAATCTTCGAGCGATATATCTCGTTCATAAGAAATGTAAAGCCAGGCGTATTGCATTTTCCTTAATTTCTATTCTATTCCTATACTTCTAATTCAATGAGGCAACCTCAATGTGTCATTCCGTTGGCACCTTCCGTCAAAGTGAACAAAGTGACCCCAGTTGAGGGGCCGTCTTACATCACTTTCCTCCTCTGGGGCAACTTGTTCTCCTTCACGACTAAATGGCAACTCTGTCTGTTCTACCATTAAGCCTTCTCTACGAAATTGCTGATGGGCTTTTCAAAAACATCGTCACCTTACGACTTCCGCTTACTTGTTTTACTTTATACTCAGTTGTTCAGCCACATCACCACGATCAAGATGCCTGACTTCCGCGGACTTAACGTTTCGGTCGTTCTCGGCCCGCGTGAGAGACCTCTCCCAGAGCTGCCCCATCCCGAGTCTTCGTCTGTCCGTCTTTGTGGGCCTCGCCCTTATAGCCTAAAGTCGTCTCCAAGTTCTAGCTTGCAGTCCACTCCGGAGAAATGCAAGCCCACTACTTCGGTGTATATACCCTCTTCTCCAGGTCCGCCGCTTCCCCTCCATGTACGCACATTGATATTTTAACCGAACAGTAGGTGCTCAATTTCATATCCGATATGCGATTAACAAACCTCAATGTAACGCCGAATATATGTACTTCAACATGGAAATGAATGGGCGTGCTGTAGCGTCATGGGGCACAAAATCCCAGAATGTCCCTAGCCAGGTCGTGAGCCATGCTTTGTACGAGCCTGACAACAAATGGCATTATAGAGAGAGCGGTATGACGTTTAAACGCGAGGGTGTTGAAAAGAGATACTTCTACTTCACGCCCCGGTTCGAGGAGACCTCCGCCGCCATGGACGGAGGTCTTATTGAACTTCAAGTCTTCCGATCCACGGGTAGGAGGAAGAGATCCATTGAGCTCACTGGTTTTCGAAGTCAGAATGCATATGGCATCACGTAAGTTGCTTATTCTCGATTTTGGAAGCTGTAATTGACCTTCCTAGCTTTCCTACGGGCGGCCTTATGGAGTCACCCCAGGATTTGACTTACTATAACTGGCTTTTGATCGACTCCATCAACTCTCCTTACGCCACTTTCCGCTTCTTCTACCGTAACTGGATTCACTTGAAGGCTCTGAATCTTGTGCCAGAGACTTATTGCAATGAACTTGGGGATGCGTCAAGAATCAAGGAGAAAACCCCTCAAAATAATCCCAAGATGCCTGTTGATGAAATGTTCAACAACATGGCACCCTTCAACTTCGAATCAGACGCTGGGTCTGTATTCGAGGGTAACATTAAAATGTACCACAGCGAAAGAGAGGGACTGGTTCATTATAATCACGGCCCATATCGTATAGCGATGCCTCCTAGGACAATACCGCCCCCCGCGACCCGATCCATACTCCCGAAACCCAGCAAGTTGGCGCGTAACAAGAAACAAGATTTGCATCCCCGAAGGCCTCTTCCAGTACTGCCGGCCACGGTTCCATCACGGCGCAGTTCTTCACTGGAGTTTGCACGAGCTCCTTCCGTCACGCCGTCGTTGTTACAATATGTGGATGAATCGGGGAGCGCCGACGAGATCGAACTTGGAGTAGCTAAAAAAGTCCTTCTGCCCTCGATCTTCATGAAACTGAGCGGAAATGACACTCCGACGTATTCATCTTCTGTATCTCCTACAAAACCACCATTGTCCTTGGACTGTAATAGGATGTCTCCATCTCTGCACGACTCGGACGCACTCGGAAATTTTGGACAAGATTGTCCATCAATCACCGGTATTCAAATTGAGCGGCAATTCACTGAGTATACTGATATGAAGTTCAGTACGAACACGTCTGGTCATGAAATGACCAAATTTCCTAACAGCTTGAACAACTCAAGCATCTTGGAAGCAGAGTGGTTCAGACGAAAACCATCGCCGCTGCGCTGGGGGCAGCGGAGAGGGAACATGAACAAAAGGAGTTTTCAGACATCCGGTGGATGGTTTGGAACCCTCCCTGAGGATTGAGAACATCTTTATCATGTATTTGCCAATGCAATATACTAGATACGTCAACAGGCGAGGCGAATTAACGATTGCTCTGTGGTCTCGGAAATTGGGAAAGGGAAAACTACAATGGGAATACAGTAGATCTAGATATATAGAAAAAGAAAACAAAAAAACCCAGCAACAAGTTCTAAACCAGAAAAATCGAAGGCACCACACAGAATGACAAAGCTTTGGTGCAGAAATGCACGGAAGCCTCATCAGCTAGGAAACTGAGTATAACTCAAGAGTAGGATTTACGTGCTAACACAATTTCCCAGGCCGATTGCTCTAGAATCTATGGTACAAAAGCAAGATAGGCAACTACGACAGGACCTGGAACATGAGCACATAACTTGTAGATAAGTTGGCGAGCCGAGCCATAATTTGGAGAGATTACACCAATTGAACCACTGGATGTTTCAAACGTTGCTGGCTTCAGAAATGAAGTTCAGCACAACAAGTTGGTTGATCAAAATTGCTGAGTAGGAAAGCTTCAAACGAAGGTTTACAAGACGAAAAATCTTATGCCCTGCGAGTACTGGGAGATATGCTATGATAAGTAACATAGCATCACGCTAACCAGTAGTGCTGAAGCCACGTAAAAAGTCTTGAAGACAACAATACATAAATACACTAATCCTCCTTGGTTAAGCAAGCCACAGTATTCTACAAGCAGCGATCTTCACTATGGTTATGATTTGAAAGATCCAAAACATTGCTCACTACCACCACTTCTCACAGAGAACCTGTCCGCGGTCGAGACCTAATTCGTCAGGCGAGACAAGTCTTCCTACAAACTCGTCTGTCATTGATGGTACTCCACAGACATAAACAACCGCGGCATTATGGTCCTCCTTGTGTCCTAAAGCTTCGGTCACATCGGCAAGGGTCATGCGACGGGGCTTGAAGGGGACGTCAACATTGTTACACGACAGGACCGTCTCGTTTGCCACGTTGTGGCCTGTGAGGAACAACTGGAGGCGACCGTGGACCTTTTCTCGTCCGTAGATGGCAGCAAGCCTTTCTATGAACAATGGCTTTTCTTTGTCGATATTTTTCGGCGCTTTAGCACTATAGAGAAACTGAATGTCGTAGGGACATTTGTCCTCGGCCAAGTGACTGACGATGCTGATCAGCGGGTTCACACCCACGCCGCCGGCTACAAAAACGACGCGTCGCAGAGAGGCAAGATCTAGTTCCTGTGGTGGCCAGACGAAACTGCCACCAACGCGTATATTTAATGTAGCGCCGATGAACGACTTGTCCCATAGCCATGCAGCAGCCGGGTTTGATGGCGACCTTTGAACCGCAAGCTCAAGGTACGGCGAACCGGGAAGCCGAGCTTTGGAGGGCGGGCTGGTTATGGTAAAACCGCCTGGCTTGGTAACATTAGGGACATAGGTATCAAGCCATTGACCTGGAAGGAACTGCTTAGGTGGTTAGAGGTAAGACGTGTGCTCCATTCGCTTGTGGCTGCAGGCTGTGTTGATGTCATACCAGGGCGCGTACCTTGATGCTCGAGCCTTTCTGAATTTCCAAACGAAAAAGCCGAACATTGCCGTTTATCTGGTCAATTCGGCTAAGAGTGACGGCGTGTTTATGCTGCATTGGTAAGTCACTGCTCACTGTCCAAGTGTAGACGCGGAACTTACAGAATCCCGCGGCTCAGTTGCTGTGCGCTCGATGTGCGACTCTCTTCCGCTGATCGGCTCCATCTTAGATGTGGGCGAAAACAGCTGGCAAATATGGGAGCGAGACGCAAATGCAGCTGCCTGGGTACGAGAAAGTCTCCGGGTAGCGGTAACCCGATGGACTGGATTCAACAGCATTCCTAACTGATGTTGAAGAATACTAAGCGGCTCGACCTCGGATGTTGTAAATGAGTGACATGCCGGGTCCGCACTTACTGACACATTAAGTGGGTAGGGCATGGCAGGCAGGATACCAACAACGCAATATGTCAAAAATCATCTTTTTTCGACATGCTTACCAGGCTTCAGGACTACAGCATGCTAAGATTGCCTAACTTTGCATCGTCACAGATCTGTCTATTTTGGCCACTCTTGTCTTGCCATATTAAATATACAAGCTCATGTCATGTACGTTCATGCCCACTCCGCCTCAACGCTGTCCTAAGACGGCTCAGTCCAGTTTACCTGGTCCATCACATCTCCAACAGACGGATGCGTGTATCCAATCCTCAAACGTAACCGCAGCGGCTGTGAACAGATTAGCTAGATACTAACAAACGGTATCATTAGGGACTCACTCCCTTGGCCCCAGAAACAATCATTCTCTGGGTCGCTTCAGCACCAGGTCCCAGATCTGTGCTGGAGATGCTCATGAGCTGCAGCTTCTGCGTCTTGGGCACAGCTGCCTGTAGCCCAACATTAGACAGAGAGCCCGAGCTGACATTCCTGAACCGCGCTATAGTCTGTACAAGGCCTTCGGCGTTGCGTTGGATCTGGAAGCTAACATTAAGGCCGTTGTTGTCATAAACAGGCAGACCCACCGGTGCCTGTAGAGCTGCCTGCGGCTGAGGCTGAGGAGTTGCGGCAGACATTGAAGACATTAGGTCCAAGTTTGAGGCACCTCCGACAGCGGGAGCAGAGGACGTGGCATTTTGGGCAGGGTCTTGAGCGAATAGATCCATTATTGAGGCAACGTTTGACTGCTGTGGTTGAGGAGAGGTCGATGTAGGAGGAGACGAGGTGCCGCCTAGAATATCGGCAAGAAGATCAGTATTGGAGGCTCCGCCAGTAGCAGGTGTTGTGGCGGGAGGAGTATCCATGAGATCGAACAGCAAATCTTGCTCAGTGGGCTTGACAACCCGCGATCTCCTATTTGCGGCCTTGGAAGACTTCTTGGTCGTCGCCGGGCCAAGAACGCGGGACTCTTCCTTGATTTGAGGGGGTGGCATCTTCTCGAGAACGCCGTTGCGGATTTGGTCGTAAGAAAATAAGTTGCTGTACTCGACGGCTCTCTGCTGCACCTCGACATCGAGACTTGTTTGGTGATTTTCGAGAAGCTGGCGAACCCGACCGATCTGCGCCGAATCGGACAGTCTCGTGGTTAGTTTGATGAGAGCTGTGACAATATATTCAGTCGATACTTGAGTGGCATAGTTGCTGTTGAGGATGGACGAGAATAAGTCAATGATTTCGTGTTCCTTGACCTCCTGCACAAGCTCTTCCTCTTCGTATTGGCCACCTCTTAGTAGAGCGTCCCCGTACTCGCCGATGCACCACGCCCCGGCTTGCGTAAGACTCTCTTGTGTAATGTCCTTTTTCAAGTTGGTGTAAAGTTTCTGAACCGCGTATGTCTGTAGTTCGGGTGTGGTGGCAACGAGTCGAATGAACGAGGACATGATAGGCTCCTTGACATAGTTTCCGGCAAGAGTCAGTACCCTGAGCATAGTATCAACGTGCCAGCGTTTGTTGGGCGCAAACTTGTCGGCTGCAATGCCTATTTGACTAGTCATTGTTGGCTTAAACTCATTATCGGCAACCTCCAAGAATGCGAGAAGCTCCCGGATGAGGACCCGGACGTTGCTTTCGTTAATAAGGGTAAAACTGAGTTCTAGAGCACGTCTCCTAATGCTGATGTCTGGGTCCCTTAAACACTCGAGAATAGTGTTTCGGTGCCTCTGCACGGCGTTTGGCTCGATAGCCACCACTTTGATCAGAGTATTGAGTGCAACATAGCGGATATTGTTGTCCCTGTTGGATAGAAACTTGCCGAGGATGTTAACACCGAGCACGCGCAGCCCAGAATCGGCCTCAATGTCGAGAATCGTAAGAACAGCTTCGTATAAGATCGAGTTTCCAACATTCTTGGAAGAATCTGTGTTGGTCGCCACCTGAGCCAAAATGTCGTTGATCTGTTCGCTGACTTGCGCATCTCCCATCGCCAACACTCTGAGAAGGCGCAAAATCTTGACTTGCACGAATGGATCGGTAATGCCCGTAACGTCGTGTTCAGGAGCGTACCCAGACGTCGCTAGCCCCTTCAATGTTCTTACCAGGCCGGGTACGAGCGTTTTAAACTTTTCGACAATGCCTTCCTCTCCGCCTTCTTCCTCGTCAGCCTCGCACAAGCTGGTAACCAGCGTAAGACCACAGAGCAAGACCCCATGGTTTCTGTCAGCCAAGAGCTGATTGGCCTTATCCACGAAGTGCTCCTGCAAATCAGGAACCTTGCGACATATCCGCATGGCGCAGAGGGCAGCCTTTCTTCGTATGTAAGGGTTCGACGTGTTAATGCAGGCCTCGACTTCCGCAAAAAGGTCTCGGGACATTTCGATGGAGGCGATGTTGCCCAAAGTACAAAGAGCCAAACCGACAACATATTGGTTGGAATGGGAGAGGTCGCTGTAACAGGTCAGCATAGCTTGACTCTCTCACGATAAAACAACCTTACTTCTTCAGCGAGTTCGTCACCAATGTCAGAACTTCTTGGTTCTCATCGAGTAGCAGACTCGTAGCCAGGTGGCCAAGTCGTTTGTCTGCAAACCGCGGTGAAGCCAGTAGCTTCAGACACTCGATCTGACCGAAATGGGTTCTCTCGCCGAGAGTAAAGAGATAGAGAAGCTTGGCGACATTGTTTCGCCTGTTGATTGATAGTCAGCCGTGACACTAAGTGCCTTGCCTTTGATAGATCTGGAGTGACTGCGCACCTGACGCTGTGATCACCGCTTTCCTCTCTGAAGCTTGCTCGAATAGATGCGCTCTCCTTCTGAATAACGGCTCGCTCATCGGCAATAGTCTTGGCGGCACGAACATTGCGAATGAATTGCTTCACTGGCGTGTCATCCAGGTCAGCTCCAGGCCACCGATACAGACGCAGAGGGGCAGGGGCTATCTCTCGCACAGGAACTCATATTGGTCAACAAGGGGCGGCCCGCGTAGGGCCTGGAACAGGCTGATCGAGCCTAAGTAAAAGTTACACAAGTGCAAGGTCGTCGGGAGCTTTCGAGTCGCGAATCGCCAATGCTGAAGTGTTGAAGGGGGTTCGTGTTCAGAGTGGACGTCAAATAGACCAGATAGACGTACCCAGGATACTAAGTCCTCTGGGCGGGCTGGAGGTGCAGTGTAGGTGCAGTTCAGGTCCAGCCTGGCACTGGCTGGCAAGTCCCAGCACCGTCACATCTGTGGGGCCGGCAGAATGCGGCCCTAATTCTCAGGCATAATTTATCTATCATCGACAAGGTCGGTGAGAGAGCACTGACAAGCTTTAGGGGTCCTTCAATGGGTTGTGCCCCGGTCCTTGACGTTAGCGGCCGTGGCGCTGATCAAAAACCTCAAGAGCGCTATGAACACTTTGACGGTTATGGTAGTCTACAACAACATGCTACTTCCAAAATTGCTGGCGCTGCAACCCTCGTGCATCCACACATGAGAGCTTGGCTGGTCCAAGTAGCTGAACATGCAGTCATTATCTAGAAATGGTAGCTGCGGGGTTGATTGAAGACTTTGAGACGCAGCAACAGCCATTAATACCCTTAACATTTAAAGGGACAGATCGGGGCACAGCCGCATGTGCGACTGCACCGAGTCAATGGTTTTGCCCACTGAGCATTGCTTCTTGAAGGCATTGCTTCTTGAAGGCATTGCTTCTTGAAGGCATTGCTTCTTGAAGGCATTGCTTCTTGAAGGCATTGCTTCGCAAAAGATCGAAGCGTCAATATCAGGCTGGTTAATCTACCAAAACTCCCTTCTTTTTTGAACCACTTTCAGGCCACAGCGCCATCTTGTTTGTCAAGTCTAAGCAAGTTAGATGCTTGACATGACCGAGGCACCATAGGATATGATAACTGTGCTACGACATCGCATAATCGTCAAGGCTGTGCATTGCTAATTGACTTTTTGCATTCGCCGCTCTAGAGGAGATTCCCTTCTAAGTGTAACTCCTGTCTCATTGAAATACGTCTTGTGCCTCTGTCTGGGGTGTGTGTACTCGTTAAAGAAGTATCGTGAGAGGGAGAACGGAGTAGGCAAGTCTTCTGGCAGTGAAACGTAAGCCCTGAGTCCTCCATCCCATCCGAATGTTTAACCCGTCCTTTCACTGAATATTTCGTATGGAGACTTCGAGGCCCCAAAGGATATATTACCCTCCAACCAGTTCAGACTCAATGCAGTCTGCCCGCGTCTTTCCTCGCAAAGAACCAAATGCTGCGCAGCCAAGCCGGCGAAGCTTAGAGAGCAACTACTCGAACTTCAAGCCTTACTTTTGCATCATGAGCTGGACGAACTCGTTGTCTAATCGTATGTCAGCAAGAGTGTAGGACAAAAATACTATATCACTACTACTCACAGTCAATACGTCCATCACCATCCTGGTCAGCCTCACGGATCATCTCGTCGACTTCGTCGTCGGTTAGCTTCTCGCCGATTGAAGTCATGACGTGGCGCAGCTCAGCGGCGGAGATGAATCCGTTGTTATCACGGTCGAAGACCTATTGCATGTCAGCATCGCCCATGGTGTATGGTACACCACCGCTACCTACCTTGAAAGCCTCACGGATCTCCTCCTCGGAATCGGTGTCCTTCATCTTGCGGGCCATCATGGTCAGAAACTCTATAACTTGTCAGCCTGCTTTTAGCTTGTAGAGTAGAATACTGAAATTCACCCACCAGGGAAGTCAATAGTTCCGTTGTTGTCAGCGTCGACCTCGTTGATCATGTCCTGGAGTTCCGACTCGGAGGGGTTCTGACCCAGGGAGCGCATGACAGTACCGAGCTCCTTGGTCGTGATTTGGCCTGCCCAACTCTTTAGCATGATTCCAAAGCACTATCCGTGGTATTGAAGCATCGTTCTTGTAGGCATGCGTTCGAAGGCGTGCGCCGATGGGAGGAAAAGGGGGTTATGGCACTGACCATCGCCATCCTTGTCCTGCAGTGGGTTAGCGCATGCCACGATGGTCACCAGAGGCACAAGACAGCGGTGATAGTAATGTGTGAACGTACAAAGAGGGAGAAAGCCTCCTTGAACTCGGAGACTTGCTCTTCGGTAAGGGAATCAGCCTAGATTGGAGATGTTGCGTCAGTTCAGGTTGTCCAATGCTAGCCAACAACCCCTCAGCCGCGGAGTTCGCTCTCGAAGATGAGATCGTTGGAGAGGAATGCATAGAGTCCGAGGAAGAGGAAACTAACCATGATGAATAGCAGCGATAATGTGTATGTGTTTTATTTGGGTTAAAAAGTGACCAAGCGAAATGGAAGCCAAGTTGCTAAATGTTGAAGGGTAGTCGCAAGAGGATTCACACAAGTCTTGGCCAGATTAAGATAGATACCACTGGATGCCTTGGGGTCGAGCTTTTCTTTAGTGCAGCTCGTGGGGAGGGACGAGGCAGGGAGGGGAAATGTCGGGCGATAAGGGGGGCGGCGGGCGTGCCAGGCTGGATTCTGAGAGGCTGGAGGGAACTCAGCATGGTGGACAGCGCAACTGCAATCACTTGTTGTGCTGAAGCACCCTGCCGAGAATTACTGTGTTCCAGTAGGTTCAGTGCTGGAGACTGGACCCCTTCCCTTGTCGCAGAATCGGTGGCCGCCAAACCTGCCAGCTGTCAGCGTCTACCCCCATCCAGCCTACCCGGCCTCTTTTGAATCCATCAATATGCTGACATAAGTAACATCATTGGCTCCTGTCCTCACAATGATTACCGTGTAAGGCGCTCCACTTTATCACAGTGCCCAAACTAATGGACACTCTACCATTTTGCTAGCGTTGTCGACGCACCTAAGGTTTACAGATGGAGCCCACTCAGGTACTGGCCCACAGGCGGCTCAATCCGCAGACGGTGGCAGGCCTGACGCAATCAGTCCTAACTACTGGTTTTACATACTTGTTCAATTCATCAAATGAATTAATGCACACATCCTGGCAGCGCGTCCCTGGCCGCAGTGCATTATATCAGCACCCGTGAGGTTCCACAGGCTTTCTGTCTGTCACTTGGCTGCTATTGTTCTTAACCACTTTCCAAACCACATACCCCTTCCGGATACCTGCGAATAGTGATGCGAGTAGAGGCTTGGAGCTGAATACTGTCATTCAAGACAGTTCGCAGCCAGCCCCCCTTGAAGATACTCGTCTGACGTACCTTTTCAACGAATATACACACACACCAGACACCCGCAACCTACATACATCTTCTTTATGCTAATGGTATCCTGGTTTGCTTTCGCTACCCTTCGTTCATGACGACGATCCTGAAAGGCCCGCACAGCGAGCGACAAAGGACCCCAGGCTGAGAAGCATTATCGCAGCCATCTGGCGTCCGCCATGTGGCGAGACCGCACGAATCTGTGAGCTTGTTCCTCTTCACTTCTGTCACTCAGGAGTAACTCGGCATTCCGGTTATAACACTGACACGTACCTTGCAGGTACATTTCCTATCGGCAATCGTACGCGCACCATCCAACGAAACGGACCAAATACGGCGGTGCAGCCGGTGGGAACAGCTTTGGCGAAGCCTTTGGAGGAAGCAGCAGCTATGCCAGCGGAAACGATGACACACGCGGCCTCCTCTCGGCTGGTGCCTTTGAAGATGATGGGGACGCCGTTATAGAGATGGACCTCTTACCCCCTCGCTGGGCCGACATATCCGATGAGATTTCCGACCTACTCGCCGATATAGCCACCAAGAGCCAAGCGCTTGAACGCCTTCATCAAAAACATGTACTGCCCGGTTTCAACGACGAGGACACCAAGAAGGCCGAGGAGAGAGAGATTGAGTCGCTCACGCAGCAAATCACTAAAGGGTTCCACGACTGCCATCGCTGCATCCAGCGAGTCGAGCAGATGGTCAGGGAGTCCAAACAGTCGGGATCCATCACCAATGCCGAGGAAACGATGGCAAAGAACATACAAATATCGCTGGCATCACGGGTACAAGAAGCCAGCGCGCTTTTCAGAAAGAAGCAGAGCGCATACTTGAAGAGTCAGTAGTGTTGCTGCAACGGTCTTGACAACCCGCTGACAATGATGCAGAACTTCGCGGGATGAGCGGCCTCAGCGGTGGCGGCATAGCTACAGGAGATAGGGGATCAACCCCGCAACCCTCGAGCTCATACATGGACCCCTCAATGCTTGAGTCTGACGCCGATAGGTCCTTCTCTCAGTCAACTCTTCAAGCAACACAGCAGAAGCTTCTCCAATCGAACGATGCAGCAATCATTCAGCGCGAACGTGAGATTGAGGACATTGCGCAGGGCATCATTGAGTTGGCCGACATTTTCCGCGACTTGCAGAACATGGTCATTGACCAAGGTACTATGCTCGACAGGATAGACTACAACGTCGAACGGATGGCTACCGACGTGAAAGGGGCTGAGAAAGAGCTTGTTGTTGCCGCAGGATACCAGAAAAAGACGACAAAGCGCAAGATCATACTCCTTCTTCTCATTATCATTGCGGGTTTGATCATATTACTAGTGATTAAGCCAAAGAAGCACGGTGGCAATGAGTAGACGCCGAGAGGCACCAGGTGTTACTTTCCACCTACGAGAGATGAGAGGTGTAAATTAAATGTATGAATTTCTCTTGAGAATAATGCCGAGCGAATCTGGGATCCATCATCGGCCCGCGATGACTTTTACCACGCTTCGCGTCTAGGTCTAGATGGGTATCACTTTAATACTAGTTTTTGGAACGCCTATGTCTCCTGTCGACACGTGCCATCAAGGCATCTCTTAAGGCAATAATGTCGGGCAGCAGCGGGCGGTCAGTAGCTTGACCAAAAGCTTTGTTGATCTGGTCCTTTATAATAACCAAGTCGGGCAACCCTGGTCGTGTCAAAGCAGCCTTCTTGCTTTGAGGTTCATAAAGCTGAGTTAAACACCTTATGACCTCTGCCCGAACCACGCTTGTCTCAAGCGGTATACCATGTTTCTCCATTTTGGCTAGCAGCCGCACACCCCGTATGATAGCCAGCACTGGTACTTCTTGTACACCCAACGCCCATTGGGCCAAATCTTTTGATAAGCCTGCCTTGAACCCCCAGCGAACAATCGCAACATGCAGCGCCGGGTTGCTGAAGATCCTGCGGAGGGGATGGTGATCGTGAGTTGTAGGCAAATCAACGGGGATAACAACTTTCTCAGTTAAGGCCCCCATACTCGATGGCGGCACATCTGTGGGATGTACTGGAAGTAAGCCGCCTTGAGATTCACTCAAGGCTTGATAAGTGTCGATGATGCCAAGGCACAAATCCTCTAGCTCGTCAAAGCGACCGAACTTGCCCAAGCTGAAAAGGATCTTTCGCCAGTAGCGCGAGGGCACTGGCTTCTGAAGCAGCAACAAACGTTTTAGGTAGCTAATAGCTGTTTGCAAGCTTTCCCAGTTCAAGGGCCCGACTTTGGGATTCCATGCTAGGGGTTCGAGAATATTAGAGCAAATGAGCTGAACCGATGCCGCAGAGAGTTTAACATTCATGGACCGCATATCGTCCATAAGAGCCAGCGCTTGCCGAGTTTGCCGTTGTTCCAGACGTTGCTGAAACAAAATATTTGACGTGGATTCGATAGACTCCCCGGCAATTGCGGGATGAATCGCGAGCAACAACCGATATCTCTTCCAAGCCCCTGACTCCAAAGCTTCGTCGCGAATGCGTTGCTGCATCGTGGGGTCGTCGAAAACCTCTGGATGTATGTCGGTGTGCAGCAACTCCGATAACAGATCATGCTCAGCATTCTCGGCGAAATGTTTAACGGCACGAGCGTATGTTGAGTGTCCAATGCCAATATTAACCTTGTGTAGCTGATCAATACGGGCCATAACTGCGCTAGGTGTAGGTTCTCGTAACGAAATCGACTGCAAAGATAGTGGCCCGATCTGACGTACGCCTAGTGCATGGACCGCGTGAATTGCAAAGTCCAGAGGCACCCAAGAACTTGCAAACCAACGCGCGCCCAAAGTATCGCTGTACCTTCTGCCAGCCAAACCATTTCCCTCACCGTGAATGCCGCTCATTGCATCCCATAACGAGTCGTGCTTAAGGTCCCAGTAGGCTGGCGAGTTCAGGTCAAAGACCAACTGTTCCTCCAATTCGAGCGGGGTACCCGGATAGTACCGGGAAAGGAACCTCAAATAAGGCTGCGACTCGGGGGTGGGCTGCGGTAGGTCATGAAATCGTATCAGCAGTTCGCGCCAGTAGGCGCAAAGACGGGAGCGGCCCCTTTCGTACAGAAATGGAATAATCTTGTCGTATAGGTTATGATGGAGAGTTGCAATGTATAAACATTTTAATGTCTCCTGCAAGTCGGTGTCGGGGTTACTGACAAACTGCTGTAACAAGTTGCCAAAAGCTTCCGAGCCGGGATCGAAATTGGGCATAAGGCGTACGTGCCACTGCATCGCTCTCCGGTGCTGGCCGTTGCGGAGACAGTAAGATATTGTCGTTGAATAAAGAAAGGGCAATTGAACTGAACGAGACCTGAGCATCCACTCTGCATGCAAAACAACACGCTGGAGTCGGCTCTCATCATCCACCACAGCGTCCAGAATGGTCTTCCAGAAAATTTCTGCTCCTTCGCTATTCACATCGTAAAGGGCCTTGCGCCGTTCTGCGGCATCCCAAATGGCGAGCACACCGTTTCGGCCATGCTGCCTGTTGGCGGCGCTGAGGAGGTCAAGCCACAAGGAAACGTCGTTCTCATTCTCAGCCATATCCACGAGACCAAGGTCTGCCTCTAACAGAAGTGTGTCGTCTTCTGGCAAGGAATCGAAGTCAGACTGTCTCCAGTTTTGGATTTGTGTCTTTGGCAGCTGAGCAGCCGGAAACATCCTCGGCGGACTGCGAGGGGTTTGAGTTGCTGCACTAGCCCCTGCATTGAGACTCGTTCGACCGAGAGAGTTGGGACCAGGAAAATGGTGTTGGAGGGAGGCAACGTGTGCGCCGCTGGACACGGAAGGCTCGGTAACCGCAGTGCGACTACGGAAGCCAGGGCTGTAGAAATTCGTACATTGGGTCCTTGGTAGAGACCAAGTTGCCCGTCGGGTCGCGTCCAGTCCTTGATATTGGTGACACCGGTCCCGGCGTGCTCTATTCAAGTGACGGAGACATTGTAAGGCCAATTGCATTGCCCTGCGTAGACAACAACCAATACACGAGTGTGTAACGATGGTCTTTGAAGCATAGCAGCTAACACTTTATGGAGGTGTAGGGTTTGGTGCTGGCTGCATCTCGAGACGGAGGCTGCAAGTAAAGGCTTGTGAACGGAGGAAAACCAATGTTAGTCAAAAAGCTGCCAACAACCTCCATCCGTCAACCGAATTGAGCTCAGCTCCATTCGTGGGTGGTGAGTAAAAGAGCGGGTCTGCTTAGTCATTCGGTCATCCCGGCCCACCAATCCAAGGTATCATCTCATCTTCCTGATTGATCTGACTATCCTTTCAACGTCTATTATCGAGAAAGCCTACGAAGCCGCAACCCACCACAACATCGCGAAACCCGCAATTGAATCGAACAAAATGGCGTACGTGAATCTCCCAACATAACATACCAGCGGCCAACCAGGCGCATGCTGTCGCGGCCAATGGCTACTCGTCCGGACGCATAAAACGGGCATCGTACGAGGGCATTTCTGACGTCTACACAGCCTCGTCAACGCGAAAAACAAGGTCCCTGAACTTCAGAAGTTCTACCAGAACGCCTACAAGGAGCACACCCGTCTCTGGAGGATCGTATGTTGACCACGCAGATTCTCCTACTTTCCTATAGCATTGGATGACGGGCACTGACTCAATCTATCACAGAACCCTCGCAGCCGTGCCTACATGGTCCCATACACCATCGCTCTCTGGGGCACCCTCGCCTGTACGTCTTAATTCGTTGCATTCTTTTCGGACAAAGTGCTCACAGCTCATAGTCACCCTCTACGGCGGTATCCGCAAGGTTGCTGGTTACAACAGCTACTTCGGCAAGAACTAGATAGGGCTCGTCGAACACATATCAACGAGAAATCGGAGGTGAATTGTATGATTCTTGGGGTGAACCATAGACAGAATCGCATGAAGTTTCACTACATTAAGGAGCCCTGTGACGCCACTGCCATCATCGAAGTTTCTTGACTATGCTTGCCAAAATTACCAATGGCAACCATTCCCTCCTCTTTCAACAGGAAATGGTTACCTAGAATACAAGTGCTCCTGGTCTCTGTGCAGCAGCAAAGCTCAGTTGCCATTTCACTGCGGCGGCTGCCGCTCAAATCATCCATCAATCGTTCTAGTACCCGCTGGCTCCGGGTGCCTTCTCATCCTTCTTCAGGCTCACCAGGATTTCGCGGAAGCGCTCCTTGCCGGAGCCAGAGGCGCCGCCCTTAGCACCCTTCCCGCTGACATCTACCAACTTTGCGATTCTTTCCCAGCTCGTGCCACCAGAAACGGTGTCCTCTCGGCTGGCAATGAACTGTTCGGCCTCCTTCTGTGTCTGAGAGATCTGCTTCTCCTTCTTGGCGTTGTAATTGTTGTAGAAATCGTCAATGTTTTCTCTCGCCTCCTTGATGGTCTCCTCACGCTGCGCGGCGAACTGCTGTGCGCGCTTCTCAATCTGGGCATCTCTCTGCTCGCGCCATTCGCGAATGACTGCCGGCTCTTCCTCTTCCTCGACATAGGCGCCGTATCCGGAGTTGTAGTTAACACTGGGAGCAGTGATTCCGCCGCCAGGGATGGCTCCGGGAGCGACGGCCTGTTGGTACAGAGTTAGGACATGGGGCAACAAACAGAAGCGGAGAACAAACCTCGTTCTGGTTGGCGAGATCAGGGAACTGCGACTCAAATGTGGACTCCTCTGCAATGATATTGCTGCTGCTGCCGCCCCCAAGAAGGTCATCATCGCCAGTTCCGAATGCGACAGCGTCATCGCTGGTAGCAAACTGATTGGCATCCTCGCCGAGGAGGGCCTTCTCGCGAGCCAGGAAGTCATCGGCAGAAGGTGAGGCACCCGTGTCCTTAATGTCGGTCTGGGCTAAACATAGATATTAGCTTAGACCAAGGTGCAGTTTGTCATGTACATACCTCCTGAATCGAAGTCTTCCAGCGAAGGGAATCTATCAGCCATCTTGATGTCTATGTGTGGATAACAGAAAGGAGAAGAAAGTATGTGGAAGGTGTTAGAATCCAACCGAGGGCAGTCGTGGTTGTTTGGGCACTCGAAATTTGTCGCACAAAGAAAGTATTCGTAAGTCGTGAGAACTGGCGATTTTTTGGTTGTAATTTGATGCAAGTAAGAAGGAGTAGTTGAAGGTAAGGAAGGTGCTTGACAGGTACAATAGGTGAGGCTACCTTGGCCAGGTGCGGTGATTGCCGTGTGCAGCCAGCAACGAGAGCTGTCCCTATCGGATAGTTGAATGCATAGGCTCAGCGTCACCTTGACAGTTAGCGTACAGGGGTTTTCCTCGCTTATATACATAACCCCGACACTGCGAAATGAATTTTACTGATTAAGAGCAAGCCGTCTCAACCAGCAACAAATGTTTTGATTTCGTGCGACCCCCAGACTGATGCCCGTATCGATTTTCCTTTTTCTCTACCAGCAAACAGTTCGATCCATCTCAAAAAGAAGCCATTCTGCTAGGTCTGCAGAGCTTCAATCACACTGTTTGACCTGGTCATGCAAGGGCCGCCTCATGCACTGAACGGGACACTCTGCGCAGACAGTGTGTTTTGCTGCTGGAGTTTCAGGCCCCAGTGATTGATTTAATCGTAGACCACCTTCACCTACTGAGCTGATCTCATCCTGAAGCCTCCTGATTTCCCACTCCAAATCTTGGGCTGGCAAATCAGTGCTGTAAGCAAGCTTGACCAGAGCCAAAACGCTCATACACAGGACGGTACCCCAAAATATACAATAAGCAGCCGCTACGTGCTTGCAGCCAACCGGCGTGTCCATCTCGGTCGCAGACGGGTATAGGCACGCTATACGGAAGCTATCATGGCATACAACGACGACGCCGTTCTGGCAAAGCTGTCGGCGCTCAATGAGAGCCATGACAGTATTGCTACTGCAGCGCAATGGATAATGTTCCATAAGTAGGCGCCCCTTTATTCCTTTGCAGCAGCGAATAAGCTGACAAGGCGACTCACAGGAGACACGCGGATCGCACAGTCCAGCTATGGCTTCAACGCCTGCGAGATTCATCAAGCACCAAGAGGCTCAGTTTGATTTATCTTGCAAATGGTAAGTGGAGATTCCCCGCGCACTTCCGAGACTGTTCCTGATTTGTCGAAGAGGTCACCCAGCAATCGAAGGCGCGGCACAAGGAGGACTTCCTGGTCGCCTTCTCGCCCGTTATTGCTGAAGCCACGGCCTTAGCGTATAAGGGCGCGCCAGCTGAGATTCAAAACAAGTTACGAAGAGTTGTTGATGTCTGGAAGGACCGCTTCATCTTTGAACCGCCTATCCAGCAGGCGATTGAAGCGCGGATCGATGGTCTGTCAATTCCCCATGCTTGTAGTGCTGGACTGATAGTCGATAGAACTTGACAAGGCCCGCGGAACTGCCAAGGCAAGCTTCGGTGGCCCCGGCATCGGTAGCAGTTTATCTGTCCCACAGGAACTCACCCCTATAGTGACTTCATACCAGAACGTCTCAAAGCTTAATCTACCTACAAAGACTGCCATCAGCACCGCCAACCAGGACTTTGAAAAGCTCACAGACCCCTCGACGCCTGTACCTTCGGCCCCAGTCTACGCTGCGCGCCTGAACGGCCTCCTGAAGAGTCTGGCCAATGCAGAGGGCGCTGTTGCTGAATGTGTCAAGGCTCGGAAAGATCTCATTGACGAGTTGGAGAAACTACTTAGCGCTAACCAAGAGGCACTGGCCAACGATGAGAAACAGTACACCGAGCTAATGTCACGAAAGGCTGAGACGGAAGAAAAGAGGCGTGAGGTCGAGCTTGCTATCATGCGCGGACTGCCAACACATGAGGTGTCGCAATCTCCGGGCAACGGAACATCTGCAAGCCCAGAGCCAGAACGACCAGAGGTAGAAGCTCTTACACCGCCGGCCGTTGAAGCTTTCACTCCGCCAATGGTGGAAGCTCTCACTCCCCCGGCTGTGGAAGCCCTCACCCCTCCGCCAGCTCACGATGAACAGGCAGTCCCTCAACATTCAGAAGCAGACCGTACGCAGTCAACATCGAGCCAGGGTTTCCAGCAGACTCCCGCGTCGGGCATTGAGATGTTATCAAACCTTGCTTCTCAGTACCAGTCCATTCCAGTCTCAGCAAACGGATCCAACAAGAGGCGCCGGCTTGGGGGGGACGATTTCCCTGACCTTGAAGGCGATGACGGAATCGATGCTGATGTGGCAGAAATGCTGCGAAAAGATAGCAATGGTACTGCTTAAGGGTGTCGTTTCATGAACAGTCCATTACGAGCACGCTGAAGCACATTTGGATGGAAACATGTAATATTACTATTAGAAAAAAGTCAGGTGGCCTTTGTAGCTAACGCGGCCAAAGTCAAAGACTGGGCTGCATCGAAGTCAATTATGGGACGGTTACTTTTTTTCCTTCCTTTTTTGCGCATGGGATGTTCTGGATTCAGGAGCAGATAACAGCACCGTTGGAACTGCCCCTGTAGGATGCTATATCTAAGGCAGCATACAACGACTTCGGCTTGGCGATCGGCCAGATCGAGCAAGAGGAGTGACAGAGATAAAGACAAAGAGATGTGCCATATCATATGTAATAAAAGAAAGCCAATCGATAGGTTCTGACACGGACCAGCTCAAATAATGTTTCGTGCTAAGGCCTCCTATTCTCGTCTTCGGCAGAGGCGGAATGGGTTATCGGGGGATGCGCGTCCGGCCCGACTATCGCCGAGGGGCGGACTGAAGCGCGTGTCAGTGGCCCCCAGCCAATGGTAAATTTTGAACCAGACCGATGACGGAATCTTTTCCTCTGTCAGCCAGACCATGTCTTTATACATGCGCAACTCGCCAGGTCTCCCCGTATGATGAAGCAGCATTGTTCTTCGCCTATTGAATATGCGCCACCCATGAGATAGAAACAGCTATTCCAATCCGTTTCGAAATGGCCACGGGAGCAGCGCGAACAGCTGTGCTGCTCCCGCACCGCGTCGGGAGCTGCCAGGCGGGCTCGTTACTGGCTTCTCTCTCCGGCCTGCGCAAGACTGCGACAACAAACTCAGCCCTACAACATCCTCTCATGTTACATTTCAGGAGCTTCAGTTCCAAATCTACTAAGAAATTCGCCGCGTCATCTCCTGTCCGCGGTGCTGCTCCAAGCCCTCGGTCAGCACTGTCTACCCAGAGTCCTCAAATCCCCCAGCCGATTGCTATTTTGCGTTATTTCTCGGCCGGATTTCGGACGCAGCGAGACTCTCGATCAACCACGCAACAATCCCAGACGACTCCCGAGGAGGAAAAGAACGCGAAGCGAGCTCAGCTGGAAGCCCAAGATGCCGAACAACATGACGACTTCCAAAAGAGCGAGAGGGCGGCAAAGGCAGCCCAGGTCAACCTGAGTGCTAAGCTGTCAAAGGAAGGAAGGACGCAAGGCAAGTCTGGCTTCGAAGAGATATGGCGACTCATCAAAATTGCACGTCCAGAGCTCAGATGGCTGGGGCTCGCCATGATCTTTCTGGTCGTCTCGTCTAGCGTTACCATGTCCATTCCTTTTTCTGTTGGCAGAATCCTTGATATAGCAACAAAGGATCCCTCGGAAGATGCCCGCTTGTTTGGCCTGACCATGCCGCAGTTCTTTGTTGCTCTGGGTGTCATTCTTACGGTTGGAGCTATTGCTAACTTCGGCCGAGTCATCCTGCTCCGAATTGTTGGTGAAAGGGTTGTTGCTCGTCTCCGGTCGCAGTTATACAGGAGAACATACGTTCAAGATGCCGAATTTTTCGATGCAAATCGGGTCGGTGATCTCATCTCTCGTCTAAGTTCTGACACTGTCATTGTTGGCAAGTCTATTACTCAAAACATCAGCGACGGCCTGAGAGCTCTGTTCAGTGGGGGAGCTGGCTTTGTGGTCATGGTTTGGCTTAGCCCACAGCTTACTGGTCTGCTGCTCATTATGCTGCCACCAGTTGCTGTTGGTGCCTTCTTTTACGGCCGTGCGATTAGGAACGTGAGCAAAGGAATCCAGAAGAACTTGGGTACACTGACCAAGATTGCCGAGGAGCGTCTGGGCAACGTCAAGACCAGTCAGGCATTCGTTGGCGAAGTCCAAGAAGTCAGACGCTATAACCACCAAGTAAAGAAGATTTTTGCCTTAGGGCGTAAAGAGTCTACAATTGCCGCAACCTTCTTCGCCTCAACGGGCTGGGCTGGCAACATGACCATTCTTGCCATGCTCATTGTTGGTGGCAACTTTGTGCGCAACGGGTCCATGACGCTTGGAGACCTGACGTCTTTCATGATGTATACGGCTTTTGCGGGATCTAGCTTATTCGGCCTTTCATCGTTCTATTCAGAACTAATGAAAGGCGTCGGCGCTGCTAGCCGTCTTTTCGAGCTACAGGATAGGAAACCAGGCATATCACAGACCGTTGGACTCAAGGTGCAATCGGCGCAGGGTCCAATTCGTTTCTCGAACGTGTCATTCGCGTACCCCACGCGTCCGGCCGTCAAGATCTTTAATGATATCAACTTCGAGATACCATCCGGCAGTAACGTCTGCGTCGTGGGACCGTCTGGTGGCGGCAAATCAACCGTTGCAGGCCTATTGTTGCGCTTCTACAACCCTACCTCTGGTTCTATTACCATCAACGGAATAGACATTTCCAAGATGAATATTAAGTCATTACGACGTCGTATCGGTATGGTTGCTCAAGAGCCTGTTTTGTTCTCCGGTACCATTGCCGAGAACATCTCATACGGCAAGCCGAACGCCAGCCGAGCGGAGATCATTGCGGCCGCGCGAAAGGCTAATTGCAATTTTATCAGCGACCTTCCTGCCGGCCTAGATACTCAAGTCGGTGCTCGTGGCTCTCAGCTGTCTGGTGGCCAGAAACAACGCATTGCCATTGCCCGTGCGTTAATCAAAGATCCTGATATTCTCATTTTGGACGAGGCGACATCAGCACTGGATGCCGAGTCAGAGACGCTTGTCAATGCAGCTCTAGCCTCACTTCTCAAGGGCAAGAATACCACCATCTCGATTGCGCATAGACTATCGACTATTAAACGATCCGACTTGATAATTGTACTGTCCAACGACGGCAGAGTTGCTGAAATCGGGAAATATTCAGAGCTTTCAGCTGATAAAGGGAGCGCCTTTAGCAAACTCATGGAATGGCAGATGAGTGGCGGTGATATCCCCGAATCTCGTAGTGGCGACAGGGGCCATATCACCGAAGAGGAAGAAATTGAGTCCGATCTTGATCTGGAAGAAGCCGAGGAAACCAGCGTTGCAACTGAAAACCAGCAACAGGAGAAGACTGCTGAGGAGCTGCGAAGGTAAAAGGCAATAGCAGTCCGATCCGTCGATATTGGACAAGGAGTGACGGAGCATTTTCTATCATTTTATAACAAGTTGCCGCCTGAATATTTGAAGGCGGCCTGCAGCAACGGCGGAATCGTGTTGCCTGGTACGGCTAATGCTGTCATCTTATGTACTACAGCTTTATTTTATAGTTATGCAGCATCATAGAACCACTCCACTCGATCTGGATGGACGTCTGGAGACTGATGAAACAAATGAATTAATTTGGGTTGACTTCTTATTGATGTTTTTCGCTCCTGTTGACCATGGCCAGCATTTAATTAAGGGCCATGGATCTGGGACTGAATACTTGAGGGACGGAAACGTGAAATTTCAACAGGCTCGATTCAACCTTTGATTCTTCCCGTCTTAACTGTACATCTCAACTGCCATCTGGTGGTTGCTTAGCCCTTCCAGCACTTGGTTCTCCCGTACCTCTCCTCGGTAGCTGCTGACCAGATACCGTCAATTATATGTGGGCCGCATTCCAACTTAACCTCAAACGTCAAGTACATTCTCAAGTGATCCAGGACTTCACAGCGATTTCCGGGGATCCCTGTGGGGGGCATGAAGCCTTGGATACAATCTTGTCGATCTCCAAAATATTTCCAGAATTTCTCGCATATTGGCCCGACAGTGGATGGTCCTCCAACTGATCCGGTAATCTCGTAGATACGGCCACCTTTACTATATTTCTCGGTATTTGTAAACCTTTGTTTGCAAACGTGGAGCTTCACATCAGCAGCGAGTACTGCTGCGGCCAGAGCAAAAAGTGTTGCGACGGTGAAGGGTTTCATGTTTGCATGAAGTGAAAAACGATTGGCCTGGATTAGATGTGAACCAATTGTAAGCGTAAAAATATGCTGCACTTGCACAATAGATGCTGATATTCAAACAGCTTGTGCTGATTTCTTTTTATCCTTGTGAGCGGTTGACTAGATGTTTACTTTGGTGAGTCTAGTGAGAAAGCGACAGCATTCAAATATTGTTTTTTCGGGGGGGGGGGGGGCGGCGGTTTCTCTTTTGTATTTTCTTCAGGGTCATGGTCTTTGGTTTTCTCTACTCTTGGGTGCTAACAAAAGTCATCTTGCCGCGGCCGGGTTAAAGCTTAAGCCATACATCGTATCTGCAAATGATGTTAAATGCCTCCTAAGAACGTTCAATCATTCGAAGTATGTCTGGTTATTCTTGTGGCTGCCTTAAAATGGACCATGGACAACGCAAAGGTTTGGTTATCAGAATTGTATTGTAGCCCCCCGAGTATGTAGAGGCGACGTTGAACTCCTAGCTACGAGCTCCATGCTCCAAGCTCCAAGCTTGGGTATGGTGTACCCACCATAAGCGAGGGACATACCTGTCAGGTGCCACAAGCGCCTCCACCATGTGCCGAAGTGGATGGGAAGGATGTCTTAAACCTCGTGTCAATGACACGTGAAGGCCAAACAAGGGAGACCGCAACAGCTACTTCGTTCTGCGTTGCAATGCAAGCATACACATCAAACTAACATCAACACAACGCATAAAATTCTGGCTTGACGCCCATATATTTGTTGAAGTCTCAAATTCACCATGACTAGCGAAACTGAAGGTGTTTTCGACGTGGACGGCCAAAAGCTCTACAGCAAGACCTGGACGGTGAGTCTAGCATAGCACTCTAAGGGCTCAGCAACTGACTGACATTGACTAGCCTGAAGGTACTATCAAGGCAAAACTTGTCTTCGTCCACGGTTTTAGCGATCATATCGGACGCTACGACGAGCTTTTCCCCTACCTCGCAAGCCGTGGCATACAGGTCTTCGGCTGGGATCAACGTGGATGGGGCCGCAGTGTGACCAAGACCGCTGAAAGGGGCTTTACAGGTCCGACATCGCGCGTCATCGCTGACGTCGCAGCCTTCATCCGTGACAAGCTGCCATCGCCAAACTGTCCCCTTTTTGTCATGGGGCACTCCATGGGCGGCGGTCAAGTCCTCGCTCTCGCCAGTGACCCTCAGTATGACGACCTTGTTAGCCAGGTTCGTGGGTGGCTGCTCGAAAGCCCCTTTATCGCTTTCACACCTGGTGAGGAGCCTGGATTTCTCAAGGTGTTCTTTGGAAAGCTTGCTAGTCGTTTACTGCCTCGGCAGCAGCTCGTTAACGAGATACCCCCGGAGAACCTGACACGGGACACAACGGTGCAACAGAGCATCCGGGACGACGAGCTGATGCACAACACTGGTACACTCGAGGGCCTCGCGGGTATGCTCGAGCGAACAGATGCACTGGCGCACGGCAAGCTGACTCTCAGCTCGAATGTCAAGAGCCTTTGGCTGGGTCATGGCACCGAGGACAAAACAACCTGCTTTAATGCCAGCAAGAAATGGTTTGACGCGCAGATCATTGACGACAGTACGCACAAGCCGTACGACGGTGCTTACCATCAGCTCCATGCGGATTTTTGCAAAGAAGAGTTTTCCAAGGATGTCGGAGACTGGATTCTGGAGCGGTCGGGCGAATCAGCGAAACCTGAATCCAAGTTGTAGGAGACTTTGGTGGGCTTTTGTATGCCAAGCTCTAATTTTGTACCTATAATGATGCGTTTGCTTCGAAGCCGGCAGTTAAGGAAACTGAAGTTCGTACTGAGGGCCTTCACAACAATCCATCAACCGGTTTCATAACTCTGTATCTTGAGTTAGTGCCTTATAGTGCAGAATGACTGGCGAACATCTCTGGCTGCATTGAGGTCTTGGCTGAGAATGTAGCTGGCTGACCGAGGTACACCCACACTGAGATCTGCCCGCGCCCGAAAGCCCATTGCTCAACATAGCCAACTCTGAAAATCCTAGCTCCAGGTAATGCTGGTAAAGATATATGAAGGAAAGGCACCTTATATATTTCGACTTCTTCCGTCCGAAGTGTGTGAAATACTGCCTGCCAGATTTCTCATCATGGGTTACAGATCAGGATGGTCCTGCCGTTGCTCCCTAACCCTTACACTCACAAACACTCTAGACCGATACCTTGCCATTCATCGGCTCTATTCGCGCAAATATTGTCGTCGATTCCTGTCTTCAGTCAAGAAATATTCATGGCCTATACACATGTTATCTCGCTTGCTTTCTGTGCTTCTTCTCCATGTCGATATACCTGGATACTTCCCTGGTCATATCTATCAATAGAGGGCAAAGATAGTTCCATCGCGTTACTCTAACATTTCCACCGGCCTGTCCGCAGGCTGTTTTCCCACTCTTTTGTATTATATTTCATCGTTTCTGCGCTACCAGAAGAAAATTGCCGACTAAAAGGTCGGCCACCATGCTTTTCTTGATGGCCTTCGTGGGGAGATGATCGGTTCAGCGTGCTTCACTCCTTACTGCCTTGTATAGTCGAGGCAAAACCTCACCCAGGCCTGTTCGACTAAGCTAAAATGCAACAAAACGGAAGCAACAGACGGTTTAGTGGTAACCCACTTGCTTTGGTGTCGCCTCTCCAGCCTCCCCACACCAAGTGGCTCTCCAGGAAGCCTGTTTAGTTAGCTTGCCGTTATTACATTTGATCTGACTGGTTGTAGTCAGATGCAAGCTGCAGGCGACTCCAGGACTTTATTGTAGACTGACAATCTCGTTCCCCGGCTGCTGCAACCATTTATCAAGGGCAAAATGGCATCGAGACTGCAGACCGAGCCATGAAAAGTCGTGCTTTTCATATTCTTCATCCATTGCCAACTGCTGCCTGATCTCCCAAGAGTTACTCTGCAGTAGAATCACTTATCTTCGCACACCTCCTCATACCTCTCCAGCGACTCAACGCAGCCCTTTGAACTTTAACAGCAAAGAGGTCTTACTCAACGCCTCTAGAACCGCTCTGGAAACAATAGGCATTTCTCCTAGTAGCAAGCAAGAGCCTGCTGCGTGCCATACCTCAAATAGCATGGATGTTGAGAGTGTAATCTGCCTTGGTCCATCACTGGTTCTGGTCCTCATGGCCTGTCTACCCGTACCATCAGGAGTGTCAACCTCTGTCGCTTCTCGTACGGCCAGGCGCGCCTTGAGACCGTTGGCAACGTCGTCTTTTACTTTTTAATGTTTTGGTCTCGCTGATTGTTATTGCTCTTTCCATAAGTGACCTTCGCAACCCGCCGGCAGAATAAGAAACCAAAGCTTTCTGTATGGAGCCCATCGTCGCCGTCTGCGTGGCCTTCACCACCAAACTCGTCCTCTTCCTCTAATAATTATTCCTCCATGTATTCAGGGCATTGATTCGATGCGCCTGTACTACTTTGGATAGTGCCTCATTGCCGAGGTAGAAGTTGTCATGGACCTGAGAATACGTTCTCCGAGACACATGGCACGTCCTAGGTATTACAAGATTAGCGAAAGGGTCTGTCGGACGTCGAGAGAAGCTACGCACACATCGACTTTGAGACCACCCACAGACCGGAGCATCCTTTTGAAATGGATATTTTTAGAAGCGGTTGCATCTATTGATTGAAGCATGGCCGGCCGGCCGGCTTCTACGGTTTCATACGGAGGGGTATTATGTTCATGACTTTGATGCAATGTCATGGTGCGATATTGAATAATACAAGGACATATTTAATCATGATAACAAATACAGATCACGTTAATTCGGCTGTATTGGCGCTGCCCATCGTTTCTATTCCCAGTGCGGTTGTGTTCATACCCTCTCGACATCAGCTTCACATCTTGAAGCTGCTATACTATGCACGCAATGCCAAAGACCCTGAGCCCCAAATGAAACAATGTTGGCCGTAACTGGCATTACAGAAGGCGCAAATTCTAAACCTCCCGAAATCTACAAGCAAGTTTTAGCGCACACTCAAAATATCAGACCGGATGCTAACCTTTCTCGAGATCCCAAAGGTCATTGTTGAGTGTCAGATACGCCGCTTGCGCGTTTCCAACGTCCGGTGCGAGATCGCCAACGGTGTGATTGCAGCAAATACGACCTAGCTCAGTGCCATTGGTTGCTCTACCGTCACCAGCTGCAAGAGTGAGCCAGTGGTGGCAGAGACAGGCGCCTCGGAAAGTGATGGATGTGATTTGTAGTATTGTCGACGGGCGGAGGAGTGAAGGGAAAAAGGAGGCTAGATCTTCGGGGTTGACCCGTGTCTCGCCCCTCGCACAAAGCTTCAGACCCACGATGAAGTCATTCTTGCGATAAAGCACAGGTGTAGCCTCGCAGTTGATTTGCCTGCATGATTGCAGTATCTCAACATGGGGTTTCCTGTGAGTGAGGGACACGGTACGGGGCGTTGGGCGTGGCGCCCGTAAATATGCGTTTTGGTGCTCGGGCGGCTCGACTTTAACGCGAAGCTGGCGCCGGCTGCTGGATACTATGACAGGTTCTTCAGTGAGAAGGAGGAGCTCGTAGATATCTAGGCGAAGCTCGAAAGGGATGTCGAGAAAGGTTAGGCGGCGTGGGTCTGGTCCCGGGCCGGCAGGCCGTAGCGACTGCGGCCACGGAAGAAAATGCAGTCAGCACCAGTCTGGACGTCCAGAGAAGGTGAAGTTGGGCGAGGAAAAAAGAGATAGCACTACACAAGCATGCTGAAATCTGAGGAGACGCGTTGATGTGCAGACAAGACGACAGGGACACTGAATGACTGATTTTGCAATATGGGTGCTGGGTGGACCCTGGGTGCAGATCGGTGACATATCCTACCATCCATTGCTGGCATTGCTGGATCTGCGACGTCACGACCCAGGGTAATCTGCTAGGTACTCTGCTCAACAGCAGTTTTGCTGCTGATCTGATGCCCTGCCCTCGACTTGCGGCCTTCAGGTCAGGTGGCGTGGGGTGAGCGGGTATGGGTAAGATTTCCCCAGACGATCCACACTCGTGACCAGCGATCCATCCGCGTGCTGATGGCATCGCGGGGACACAACAACAGCTAAAGCGGATGACGGGGGAAATTCCCTAGCCGTTCACTAGCGAAACAGTGATACGGAGTAGAGGTACATAGAGCAATGGAGCAATGGAGACGAATGAGGGTACAACAGCAAAATATCTGAAGTAGATCAGGCAAGACGGGAAGGGCAAGGACTTACAAGCTGAGTTTGTAGCCCAGGAGAGCGATGGGAGCAGTCTTGGGTCATATCTGGGCGGCCATGTACAGATTCCATGATGCGTCGGATGGGATGGATTCCGCTCTCTTTTGGACGGAGCTGTAGAGCAAAATGGACCTTGGCTGTGGGAGGGCGGCACAGACTGAATGGTGCAAATGTGCAAATGATATGGAGACAAATTTGGGTGAGTCGAGGCGAACTGCAGATTTAATTCAGACCCCGGCTCAGTCCAGCCTTCATTCCATTTGTTTTCTGAGAGAACTGAAAGAGGCACGAAGAGCGACTGGAGACGCTCTCAGCGTCTCAGCGTCTCCAACAAAGAGAGACAGATCAGGCGCTACTACTAACCAGTTTCAGCCGATTCCAAGGTGGATGTTTGGGTGGCAGGTGCTCCTATGTAGTAGGAGTACTGGTCGACCTCGCCTTAGTGGCAGGCAGAACCTGGTAGGAGGATGCGGCAGATGCGGGGAAACTTTGCGGACGGACGTCTGGATGGACAGAGCTTCACGTTGAGGAGAAGGTGGGGTTGGGGTTCAGTGGCTGCTTCAGGCAGCTTGTCTGCTTCTTGTCAGGGATTTTGTCCCCCTTTCCTTCAGAGAACATCTTACGCAGGGTTACCAGTACCTCTGAGGCAGTTGAGCAACTTCCACAGGTGTCAAAAACACAGGGAATGGACACTCGTGTGGCGTCGAACGGAGAACAAATTCCAGAGAGGCGCAGAGATTAGTTTCACTTGCTCTTCTTCCTCTCTATGCTTACTACTTTTTCTGAAAATTACATGTATGGAGATTTACGGATACAGATACTGACAGAGGTCATCCATGACGGTTAGAGATGGCAGCTGGTATGACCTTGGTCCATGTCAGACAAGCTATGCAAGGCTTGTCCTTGCCGATTGTGGCCGTTGTGGTGCTCAAACAGTGGGCCAAACGATGAAAGCGAAAAGCAAGCGTCCGATAGCCAACTCTTGTTTATTTTCAACAAAATTAGCAGAGTCGGTATCCGTATCCTTAGCTAACCATGTATTAAGCCAGTAATGACGATAAATCCCCTCAACATTTCAGCGTTCTCCTTTGGAATGCAGAATTATTAGCCATGCGGCCGGAGCTATCTTATCATCTCGGATATGTGTTACTTGCATCACGTCCGGAAGACAATTGTGGATCTCTGTTAATATCCATAGGACCTGGCCGCGATGGCCCAGCCAGAAGCTGCATCAAATGAATTCCTTGCGTCTTTTCCTTTCTGCCCCTTGAACCCTGCAAGTCATGAATATGGGATCCTGGCTGGTGACAAGTTGCCGGACAGCCATGGCTCACTGGATGATGAGTTCTAATCCGTGGTGGAAGAAAGGAGGGGAAAAAAGAAGGCGGGTACGATTTTTAGATTTAATTTTTATTTACACTCCAAGAAATCCATACTTATTGAATGCGTAGAGGACACCAAACTCACGCGTTGTCTTTCCGAGGATAGAGGGGGATGATAATGGCGCGCATCAAGCTTGGATGACTGATCTGAAGCAGGGGTGGGTTGAAAACAAACACAAATGCACAAATACGAAGCAGATCCGTACAGTTACATGCGGTTCCTATGCACTTCCAGACCACCAGCAGTCATTATAGCCGAGTAGTCTTACAAAGCGGGACTTCTTCTACGTTGGTAGGTAAGCAGTCATGGCACAACACACGCCAGGCGCAAAGACCCGCTCAGAATGTCATGAGAGGTATATTTTACACAAAACATACATTCGTGTCGCAACCACGCCGTCTACAATCTACGACTCTGTCGCGCCGTAATCTCCTGCCATGCTGCAACGGCCTTGCTAGTGCTGTTAGCCATGACCCACAATATTCCTTTCTGCCCTATCCAAGCCTGCAGTACTCAGGTCTGCTTTACCCTGGCCCCGCATCATCACCACCATCATCATCATCCTTGCCAACAAGACTCGTTTCTACCGATAGGTAGAGGTACATCAGATGCTTAACACTTGCCTGTCTGTTTTATACGAACGATTTGCTGCGGTACGTTCTTCATATGTGCTACAATGAATAACACAACATTACCTCGCAACTATCATCGATTCCCGCTATGATGTGTTACGAGCTGTAGACAAACTGGCTGACTGTTGTCTGCACACTTGCCTGCCTGACGGGCATTAAACTCGTTCTAGGAACATTCTTTCTTCTTCGTTCCCATGTGCTCTACTTCCTCCTTCCTAATACTTTTCGGTCTCATTCTCTGGCCTCGGACCTCATTGTGCGGCCCTCACTCAATCTCGTCACCATTGCCAGTACGACACAATTAACGCAAGGCACCCTGGCTTGAATCCTGATAGTGTACCACAGTACATACATACTCCACGCTTTTCCTTCTCCGCACTGGACAGGATCAGGACCTGGACCTCGACCTCAAGGACGCACGGCTACCATCCCCGCCACACCCTGCCGTCATCCGCCACCCGCACCTAACTTCGACCTTGACTGTGACCACCAACCCTTACAGAACATCTGTATCATATTGTTCATGGCCTTTCGCTGACATCCTCGCTACTGTCGCTGCCGCTGTCTTGTTGGTTTTTTTGTCTGTTTGGCTTTTTGTTTCTAACGCTTCGTATACACAATGGCGTCGCTTCGTGGAAGTGAACAGGTCTATGCAACGGTTCGTGGGTCCCGGCCGTCGTCTCAATCCGAGGCAGAAAAAAGTAAACAAAGAGCTAATCGCCGCATTTACATAGCTTTTGTTGAACGACACATACCTCCCAGGTTAGCTTTTCTCCCTCAGTTCATCTCCTCTGTCATTGCTAATATTATTGGAACCAGGAGCATTGGTTCTTGCTCACTCTCTGCGCGATGCTGGCACTTCGAGACAGCTGGTTGTCCTCGTCACGCTCGACACCGTCTCCGCCGAGGTCATCACCGAACTCAAGGTCTGCTCCCAAATCTCCCCTTGGATCTTTAGGCTATTTATTTTGTTTTTGTTTTTAGTTCAAGTTAACACGTCATGCCCAGGCCGTCTACGACCAAGTCATTCCTGTCCCGAGAATACGCAACGACCGGCCCGCCAATCTTTATCTGATGAACCGTCCTGATCTGCACTCTGCCTTTACCAAAGTAAACCTCTGGAAGCAGACTCAGTTCTCTAAGATTATCTACATTGACGCCGATGTTGTCGCGTACCGAGCTCCCGATGAGTTATTTGATATCGCTGCGCCCTTCTCTGCGGCGCCTGACATTGGTTGGCCTGACCTATTCAACACCGGTGTTATGGTGCTCAGCCCCAACATGGGCGATTACTACGCCCTTATGGCAATGGCCGAAAGAGGCATCTCGTTTGATGGTGCAGACCAAGGCCTTTTGAACATGCACTTCAAGAACACGTATAATCGCATTAACTTCACCTACAACGTCACTCCATCAGCGCATTATCAATACCTCCCGGCCTACCGACACTTCCAGTCGAGCATCAACATGGTGCATTTTATTGGTCCAGACAAGCCCTGGTTTCAAGGTCGACAACCAAGCAAGGGTGACTCGCCATTCGAAGAGATGGTTGGCAGGTGGTGGGCTGTCTACGACCGGCATTACAGAGCTACAGTGTGTCCTGAAAGGTGCTTCAACAGATCAAAAGCTTACGTTTATTACAGGAAACGATACTGGATTCTCAAACAATGCAGCACCACCTAATGCATCAAACTGAAAACGAACACAAGATTCCGGAGATCGTACAGTATTTCACTAAAGGAGAATTTCAGCCACAGCCACAAGCTACTGACGTAGCATCTATGGGTGAGCACCTTTGTGAGCCACAACGCTCTCACGGCCATGGTAGCTTCCACTATCATGCGCACCCCCATTCCGACCGTGGAGCTCATAGTGCTCAACGACATGATGCCCACGGTCATGATTCCTCCCAAGAGCCGTACGCATATGTCAATCTGCCGCCCCGTGGTTCCAGCCAAGGACCCCAGTCCGAGATTGCGTATCAGGCTGGCCATTCTTTCCCCCTTTCCAGCGAGTCGTTTAGTCCATTTGCTGGAACGCAAGCTGAGGCTCGATCAGTGCAGGTTCCACAGCACAAGGAGCGGGGTCCAACAACACATGCGGAGCCATCGCGAGAGCCAAGCCCTCCTCCCGCACCAACATGGGATGCTCAGAGGTATGTCGTGACATTCCTTCCTTTTCTGGTAGAACTTGTACTAACTGAATCAGACAACCGCCTCCTGCAGATTCTAAACCAGAGGCCCTCAACTTTCCTTCCCAAGTGTACGAGATGTCTCAGGATCCCGCTCCATTTGTGCCACCCGAACGATACCCAAGTCCGCCACGAAATATGTGGTACGAGGTTCCCAAAGTGAAGCCTGCGCCACCGACGCAGAAACCTCGTCCCATCTTCCCTTGGGAGGTGAATCAACCCAAGCCGACCAGAATCTTCACTGGAGAACTCGTCGAGAAAGTGAATGAGGATCCATTGAGCCCACCGACTGGTGAGCAAGTAGTATCGTCCATATCCCAGGCTCCTACTGAGTCTTGTCTTGTAGGATCGTTGTCGACTACTCAAAAGAGCGAGCCCAACACTCCGCCCACCCCAAGCATCAAACCTGCTTCGTCGGATCCTTGGACCACTTTCACACGGACCAATGCCTGGGATGAAGTACCCGAGATTGAGCGTTACGTCGAGGGTCTCCAAAAGCATCGCCGTGGGAAAAGCCAAGGCTCCGTAGGCATACCTGGTGGACAGGCAGCCAAAGAGCACGGGCTCAAGCTCACCGATTTCCCTAGTGTAGTTGAACGACCTAGTCTTCCAGTCACTCCTGCGCCAATTCGCCGGCCAAAGTTCTGGGGAGGTGGTGGCTCCAGAACAGGCGAAGGCGAGGATGAGGAGGAGCTGCCGGCCGCCGAAGGTGTGCCCCCGCAGTCTGACTGGGTATGTGTGCATGGAATTCGGTGGACTCCTGCAGACTGCCTTTGCGATTTGACTAACATTCTACGGCATCAAAAGGATCCTGCAGCTCAGCTTCAAAAACTGGCTAAGCAGCAGTCAGAGGCTCTGCTGAAGAAGCTTGGGGGTGAAGGAGGTCCCGAGGGTGTGAGTCGCGAGATCCCATCACGCCCCTTGCCGTTCGGCTCTGAGGGTGTTATTTCACCTACTTATGTTGCGCAGTCATCTGGAGGGGTGGTGCTCAGTCCGCAGCCGGTAAAAGGCAGTGTTACTTCGAGCATTGTGCGCAATCTGAGTGGCGAGCAGGATCATCTGACAACACCCCGGTCTTCTGGTACCGCGTCATCAGCAATCAACCCCATCCCGGAACCAGCCTACCAGGGCCCCGGCGCCGCCTGGGAAAAGGGCGAAGACGTGCCGTTGAGGGAAACACCCGCATTGCCCACTGAAGAGGAGCGCGATGTGCTTGACACGTAGTGTTTGATGAATTGTGAGCATTCCCTTCTAATATTTAATCCACACAGCGATTTTGCGCATACGAGAGAGGTATCGTGGGAAGAGTATCGAATTGTATTATAATTTAGCAGCGGCCATGGATGCCTAGGAAGATGGTGTCCGAGAGACTTGGGCAGGAGTAGTGACGGTACATATCTCACATTGTTGGGTGAAATATGGTGTATTACTGTTAATTGTTCGATCGACCACCGCTTCGATTCACGGTCCATGTTGTTTGCATAAAAGACGCGCTAGTATTCCTACAAAAGTGGTATGATTTTACACCAAGGCCAGAACCACCCAAACGCCATGTAATGCCTACTATCTCCCTAGTTTACTCGTCGTCGGCCTCCTCGACTGTAACGGCCTTGCCCTTCCCCTTGCTGCTAGTCTCTTCGACAACCTCCTCCTGCGTTGAGACGGCTGCCGTCTCAGGGCTTCTTGTGGCAGATGCATCCCTTCTGGACTCTTCAGCGGATGGCTCAGATGGTGCCAAGTTTCCCAGGCCCGATAAGCCTCGATCGTTGCCAAAAAGTTGGTTCGCACCGCCCCAATTGGGGAGCACCGGGTTCGGAGCGAGGACAGGAGGCGACTCAACTTGGTTCATCGGCAAATTAGACCCAGAAGCAGTTTCCTGACGGGGCACTTGCTCATTGACCCGGCCTGAGTGGAGGCTAGCTGTAGCTCGCACTGTAGAAGTGTTTGTGTCCGCGCCTTGGGTAGCGCCAATGACATGTTGCGTACTGGGCACGGGAGCCTCTGAAGTTTGAGTCTCGCCGGAGGCGGACGGTACAGACTCAGGAAGTGTGTGAGAAGATAAGTGAACCCCCGCCCCATCTAGCCGCTGTAGCGGTAGGAGTGACCAACCAGGAGGGATAATAACGCCTTCTGGAAGTTCGGCGCTGTCGGCAGGTATTACATTGGGATGATTTGCGGGCCCGTGCCTCGTCACAACAGGTGCGTTAACCCGTAGTGTCGGGTGGATCGGCACCTGCGACAATGGCATTGTTGAAAATGGATTTTGGCTTGTTCCGAGATTAATGGCTGGGGTCGTGGCGGGATAAGGCGATGCATTTTGCATCAGTTCCTGTTGCTGCTGCAAATGGCGGATACGACCCAACTCCGCGGTAAGAAGTTGGAGCGTCTGGAACTCTTGATGCATGTGCTGAAGAGACTGGACCTCTCGCTGTATCATCTGCTCGAGCTGCTGTACCTGTTGACGGATCGTCGACATGTTGTTACTACCTGGCGTCTGTGCTGCTGGTACGAACGGACCGGCGGGGCCACCCTGAGCTAGCGGTGTGGGAATCACCTCAGGAGGGACTCCCATTTGTTGGGCCAGTTGCTGCATATTGTCTCCTTGAGCGAACCCCAGACGAAGCGGACCCAGCTGAAAGACTCTCGCGGCGCCATTGCGTGGTGCCTGCTGCGCCGGTTGTCCTCCTGGAGCAGCACCGGGCGCGTTATCTGGAGGTGGCTGCTGTCCCGCCGGAGCAGCAGCCGGAGCTCCGAGTCCACCGAGACCGATCCTGGCTAGCACGGCTTCCCGATTCTGTGGCGCTGCAGCGTTATTGTTGACGACAACAGGACTTCGGCAGGTAGGGCACACTTGCTGGCGTTCCAACCAACTCTTGAGGCACCCGAAGTGCAGAATGTGTCCGCAAGGAAGTTTCTTGGGGCGCACACGTTCAACGGCCCCAGCACTGGGGTCCCATGGCCGCATCTCTTCTCGGCAGATAATACAAGTGTCCTCCCGCGAGAGCTCTTCCTGGGTGGCATCGGGATATCTGTTCATATCTTCAACAGCTTTGCGGTATCGCCACAAAGCCGACCCTCTCTTGATGACGGACCGCGCGGTCATGAACAAGTCCCGCATGATGTGGATGGGTAAGCCGTAGAAGGTGAGAAGGATGCCGAAGAATACAAGGTAGATGGCGAGTTTGACGCAATCTGGTCTGTCAGCGTTTGGTTTATGTGATGAAATTGTCCGACTCACCAGCAATGAGATCCAAGATCAGAATCCATTGACCCTTTGCCTCCCACCCCGGAACTTCAATATCCATTTCATCGACATCTTCTTCAGGTGGGAGGTCTGCATTATCACTCGTACCCCCGTCGTGCTCTCTCTGCCGCAAGAGCTCCTCCCGTTCCTCGCGCAACTGTCGCCGCCGTTCCTCCAGACGCTGTCTTGTCTGTGTCTTAATTATGTTTTGTTCCATGACTGAAACCATGTAACGGATTCCTGTTCGTGCTGAGCAAGTCGCCAGAACAGCGAACTCAAAAAGAAACATAACCATCATGTTGGGTCGCGCCTGTTGGATAACAGTATTCACCGTATACCGGAGAAGCCATATGTCATAGACCAGGCTCAACAGAAGCGAGATGCTGAGTCTAGTATGGAAGAGACCAGGGTTAGTCGGCGGCTGCTGCTCAAGAACCTCGACACGGCCGTCACCAATCCAACCCCAGACCTTCCCAGTCACTAGGGCAGTGAACATGACGAGGAACCATGCGCCAATCTCCTCCCGAAATATCGTCATCGCAAGGCAGGTTTCTGTTATGGCAAACCACGCCCTTTCAGAGAGCTGTTCGACCTCAACTTGTCGTAGTGGGCCATACAAGAGTCGTTGCAAACCATATATCATGGTGCCGTATATGAGGTAGATGAAATTGACCAGGACCTGGCACATGTCAGCTAAGCTCCGTTGCACTTGTACGCGATACTGACCAGCAAGCAAAAGTTACTCTGTGCGAGGTATACCATGGCCGAATAAAAGTTCGCTCGTTGGTGGAAGGCCGATACGACCACTGTGGCCGCCAGGGCCGTGGATACCTATCGAGAGTCAGCAAGTCGAAAATGGTAGCACAGCGGGCGGATCTGGAGCTACGAAGGCGTGCTTGATAGCTATCATGAAGACTGACCCCTGCGTACCACGCAAGCCTCATCTTGTAGCTTGATGGGCTAAAAACACGGGATTCGTAGATTGCAGTGAGGGAAGCCCTCAAGTGCCCATGGTGTTGATGCAGGCCAAAGTAAGTCCGGATGCGCGCGGTCGGCGTGGCACGTCGGAGCTTGTAGTTGATGCCACGTTAATGAGAAGCATCCACTCAACTGGGGTGGATTACCTGAGCAGTGACCCAGGACAATCCTAGCCAGAGGCCAGGCTGGCCGGGCACGTGATGGCCTGATACAGCGATCGGAACTAACTTATGCCGATGCCGGTCCAGGCAAACGGTACAGCCCGCTGTACTGAGCTTCTCCTGCATACACCAACTTTCTAAATCACGAAGCTCACCCATCTGTAGTACAAGCATATCATCTTTCCAGATTGGCGGGCGCAACTTGTTTGTTACCAAACTGCACTGTCTATTGTAGTTATCCATTTAGGCGTTCGTGCCATCGCTGTGGTTGAAGATGGTTGATTGTTTATAATTGGAATCGTCGTGGCTTGATTTGAATTTCGTGATGGCGTTTGGTATGACTCCCGTTGCTTCGCCGACTCTCATTGCGTCAATTCGAAATCGTCCGCATGTCCCCAGGCAGGCGTGGTACTTTATCGCAGCGACAACGCTGACGGTTCTTAATCGGCCTGATGAGATACCAAGGATATACAACCATGTCATGAAGCATGGCGTTGGTCCTGACGACCTTGAGCCCGGACCAGATGAACAAATCACCATATCAAGGAAATTGCGCGAAGCTCTCATTAAAGCGTCGGCTGTTGGAGGGCTGCCAAAGGTACCTTTCAGAGCTGGTCTGACCTGATTGCGCGCTAACGAGTAACAGACAATAAACGCTCTTATGGAACTGAAAAAAGTGACGCCTGAGCATCTTCTCGACAAACCACAAGGGGATGATGCGTTGAATAATTCACCCACAGGTCGATATGTGGATGTTCACTGCACGCCTTCCTCCAAGATTCTAGAGCGAGGCCAGCACTTCTGGAGCAATATTTATGGCAAGATATCTCGACGAATAATGAGTCAGATGGATAGGTCTGGCACCGAGGACTTAGGATTGATGGCCCGATTAATATATGGTTACGTCTTGAGTAACACTGACGTTTTGACCTCTGTCGAAACGTCGTTTGTCCTTATTGCCGGGCTTATACCGCAAGATGTGAGTTATCGTTGGCATGAGGCAGGCCAATTCTAATAGCAACAGGTCAACCCACAACTCAAAGGCCACTTGCGGGGCGCGCTCAACGGCGGGGCGTCTGCTGACGAGGTGAGGGCCGTAAGAAGCATTGTTATAGAGATATGCGAAGCTTGTGGCATGAAGCAACTTGGAGTCGATACGCCAGGAGGATGGGGTTGGCGCAGCGAGGTTGTGACAGTTTGACGTTCAATATTGGCCTATCGAGGCGAACGACGCCTTCGGATGGATAATGTTCTCTCTGGTGCTGTTACGTTTCTTCTCGGTGAACCACACTACGTTCAACAAGTTGCCTGCCTACAGATCTAACGAAATCCCCAGATGGGTTTCTGACGCCCAATCACGGGTTCCGCGGGAAGGAGGAATTAGTTCCGCAATACGCGAGATCAGAATTGGTTGCTACCGAGGCGGGCAAGGCCAAGTGTTCTGGTCCACCACCACTGGCATCCAAGGGTCCCTGTTGGCCGTGGTTGGTGTTCCCGTGACGATATGTGTGGCACGATGGAGTACAGTGACCGGCGTGCATACGGCCGTAGGCGACTCTACAAATGGAGCATGTACCGAATTGTCGCAGGTAGGGGTGCTATGGTCATGTTTCCCTCCCGAGTCAATCGGAAAGATAAGGCCTACCCAGTCTACGATATGCGTCCCGTACAGAATGAGGTACATGGTGGTTCGGGGTGTGAAGATCTGTCTTGCAATCTGACCGGATGGTGGGACCGGCAGCCCTTGTCAACGGACAACTAATGAAAAGCATGGTCATGGCTTGCAAAAGTCAAGATCTGATTTCAAGGACGTGGGAGTGCGATTAACCAGCGGTGTACGTCTCTGGCAGCAGAAGAAGGTATAGTCTCGATGCAACAGCATATCCTCAAGCAAACCCTTGCGGCGTGTCTCTGAGCCGAGGGCTCTGCTTGGCTACCGCCGGGGTGGAGAGAAAATAGGCATGACGGAAAGCAAGCAAACGGCCCAGGTTTCTGTTCTCATCCGGTACTGAAAGAAGAAACAATGACAGCATTGGCGTGCTGATCTTTTCTGGCAGGGAGTAGAGCTCCAAGGTTGACAAGATTGACAGGGACAAATGACCAGTACCCAGAGGTGGTTGAGTTTACTGAGTTTGGGTGAGTTGACTAAGGCTAGGTGGCACCAGGAGAGGGGTCGCTCGGGGAAGAAGCGCGAAAGTGGTCGGCGACTACCTTGCAGTAATTAATTTCGGAATCCTCCTCGTCCGAGAACATACCCTGGTCTCCCTTCCCCTATCAATGATACCTGATCAACCCCCTCAATCACGACAGTCTGTTCATCACCACTGTTTGTCGAGGGCCCAGAACCCGGCCCGAGGGCGGCAATTTGCTGTCCCCTGCACGTTCGGTGGACGATGGACAACCGCGTTCCGATGCACGACTCTGCCCCGGATCACCGTAACCTATCTGCATCCGTTGCAATGCCTGTTCCCCCTCCACTTGCACTCGGGTCTGGTATGTATGTCCTCAAGAGTGCAAGGTTGCGTGTGAAAGGATGGAACTATTGATTTCCAACCTGTCGAGCATCAGAATGCCTATCCACCTCCACACAAACCTAGCCGTCCGCCGACTTGTGCAGCCCAAACCAGCCATGACTGGCTGCTTTCATTTGTCTGCCTCGGTAACAGCCGTTCTGCCTTACTGGAGCGACTGGGCTGTTTTAGCACAGCGCCTTGTGAATCCCCGGCAGGCCCCGTCCGTTACCCTGCCTCTCTGGCTTAACGATATCGAGCAGGGCTGCGTCGCAGAGCTAGTACAACCTTCTTCCTCTACCTCCTCGCCTCGTCCCTAAGCGAACCTTGCGAGTACTCGCTCGTCACACGTGGGTTGAGGGCGCACCTAAAGCTCTTGGGAGAAGCCACACGTCGTCTGGTGTGGCATTCGTCCAGCTCGAGCCATTGTTAGGAGAGCGGCGTGGCGCCCGTCGAAACCCGCGTCGGGCCCACAGGCTTGTCTGTGAGACCCGTTAGTAACTTTGTTTTCTTTTCGGCCACCTAGCAATATCTTCCCTTTTTTCTGTTTTGTTCTTGTGTGAAAAGGGAGCCATGGTTTTACCACCCGTTTTTTCAATCTATAGAACGCACCCCCTGCCTAGCAGATGCCTTGCCTAGACGCCTCGCACAGGTGACAGCATCGATATTCGTTCTCTCCACCCCTCCTTCGCCGGAACAACGACAAGACCAGGTCGACCGACCATTACGCCTTCTAGAGTCTAGCCCCCTCTCAACAGAGACCTTAGTTGGGTCATTCTCTGTGGGGGAGTACGTTGGACTTGGGCTAGTGGCACACACTGCAGGATGACAACGCCTCCTGCTGGGATCTGTAGTCCCGCTGGTCTGGATGGTCCCAGGATTGCGGTATGCCAGCCAGTAGTTTGCCATTGGGACGTCGCATTGCTGGATGTCAATTTTTCTCTTTCTTCGCGCATTTACAATCCTATTGAATCTTTTCTTTTTGAGCGGCGGCAACACCGCTTGCGGCCAATCCAGAATTCTTGGAAGCACGACAACAAGCGTTGCCCGTTCTCGACAGGGTATTGCTGAGTATTAGGGGGCAAGAGGAGGCGCCACAGTCTTGTCATAGCCACAGGTAGCGAGATGGAACATCACAAAGAGTCTGGATGTCGCAGAGTTTTGAAGCGCTCAGCACATGGGATATCCCGTTTCGTTATTAACAGAGCGAGCACGTTGAGTGGATCATCAAAGGTTAGTCTGTCTTGCCATATTCTCTTCTCTGGTGCTGCTTCTAGACCTCGCGCCAACGCCCAAAGAACCCTTTTTCCAACGGATCCATGAGCCAAGACATTACTGCAACGAGGCTTACAAAATAGACGCTACGCTCGGTTCACCACCAGCGACGTGTGGGCTGTATTGCAATAACTTGTATCCTGACAGACGGCGGCCACGTCGTCTGACCATAACGCTGGGATTCAGTAGTTGCAGGTCAACGCCTGAGTAATGTTGCGCCGTGGACATGGCAACTCAAGGCCCTAGGCCCAATATCAACACAAGAAATCGCACCTCTCCTTGCGCCACCCTACTCGCTTGCGTTTTGGCCATAGATGACCTGGCGGTCTAGCCAGAGCGCGCATCTGCCATCCCCTCCTCAAATCATCTTATAACTTTGGTACAAAGGCTGCACCTAATGCAGCTTGCGGTAGTTTTGATATCCACAGCCGTTGAGAAAGCCATGGCCAAAATCTGAAGGCGATGGACTCTGATCTCTGTGCCAGGGCCTAGCTCAAAAGACTTTGTCTACTTTCGTTTGAGGCTTTTGAACAAGATTCGCGTTCACCAGTATTCTATCGTGTAGAAAAAAGTGGTCGAGGAGATGCAAGGAGGAGAGACTAAGCGTAATCGCTCGGGTGGAATTCTTTTTAGGCAAAAGTAAGCAAAAATGATCCCACAACAAGAGGGTGTTGATAAGCGAATATAGTATCAAAATATCTTGGGGACCTCCTACCCGAGAGATCCAAGGCCGGCGCAGATGATCGTTTCGATTGTTCCCGCCCGGGTGGTGTTTTCAGGCTACCTTCCAAGTCACAACCAACCGGATACAAACGCTGGAGATACAACACTCAAGCCCTAAGCCAGTCGCCGGCTCTAGCCGGGATGGTGGAGAGCGGGTGATTCGCGCACTATAGTCAACCGACTTCAAAGACGCACTTTCTCAAGGGAAGTCTCCTGCAGGAGACATTATAGGTGAGTGGAGATTGATTTTTGGCAATCATCTCGGAATTGCGGGCTAGCCAAGCCTATGCTCAGGGAGTCAATTCTCCGGTATACTACAAAACCGAGTGGTCATTATGACGACGCCGTCTCAAAACAATATTGCTCACAGTACCTTGTTGAAAGGTCGTTGCCGCGACTGCAGGGGGGATATCATTTGGGTGCGAAGAGTCCAGTGCCAGTTGATCGCGATGTCGTCGCTTTGCCTAATCGCTGTCACATCATCCCGTCTCTTCAATGAGGGCAGTACCATGCGTGATATGTCGATCATTATTCACGCAGCCTTCTGATGTCGTATCTGATCTGCAGATTATCCAAAGTACAGGGAAAGCGGGACAAGGGTATACCACCCCTGCTGTCAGCTTGCCATTTGCAAGGAAGCCAAACCCTGCTGGGAAAACCTGCATAACAGTGGCCGCGACGAGACAAATCTTCCGTGGCTGGCCTAAAATGAAGGGTCAGGGGGACGAGGATGAATGCCGTGTTATACAATGGAATCAAAAACGAGAGGTCGGCCATGGACATTGGGCGATTAGAGGCACCAATCCCATATTTGCCTCTTTCTCCCTTACCTGACACGGCCCAGGTCCACAGGAGGATGCTCTTTGCATCCCTTCTAATTTTTATTGTTGACTCCTGGCAGCGTTGGAGGGGAGGGATCACTGTCTCTAGGAGTTTGGCGGGCGCCATCATATTTGGTAATAGCAGTGGTAACAGTCCATAAGATGAAGACGCCTTGGTGTCGTATCAGAGACGCACAGGTAAAACCTAGCCAGTTGTACGTCGACTGGACAGATGGATTCCGAGGACATCTTGCAGATGGATACCCCTTTCGTCTTTCAACCCCGTGTCGCCTCGGACTTTTGGTATCCACTCTCGCCAAAGATTCCTCATAAGAGTATGACGGTGGTGCTTCCGGGTGTAAGTACTAGACGGGGGGCTGGAGCTATGCGACTGGCAAACAAGATCCATCCCGTTGTCATCGTGATCCCAGGAAGATGGACGCGACAAGTGTAAGGAGAGAATTAGTGGGCTGTTCTGGTCTTAGGCTGCCGCTGTTAATGCGGTTTTGACTGTGATGTTGCAGTGGGCGAGGCTTTCTCTGGGTTGTGCATAGTAGCGTGGGCAGTCTCTGCCTTACAGTGGGAAGGTGGGAGTTACCATGGAGGGCAGAGAGAGGGACGAAAGCCCTGGGTCCCACTAATCATAGGACGCTTGTCATGTACGTGTTCGGAGTTTATCTCGTTTGGGGTTAAAGATAGAAACCTTGATTTGACGGGTGTGGGGTCATTGTCTGTTGTTATGCTTTTTATTTCTCCTCACCACTGCTCCCTCCTTGCTCGTTTTTGGGCTTGTCTCATCCCACTATTTCCATCCCCCCGGCCTAGCGTCTCCGCTCTCCCACCTTTGTATCTTGTATCTTTAAAGTGGAGAC